AACCTGCAGGTCGTGACCCTTTTGCTGGTGGAACAACCCTTTCACAGGGGTTGCCTAAGATCATCAGCAAGCACAGGTATTCACATTATGATTCACAACTAGCAAAATTACAATTATGAAGTAGCAACAAAATGCCCTCCCACAGAATGGCAGGGTTGGGTACTGTATATTGTGGTTTTTATTTTCTTCTGAAATTAAACGTATGCAAAATAAAGATGCAGCTTCTTTTTAAAGTAATTTTATGGTTGGGGTTCATCACAACAAGGAATTGTACTAAAGGGTCACAGCAGTAGGAAACTTGAGAACCACTGCTCTACAGAGACAGAGTCTGTAGGAAATATACATAACCTTTCACACTAAAAAGGAATGATACATTCTACAATATGGGTGAACCTTGACAAGGGAAAGCAGCCAGCCATCAGATACCATCATCTGTATGCTTCTATTTATGCAATGTCCAGAACGTGAAAATACGTGTGCAGATTAGTGAGAGTTGCTTAAAGCTGAGAACAAGGTGGCTACAGATAACAGCCAAAAGGAACGGAGTTTGTGGGGTGATGAGTATGTCTTGAAGCTGGCTGGGGTGATAACTCCGCAGCTGTAAATACTGTGGAAAACCGCTAAACTCTACACTTATATGAGCTAGTTGAATGATTAATTACATCTCAATAAAACTTAACAAGAAAGTTCAAGTACAAGTTAAAGACAGCTTAAAATTCTCAAAAGCTTTATTATGAAAACAAAATCAAAAAGGGTAAATGAGCATGAAAGAACTTCACTACTGATAAAAGGATATGAACGTTACAAAATCTGGAATAAAACTGCTTATAGTTATAAACAACTCCTTTAAAGTAATTGTACTTACTGATATTCTATAATTTTAATTTTGCAGACGTACCTTAGCTACAGGAGGAACACATTTACTGTAAATACACATCATCTTTGATATGACCTAAGAGACCAGCCTACACAAAGGCAGCTGTATTCACTCTTGTTAAGTAGCTGTACAAGGCAATTGGCTTGAAACAGGAAAAGGTAATTTATGAGATACTGAATGCTTCTGTTATGCCATTATTACACAAAATATAGATAATAGTCACAAGTAAAGTCTATTTCTTACAAAATTTCACACAGTATTCCATATGTTAAGATTACAATTTTGCCATTCTAGGAGATATAAGCAGAAACAATCTAAAGAAACCTTTACACTTAATTCAACACATTTGTTTCCAAAATGTTCTTTTTATTACAGAAGCAAGTATATTATTTAGAAACTTTACTAGAAAAAAATAGGCTGTCACATATATATTCCTTTCCAACATTGCATTTAATTTTATTTAAAGCATTAACCTATACATTGAAAAAAAAAAAAAACTCAGTAATTTGGGTAAGAACTTGATTTTCCTTATAATTCCCAGAGCCAGAATTCTAATACATATTGAGCCTAAAGCTACTATCCAATAGTAACAATAGAGACTATGTATCTAATGTTTGGATTTTTCTCAGAGATAGGGATTCATGCATCCCAGGCTGGCCTCAACCTCATGTATGTAGTCGAGGGTGGCTCTGAACGCTTGATCCTCCTGTCTCCACCTCTCACATGCTGGGATCACAGGTGTGCACCACACCACACACAGCAAATCTAGGTGTGTTAAAAACTGGGTAAAGGAAGAAAGGATATGCTAAAATATAAGTTAGAAAGTAGTTATCAGCTTTAAAATGTTCTTAAGTATACAGAATTAGTATCACATGTCCTATAGTCATGCATTAAAAATAAGTTTACTAAAAGATTAATTTACATAGAACTGTTAAAAACCCTGCCAACTGAAGAAAAAAAAAAAAACAACACTACTTTTATACAAAAAGAGGCACCAAAATGTGTTACCAAATCAAAAATAAAAGGCCCCAAGAAAGATTTCTCAAAACTAAAGTAACTTAATAAAAAAAAGTTATACAAGAAATCAATAATCTATTTTAGGTATGTTTTCAGCCGCAAATTTTTAACACACTTTGACTTCCATTTCTCTATTCTTTGTTGACTCAATCTAGACAGTATGGAAGAGTGTCAGAACACGGAGGCGACTGGCAATTTGGGATGCTGTCCTGAAAAGAAAAGCCTGTGTGCATGTGTGCATGTCTGTAAAGACAGTGTTGGAGTAGAGTATATAGTACTTAGATTGTAACTCTGCTAGCATAATGCAGAACACAGACGCTGAAGTGATTTTTAAAGTTACTAAACTCATGGAGTCCACATTCCATCCCTTAGCAAGTACATTCCACTTGTTGGACTATTTGGCATTCAAGAAGCTAAATAAATTGACTTAGGACACTGGAAATTCTTCACACAGATTTGCTCATTACCGAGTTGAAGTTAACAGTTACTGTGACATGGGGACATCTTGTTGTTGTTGTTGTGCTAGGGGTCAAACCCAGACCTCCTGGACACTAGGGAAGTGCACCAGGACACTCGTATGCAAGGAAGATAGGAAGTGGACCTACCCCCTCGGCCTTCCTGCATTTTAGCAACGTGGCAGAAGTTACCAGTATTTCTTTATGGAAAAGAAAATGGGTAATATGATATAAAATATAAAATGAATTTAGAAATAAAGAAGTTAAGGCACTTATTTCAATGGGTTTGTTGTATTAAGAGCAAATATGTTTTCTGTCTTTAAGGACTTCCTTCCCACCTGAATCCCATAAACTCTGCTCCTTCAAGGCAGCTTTTACAGTTGACTTTAACAGCTGCTACGTGACCCAGTTATCACCTACAGAATTTTTCACTTCTTACTCTACAAATTACTAAGGAAAAAATTAAATGCTTTCAACACAAAGTTTCTAGTGTTGTCTTAATGACAATTAAGATGAAAGTGAATCAACTTATCTCTGATATTAATATTATCATTTTATTCTTTTCATTCCTTCATTTGCCTCCCCTCAACCCCAGTAGTGCTAGGGACAGCCAGAGCCCACTATCGATACATCAGCCAGTGTTGTCATTTCTAAAATAAAGCTTACTTCTCATTTCAGTTGATGCTGAGTGAGCCAATTATAAATTTTTTTTTTTTTTTTTTTAGACAGAGTCTCACTATGTAGCTGTCCTGAAGTCCACTATGTAAAACAGACTGGCCTTGAACCCAGAGATCTGCCTGCCTCTTCCTCCTGAGTACTGGGATTAAAAGAGTAAACCACCATGCCTGGGACTAAATATAAAATTCAAATTAAAAAATCTCTTAACTATTTAAGAAATAAGTTGACAAAAGCAAAACTTATTAATACAACAAACAAAACTAAAACTAAAACTAACTTAGCACGTTATCATGTCAATAAAAATTCAGTTGAATATTTCATATTACAAGGGAAACACACTTTGTACTTCCGCCTTTACAATATGAAAGCTGTTTCTACATGCTTTGACCATAAGAATGGTCATGCATCTACTCAAGAGTGTACTTGAGTAGCCGCTAATTTTTCGTAATGCCTGATGTGAAACACCAGTGACTACACGACGCTCACAGTCGGTGTGAGAGACACTGCCGTAGCTGCTTGTCTATAGTAAAACAAGTGTGTAAGAGTCAACCAAAACTAGAAGATAGGACAGATGTCAGCTAAGCTCCAAAAGTTACTCTAAGTGCACATACTTGAAAAAAATGTACATATAATTACAAAAAAGGAAATATTTTCTTAATTTGAGTTCTGAAAATGTGATTTTTATAGCACAGTAACAAATAACGAGCTATAGGACCTGTTCACTGAACAACTGTTTAGTGTAAAATTAACTATGCATCTTATTAAAGCCATTTCTTTACAGGCTTTATCCTGAATCTCTTTAAGAGGGCAGATTAATTTATAATTTCTTCCCCCACACCAAAAAAGAAAAAAAAACAAAAACAAAACAAAAAAAAACCCAAAAAAAAAACCCCAGGGTCTCATTATGTAACTCTCTGGCTGTCCTGGAACACACTAGACCAAGCTAGCTTCAAACTCATGGATTCACCTGCCCCTGCCTCCCAAATGCTGATAGTAGAGGCATAAGCCACTACACTGGCTTAGAATTTCTTTTAATGATACAAAAATGAAAATACACAAAGGAATATAGCACTTATGTTCTGAACTGTTGAAAACTTTATTTAGCTCTCAATTTGCTCGTTTAAAAGCATCTACATATAGCTCCAGACACTGATGCTCAGTGGTAGTGTTCATTATTACTGTGACACTGCTGATTCCTTTCACTTAATGATGCTCAGTGGTGGTGTACGTTTATTACTGTGACAGTGTCAATTCCTTTCACTTAATGCGTCCAAAGAAACATGATTAGACTGCACACTCCACACTCCACAAACCTGTAAGATTCTTTTAAATGTCCACTAACATGTAGGTATGTGTGTATGTATGTATGTACAGAGTGATGCCTTAGCGTGACTGAATGTTATCAACTTAAGGGGCATACATGAGAAAAGGCAATCACTTAAAAGTCATGAACAAATGTACTAATCCATCCCATGTCTCACCAGGAATGTGCTTACTCACTGCAGCAGATGACAGAAACAGTGTCATAAAAACAATCACTTTCCTTTATGCTATGTCCATTTTAATTTAAATGTCACATATTTTTAACTAACATTTAAACTGTTTTTAATTGCAAGAGATTTACATCTGTTACAAACTTGCTCGGAGAATTTTCGCTTGCACTATAGAATTAAATCACATTAAGCACTTATTAAAAATCACATTTTTGAAGTAAACACTGACACTGACAAATATTCAAATTAAAGATCAATACTACAGAACAATATTTATGAGGAGATGACACACAGGGAAACTTGGAATCATGTACTAGGGAGGAAAGCAGTGAGGAAGATAGCCGTGGTGGATTTGACGGTTTACTAAGACATCAACATCTGATCGTCTATTTCCAAAACACTAAACCCAGGAATCAGCAGGCGTGGGAGGGGTAGCAGCATTTCAAATACCCACACTCAATCTGCAAGACACCATGGAGGTCCAAGAAAACTGCATTTTACTTCAAGTAATATGTCTTTGAAATGAAGGCTCTGTTATTTTTCAAGATTGGAAGGATATCACAGTGTTGACTTTATACACAAAGTAGGATCTGTTCCAGTACACTCTAGTGAAGTAATTCACATATGGAGAGTAGTTAATTTTGACCTCATGACAAAATCGTCCATATTTTGAATAGGTTAACTTGTCACCTTCTTCACAAACCACCTACCAAAAAATAAGAAACACATTATTAAAACACTTACTAAATTTATGAGAAATGTTGCATGAAAATTATCACTGGTAAATATGAGCATAAAATATCTTATGCTTTTAGCCATTTTAAGCCTTTTCCTAAGTCCCCACAACCACTAACCTCCTGAACACTGATAGAGAAATAAACATAAAATGTCTGCAGTTTATAAAGGATTTAATCCTAAAATTTAGCTGGCATTGTTTCTGTATCTTCCATCACCACTCTGAAGAATTCTAATACAGCCTCAAAGGATGAAAAGTGAACACAGTATCTTCTTATACAATCACATTCTTCTTGTGTAGACCCATACTCACCTAGCAAGCAAGCACGCTTGTATTAGGATTTCACATTCCCATTTAACAATGCTCTTGCTACCAGAGCTCAGCTAATTTTTAAGTTTTAAAGTTTTTATTACATTAGCGTGTGTGTGTGTGTGTGTGTGTGTGTGTGTGTGTGTGTGTTTAGGTGAGAGGACAACTTTCAGAAGTCCCATGACTGGAACTCAGGTTGTCAGGCCTGGAGACAAAAACTCACTGAAGACGCTTCCTGCCCCAGGATTGTTTGTTTTTATAATATTATTGTATCACCTATATCAGACATCAGCTAGCCAACGTTAATAGTAAAGTAGCTTAAGTTTATGCCTGGTATTAGATGAAAGGAAGAGCAGAAAGGTAGGGTACCAAAAGAATAGAAAGGCAGCAAGAGAGCAGAAGGAAATTATCAGTAATTACTAAATATCATTTCTTGATTACATCTCATCTGTCACCGATAAGTAAAAATCATGTTGTCAAGCACCAACTGAGTGCATTCAAAATACATGCAGCATAAACTAAGTTTATAGTGTAAGCTTTTATTTAGTAACAAAGGAAAATTACTGTTTTATGTGGATAGGTGTTTTTGCCTGCCTGTATATGTATCCCTCATGCATGGAGTACCTCCAGGGGACAGAAGAGGACATTAGGCTGTGAGCTGCTATGTGAGTCTTGAGACCTGAACCTGGGTTCTCTTCAAGGGCAAGAAGGGCTCTTTTAATGCTGAGCCACCTCTCCAACCCTGAAAGATGGAAACTGTGAAAACAAATTCCTCACCTCCAAACTGGCCTTGGATTATTAAGAAAAACATAATTATTTCAGAAAGGAAAAAAAAAAATATGCTGGCTGCAGCCAAAACAGAATTTGCCCTACAACTCAGCATCATCAAGTCATCTTTTTCTCAAGTCGTCTAGCCTAAATTTTCTCAGGAGTAAAAGCATCTGCTCCCACCAGTTCTATTTCTCAGGCTTACAAACTCCCCTGTGAGTTGTCTTGGTTACCAGTTATGCAGGGTTTCCACGACAAGCTGAGAGGGAAGGTGGCTTGCTAAAGCAGCTAAAACTCACGGAAGAAGACGATAAGGCTAACTAAAGTCAGAACGGTTTTTCAAATGGTTACTCACATGTCCATTTGCAACATCTAATAAATCCTTAACCCTGCAGCCTCTCATGGTTCCCATCTCATTGCAGATGGCATCTTCTACAATTAGGTAGTTAGCTTTATAGGATGTCAGTATCTTATAAATGTCCTCAGCAGATCGCTTTGAATAGATTTGGTAAATCTGAAAGGAAATAAAACAAAATTTAAAAGACACGGAAAGCCCCTGCTAATTTAAAATGACACAGCTTTAATAAAAAGTGCTTAGCAGGGATGGAGAGATGGCTCTGCAGTTAGGAGCATGTCTTGCTCCTCTAGGAGACCTGATTTGGTACCCAGCCCCTGCATCAGGTAGTTCAAAACTGCTCTAACTCCATCTCCACATGATAGCCTCTTCTGGACTCCACACACACCTGAGCTCACCCTGATGTGTACACATATACTTATAAAAATTCAAAATTTTGAATAAAGTACAGTTTGCCAACTGTTTTTATTATTCTTATAGAGTTGTACATCTACTAACACAACTTTAGATATCTGCATTATCCAAAAGAAGAAATGCTGTATATCCTATTGTCACCTCCCAATCTGCCTGCCACAGTCCGATATAACCAATAATCTACTGTCTCTACAAAGATATCTCTTCTAGACATGTGAAATACAGGGCAACTCTAATACGTGATCCTTTGTGTCTGGCTTCCTTTCCTTGGCATAAAGCTTACCTAACTCATCCATACTCTACTGTAGTATTTTTAAGTACTTCATTATCAAAGTCAAATAATATTTGCTCTATTAACATAAGGATAAGACATTTTGCTTACCTGTATCAGTTAATAAACATTTCGGTTGCTTCAATTTGGGGGCCCTTATGGATAATGTACATGAATGTTTATGTAATTTTGAGCAGGACATACATTTTCATTTACAACAGAATTGCTGTGTCGTAAGGTAACTCCAGTTAATCTTGTGAAGACTCTCTGGCTAGTTTCCCACACACTGTGTACAGGGTTATACTGGAGCTCTCCACATCCTAAGCAACACTTATTTGTCCTTTTGGTTTGTTTTTTGAGACTTGATGTCTGGCAGTACTGGAAAGTAATACAAAGACCAGGCAGGCTGCCCTTGAATTCCTGCCTCAGCCCATCACACTCCTCAGTGCTAGGTTAAAGGTGTAGACCACCAAGCCCAGCTTGCCTGTCCTTTGACGGCACTATTCTACTTGGTGTGTAGAACTCTCTACTTGTGGATTTGATTTTCACTTTCCTGACGGTTAATGAAGTTATGTACCTTTCATAGGTAAATTGTCACTTGTAGTTCTTCTTTGAGAAAATGCCTATTCAAGTCCTTTCCCTATTTTCAAAATTTAATCAGTTGTTTTATTATTGAGTTGTAATAGTTTCTTTAGTTTTTTTTATTGCCATGTGTCCTAATGCTCATTTTCCATATAAGAGTAAATAATGTTAAAAATAATTTGGCCACTCAGAAATAATGAGAAAGGATGGTTGAAATTTGGGTTGTGACTAGATGGCCATCTCATTACAGCTTGGACCTATGGTACCATATACTATTTGTTCTGAAAAACACTAAGATATAATACCTAGATTGAGTAAGGTCCTAGAGCTGGAGAGATTTTGCAGTGTTTAGTAACACTCATTACATTTCAGGGGACCCAGGTTCCATTCCCAGCACCCACGTGGTGGCTCCAACTGTCTGTAACCACAACTGTCTATAACTTCAGTTTCAGAGGATCAATGCCAGCTGGGTACATGGTACACACCTGTAATCCCAGTACTTGGGGAGGCAGAGGCAGGAAGATCTCTGTGAGCTCAAGGCCAGCCTGGTCTACAAAGCAAGTCCAGAACAGCCAAGACTACACAGAAAAGCCCTCCTGTTTCAACCTCCCAACAGCTTTTTAAAAAACTGAAGTGAATTGCATCTTTGAAAATTAGATTTTCCTAGCTATCAGGAAACATGTATCAGCACAGAACAAGTTTACAGTGTTATTTTTAAAAGAGCCAAACGTAGAACATGAAATGTCTTACGTTTTCATTTCTCTTGAGAAGATCATCATCGCTATAAAGTGGCAAGCTTGCCACCATCCACCCGGTACACAGCTTAATCACACCCATTAACTGTGGGCTTCCTGCGAACACAGCTGCAACTGGAGCTTGCCTCCTGTCAAGAACCAACAGATCATATGGTAAAACAATAAATATTCTATTATGATCACTGATTTATACCAACTCTCAAATACCAGCAACTTGCAATGTACAGCACCTTTAGATTTCAAAGTTGTCAAGTATGCTTCCTTTAAGTTATGTACTCATTTAAAAACAGGCTAGAATGAACATCTACATGTCAGCAGCTGTTTTCAGTACTGAAGATAAAGACATTTTTTAAAACAGAGTAGAGATAAGAAACAAGCATACGCCAGGAGGTGGCGAGACACACCTTTAATCCCAGTGCTCAGGAGGTGTCTACCTCTGAGTTGTATCTCCAGTCCTACGTTAATTTATGCGCTATCCAGCATCTGACTACTATGTCCTGCAGATAGAGCTAAACTCTGGAAGAAAAGGAGCAGCACCTGACCACTGTCCTAATGGAAGACTCAGGAGTAAGAAAACTGACATAAGATAAAATATACGCCGATAAATATCCAATTATCCAATATCAAACCATTTTTCAGGCTTTAGCCATGCTTTTCTTTTTGATTTTGGAGACAAGGTTTCTCTGTGTAGCCTTGGCTATCCTGGAACTCACAGAGATCTGCTTGCCTCTGCTTCCTGAGAGCTGGGATTACATGCATGCAACACTGTGCCTGGCTTGCAGCTTCCTTTTGTTAGTGTTTTACTGTCAAGCTCCCCAATGGCAACTACAACTCACATGAAGTATTAGCAACAATCGTTAAGGTGACCTAAAACATTTATATATATATAAGGAATGTCTTTACAGAAAAAAGACCTCATTAAAAGACGTAGTCTCACTTTTATGTACTCATTCTATAAACAAACTTGTCATTTCTATAAATATTTTGGCTCCACCTGCTTTATTCTCTAGGCTTTACAATCACTACCACCACCAGGGTCTCACCCTGCAGTTCAGTCTGATCTCAAACTTACAGTGATCCCCTTACCTCAGTTTCCACAGTATTCAACATTACAGGCATATACCACCAGGTCTGGCTCTTCTAGGACGTTTTTATAAAGTGTGTTACCTCTTTTTCGTATTTTGTTTCTAGATCTTTAACAGTTTTCAACATATTATTTGGAAATCTCTCTCCAGGGCTAGATTGATCACTGTACTATTTCTTCTCTCTCTTAGCCATGGATATGGAGAGAAAAGCTAATCTTGGCCATGTGATTTGCTAGATCAATAGGACAACAGCTGTGTGTGCTGGCTAGTTTCATGTCAACTTGACACAAAATAGACACGTATCTGGGAAGAGGGACTCTTAGCTGAGAAAATGTCTCCATACAATTGGCTTCCAGGCAAGTCTGTGGTGCATTTTCTTGATTCATAATTCATATGGGTGGACCCAGTTCACTGAGAGTGCTGCTGCTTTCCTGGGAATGTGGTCCTGGATGCTATAAGAAAGCAGGTTGGGGCTGGAGAAGTAGTGTAGAGGAGCATTGACTATTCTTCCAGAAGTCCTGAGTTCAATTCCCAGCAACCACATGGTGGCTCATAACCATCTATAATAAGATCTGGTGCTCTTTTCTGGTGTAAAGGTATATAAGTAGGCAGAACATTGTATAAAAAATAAATAAGTCTTTAAAAGAGAGAGAGAGAGAGCGAGCGCAAGCAGGCTGAACAAGCCATGAAGAGTAACACAGCATGCAGTACTCCTCCATGGCCTCTGCATCAGCTCTTATCTATAGATTCCTGTCCTGACTTCCACCAATGATGGACTGTGATATAAAGTGTGAGATGAAATAAGCCCTTTCCTCTCCAAGATGCTTTTGGTCATGCTTTTATCACAGCAACAGAAACCTTAAGATACAAGCAAAATATCATAGACACTGTGCTTTACACTGAACCCTGTCCGTTCTGTTTGCTTTTGGGAATTCATTGGCTATATACCACAAGACCACAGGCCAAGTTAATCCGATCTTAGGTGACAACTAGCCAAACACAGACAGGCAAAAGAGGCCATTCCTGACTACCTAGTCCCACCTACGCTGACTGAGGCCAGAAGAATCTTCTCCAGTGTGTTACCACTTGCTGATGCTCAAAAATGTGCAAAATATTAACTATTGACTGCTTATAAAGTTTTATGACAGTCTGTTACATGCCAAAATGAAAGAACGCAAATTATCAGAAATTGCTAAAGTCCAATTCCACTGTTTACTACAACAATAATAGCTGATATTTGCTATGGTGAATTGTTTTCTCATTTGTTTGTTAATTTGGAGTTTCATGAAACTATTTGTGGAAGTCCGTATAACCTGAATTAAAAAGAACCAAGTCAGAAGTATTTTTTATGAAGATTTCACTACCTTGGGTTTCCTGAATCAGACAAGTATGATTTCAAACTCCAAGCCCATGTGAATTCAGACCCATTACTACAAACTCAAGAGACGAATTACTTTTACTGTTGCGATTGTTTCTAATCAAGAGCTAACAGAAGGAGCATGGCTTTTTGAACATTTTGTTCCTTGATGTTCTCACTGGCAATAGTCTTTTCTGGGCCCCTGAGGTATTCCCCATTAGCCCATGAGCAGTAAAGGATGTCTGCCTCTGGAGCACACATTTCTGCTGTGTGGGAGGGTCTCCAAGCCTCCAGTCTCATACTTACCAATGTTGTTTCAACATTGAAGTGAGTTTATTTAGAAAAGTAAAATTACAAAGTAATGATTCCTGAGTTTATCGCCACATTTTCTAAATGTGGAGAACAATTTATTTATTAGTGAGACAGCATGCAATGACAATGACAGTGAGTAATAATTTTGGGCAGTTTGGTCCTTACTTTATCCAGGCCATAAGTTCCACTGTATCTGGATCATAGAATTCTTGTAGTTCTGTTAATTCTGTAATTAATCGTGGAAAAAACTAAAACACAAAGCAAAATACCCGGAGGTGTAAGTAACTGGAAAGCTTAAAATTGTTTCAGAGTATTCCAAAAGACTAACTTAAAGCACAATTGACATGGCAAAACTGCCAGGTCTCTGCCCTCTTCACTGACCTACTCATGCTTTTCTACCACGATAATTGTAATTTTATAGTTTACTCACTGCTAGACTCAGGAACTAATGCTATTACCAAACAATCATCAATTATATCTTTCATGCACAGACATATCAAATAAAAATATTCAAGGATAAATATTTTTGCAGGCTTATTAGCAATTAGTTTCCTGTTATGTTACGTCAAGCCAAAAACTTTATTTCATCACAGATATTAAAATTAGAGTTACCAAAATATATTTAAATATTCAGATCTGCTTATTATTCTAACTCTGTCAATTATGATAGGCATTTACAATGGCTTTAGACTAACAAGAACCACATTAGATTATGTGTAATCCTAGCACTGGGGCTGCTGAGTCAGAAGGATCAGCATAAATTCAAGGACAGCCTGGGCTACGTACTGAGACCTTGTCTCAAAAGACAGCAAGCAAATGAGTGCTCAAATACATCAAACAAACAAACAAACAAACAAACAAACGTTTTGGGAGCAGAAGTTGGTAGTACATGTCTTTAATCCTAGCACCTGGGAAGTAGAGGCAAGCAGATCCCTAAGAGTTAGAGGTTACTGTGGTCTACATATTGAATTCCAGGAGAGCCAAGGCAAAAAAAAGAAAAATTGTTTTAGCTCTTTGAAGTAACAGCAGCAGCAACATTAAGGACATCAGCTTTATTAGTGCAGTATCTTGATAAAAGCTTCCTACACACATATATAAAGTAAATACCTTATAGATAAGCACATTTTCATAATATAAAATTTCAGTTTTCTTACCTCTTTCCACAAACTAAGACCTATAATAGTGGGCACAGCCATGCTTAGAATAAGAGCCTAAAACAGTAAAGCAAAAAGAGTTATGAGTAAACACATTTTAGAATATATCCTAGAATTATTAGCATTGATACTATGATCAACTGAATATCCTTATAGATATAAAATTCAACCATTAAGACTGACATTAGATCAAGAGGGAGGACTCTGCCTAAAATGTTTAATCCCTATCCAGAATGTGCAGCTCTATGTAAGCATGTGGATGTTAAGGGCTGATGCCAGAGGCAGGCTGTAAGACACGTGATATGGGGGCTGAGAGGCTACCTTGAGTCTTCTACAGGAGTTCATGACTGTAACTGCTGAACCATGTTTCTAGCCCCACTATGTGAAAATTCTGCCAGAGTTCTATGTTATGATCTCTGAGGCCAGCCTGGTGTACAAAGTGAGTCTAGGACAGCCAAGGTTACACAGAGAAACCTTGTCTCTAAAAAAAAAAACCAACCAAAACAAACAAAAAAACAAAACCAAAAAAAATTTTTTTTTAATTAAAAAAAAAATTAAAGAACTTGCAGGTAATTTTTTTTTATTAATTACACTTTATTCATTTTGTATCCCCCCATAAGCCCTTCCCTCCTCCCCTCCCGAACCCACCCTCCCTCCCCTTTCTGCATGCATGTCACTCCCCAAGTCCACTGATAGGGGAGGTTCTCCTCTCCTTTCTGATCTTAGTCTACCAGTCCTCTACTGTGGCCTGATAAGGCTGCTCCCCCATCAGGGGGAGGTGATCAACGAGCAGGCCAATCAGATTATGTCAGAGGCAGTCCTTCTTCCCATTACTATGTAACCCACTTGGACACTGAGCTGACATGGGCTACATCTGTGCAGGGGTTCTAGGTTATCTCCACGAATAGTCCTTGTAATTATTTTTGAATTAGCATGGAAACCTAATAGCAAAAGGCACTGAAACCGCACAGGAAAAATAGCTAGCATAGATCATCTTACAATGAGAAATGTAAATTATGGAAGACTGGAAAATGCAAGAAGACCACTGTTTGTTTTTGTTTTGGGTTTTTGGGACAGAGTTTCTCTGTGTAGCCCTGGCTGTCTTGGACTCACTTTGTAGAGCAGGCTGGCTTCAAACTCAGAGATCCGCCTCCCTGAGTGCTGGGATTACAGACAAGTGCCACTGCACCCAGCGAAGAAGACCACTGTTAAACATAACCTGCTGTCTTCTTGTTCCTCCTGTGCTATTTCTGGTGAGGATTTTGTTTTTATTGTTTTGTTGTTTGTTTTACTTCGCTTGTTGCTGTTTCCTCTCCTTCAAAGCCATTATGAAGCATGAACATCATCCTGTCTCCCACTACCACACATAATTCTTTGCAGATTCCCACATTTGAGGAAATGACAGGGGTTAGGACATCCAGATACAACATACACCCCTGTCTCAAAGACAAACGAACAAATCAGTAAAACAATGAGCAGGGGATGCAGCTGAGTGGACAGAGACCTAGCTAGCATGTAAAAGCTCTGGGTCTAGGTCATATCCTGTATATCCTGGCACAGGGAAGGTGGAAACAGCAGGGCCAAATACAAGATAATCCCTCACTATATGGTAAGATCCAGGCCAGCTTGGCACTTAGTCTGAAACAAGAACAACAACAACAACAAAACTTTAAAAAAAATGTTTATCTATCATAGTCTATTTTTCTACCCATAACTTTTTTGTTGTTGTTGTTGTTTTTGGTTGTTGTTGTTTGTTTGGGCTTTTTGCCTTTTTGAGACAAGGTTTCTCTGTATAGCCCTGGCTGCCCTGGGACTTGCTCTTTAGATCAGGCTGTCCTTGAACTCAGAGATGTGTTTGCCTCTGCTGCCAAAGTGCTGAGATTAAAGGTGTGAGCCACGACCATCTGGCTGCCTTGGTTTTCCTTTACTAGCATTTAAAAATTTTAATTACATTTATATGTTTAATTGTGTGTGTGTGCGCGCGCATGCGTGCACGCAAACACGTTTGTAGGCACATGCACCTGTGCATGTAAGACAACTAATGGGACCCATTTCTTTTCTTCCATCATATGGGTTTGAACTCACATCATCACACCTGGGGGCAGGCGCCTTCACCCCACTGAGCGATCTTTATGGTCCTAACATTTTATTTTATATAACTGGAGGATGAACAAGTAGTAAACATAAAATAACAATGGCTCACCAACAATATTGGGTGTACAGTTCTTAACCGAAGCCACTTTAAAAGTGTCATCCAAAGTTCAGGGGAGCAGACACCAAATGCTGCCAACATGCACACATAAGGAGTCCAGATGAATTTCAAGCTGGAAAAAAAAGTCACATATCATACATCCTAGGGCACATCATTATAGGACTTCTCTTTTTTGTTTTTTTTTTCAAGGTAGGGTTTTTCTCTGACTTCTCTTTCCTAAATTCTGTTAACTGCCCATAAAATATTAATGAAGAATGAAAAGTCTTTACTTCTAATTTTCAGCAACAGATTGGTACCCAATTTGTTGTTGTTGTTGATTGTTTTTGAGACAAGGTTTCATTGTGTACACCAGGTTGACATCAAACTCACAGATCGACATGTCACTGGAACTAAAGGTGTGCACCTTCATTTGAAGCCCTCTTTTCTTTTTTCTTTCTTTTTTGAGACAAGATGATCTCACTCAGTAGCCCAGACTATACTGGAGCTCACTATGCAGATGAGGCTGACATTTACTAGAGTGAGTCTCCCGTCTCAGCCTTCTGGGGTTACAGGCATGAGCCACCATGATAAGAGTGCTGGGTTACAGGTACGAGTCATCACCATGACTAGCTTTTCCTTTGTCTTTGAGGCAGGATCTCACTCTGTAAGCCAAGCTGGCTTCAAACTCAAGACAATCCTCCAACCTCAGCCTTCTAAGTGAATGAGCTACCATACCTGACTTTTCTCTTATTTTTAAAAATTGTTTTTTAGGTAAGGTTTCAAGTATCAAAGTTTGGCATGGAATTTGCAATGCAGCCAAGCCAATGACCTTGAACTTCTGACTCTCTGCCTCTACTTCTGTAATACTATGTTTGAGTCACCTCGCCCAGTTCTTAATCTGTTTTCACTTAAACAGAAAAAAGATGCTGGGGTACAGCTCCATGTACAGTATTCATCTAGCATATATGAGACCATAATTCAATTCCCACCACCACAAAGAAAAATAAGGAAGGATGTAGGGAGAGAAGAAAAAAGGGGCAAAATGGAAAAACAATACATTTTGCTTTGAATTACAATAATAAATCACCATGCAAAAAGTCTCAAAAATCACCTTTCATAGTTTACTTTCATGCATCTTACTTATTGTTAATGTGAATAAATGTGTAATCTTGAACAAAAAGAGAGATCTGACCTCTGACCCCTACTCTTAGAGGTAGCCACCTGCCTGACAAGACTAGTTCTGCCCCTAGCACTTCACAAAAGGGGTTTTAAGATAGATTTTTGAGGCTCTCAAGCTCAAGGTCAGACTTGAGACAGTTTCAAGACAAAACAAAACAGCAACAACAAAACCCTTGTAGCTCAATGAATACATTTTCATAAAGTTTATTAATAATCTCGCATGATTTTATGTAGAAGCAGGATAAGGGAGGTTTGAAAACTAAAATTTGGGGCTGTAGAGATGGCTCAGAGGTTAAGAGCACTGGTTACTCTTCCATAGATCTTGAGTTCAATTCCCAGCAACTACCTAGTGGCTCATAACCATCTGTAATGAGATCTGGTGCCCTCTTCTGGTATGCGAGTGTACATGCAAACAGAAAATTGTATACATAATAAATAAATAAATCTTAAAAAAAAGAGAAAACTAAAAACTTACTACAAATAATTTTTTGTATGTTTTCAGGTTTGTTGTTTCTGTCTTGATCTTTGGAGACAGGTCTCACTATATGGCACTGGCTGGGCTAGAACTTGACATGTAGACCATGAACTCACAGGGAGGCACCTGCCTTTGCCTCCTGTATGACTGACATATCTGAATATTAGCAGTAGTATGCTGCATAACAGAGTTCTCGTCAACAATAGACTGCATACAGGACAGTGATCCCACAAGAGGGAGCTCATTAAGCACTTAAGTCTTAGAGAAATCCTGTCTTTAAAAAACAAAACAAAACAAAACAAAACAAACAAAAAAAAAAAGACAACAAAAAAAAACCAACCCTTTTTATTTATTTTACCCGTATTTATTTATTTTGCTTTGCTTGAGTGTATGTATGTGCTGGAACAGGCCAGTAAAGAGTGTTGGAGCCTCTGAAACTGAAGGTTTTCAGATGGCTTCTAGAGACCTGATTTATGTGGGTTCTGGGAAACAAATTCAGGTCTTCTGCAAATACTTTTAACCAATAAGCCATTTCTCCAGCTCCTAAAAAGGGTTTGTTTGTTTTTTCAAGACAGGGTTTCTCTGTGTAGCCCTGGCTGTCCTGGAACTCCCTCTCTGTAAACCAGGATGACTTTGAACCAAAAGATCCACCTGACTCTGTCTCCCAAGTAATGGATTAAAGGCCACCCCATGTCCTAAAAAGTTTATATTTTCTTTTTTAAGATTTACGTATTTATACCTGATAAAACAGGGCCAGACGAAAGGGGAGGAGGTCCTCCCCAATCCATGGACTTGGAAAGGGGCAGGGAGAAGCTGAGAGAGGGAGTGTGGGATTGGGAGGGAATAAGGGAGCTGGGATACAGAGTTAATAAAATGTAACTAATAATAACAAACAATAAAAAAAAGATTTACTTATTTATTAAGTATATAATGCCCTGCCTACATGTAGGCCTGCATGCTAGAAGAGGGCACCAGATCTCACCCCAGATGGTTATGGGCCACCATGTGGTTCCTGGTAATTGAACTCAGGACCTTTGGAAGAGCAGCTACTGCTCTTATCCTCTGAGCCATCTTTCCAGCCCCAAGTTTATACTTTCTTAAATAAAGTTTTGCAAACTGTTTTAAATGTACTCACTAGCTACTAACTTGTCAGTAGAAAAGACAAGTTTTAAAACAAACTGATCAAACAAGTGTTCTTACCCTTCCATAAGCATCGCAAGAGAACCCAGTACAAGAGTATGAATTACATGATAAATTATTTCTGGCCTTTCTCCAATTCTTCCATCTTCAAGAGTTGCAGTTTCTTTCTGAGATTTACCACTAAATAAAGGGAATATGTTTTTGATAGTTCAGAAAAAATATACACAAAAAATCAAAGACATTATCATCATCTTTGAAGACTATACCTAAACTGGATTTCTTCTCTTTCCTAAGATCAATTATGCCTGAACCAGCACTCTAATCAATATACGTAAATTACGAAGATAAGAAGCTGTAGCTAGCCAGCTTCCTTTTGTTTGTTTGGTTCTTGTTTGGACACGGGCTTCACTACCAGCTCAGGCTAGCCCAGAACATATTCTGGAGCTAGGCTTGCTCTACTCCAGGCCACCTTTTGCTTTAGGCTAGAGAGTTGAGAAATTACTAGTGTGACTGGCTTCAAGTCGCTTTTTTCTTTTATTGTAGTGCTGGGGGTTACCAAATGTTTACACTTATATAGACACTACACAAGTGTAGTATCAGCCTTTGCGAGAGCACACACTGTACAAAGTAGGTCAACTGAGAAGTACCGCTAGTATTTCTTGTATGTATTTTGTATGTATGTATTTTGGATTTTGCAATGCGGTTTCCTGCAGCCTAACTAGTTCTGGACTTGCTATGTAACTCAAAGCTGGCCTTGAAGTCAGGATCCTGTCTTCCCCTCTCAAGGGCTTGAATTAGAGGCATACCACAAGTACCCATAACTACCTTTCTAGCATGATAAACATATTTAAAACAATTATGTTCATAGTATTCATTTTGTTATTGTTTTTGCTCTTTTGCTTTTGTTTCTCTCTCTCTCTCTCTTTTTTTTTTTTTTTTGAGACAGAGTCGCACTATGTGGCCTAGGCTGCCTTTGAACTCAATTTTGTTAGCTCAGTCTCTTGCGTGCTTGGATTATAGGCTTCTCATCATACTCCAAAAAGTTTACAGTAATTTCAAATCACACCACTAGCTTCATTTCAATGAAATCACTCACACACACACACACACACACACACACACACACACACACACACACACTTATATATCCCCATTCCACCTTAGAGTTTTTCTGTGTAGCCCTGTCTATCCTACAACATGCTTTGTAGACCAGGCTGGCCTCAAAATCAGTGCTCTGCCTGCCTCAGTCTTCCAAGTGCTGAGATTAAAGGCATATGCCACCACACACAGCTGATACATTATTCTTAGTTAAATAAAATTTTCAGTAAATTAGAAAACAAGTCTGAAAAAGCTTAATCTATTACTTATACATGTATGCAAATACTCAGATGTATAAAGCTAAATATTTGCTTTCTTGATTAATTTATAATGACCAATACAGTAAACACAGCATTAGAAAGGTGTGAGGTGGCGTACACCTGCAGTCTTAAGCGATTTGGAGGCTTGAGAATATGAACTTTAGAGCATTTGGGGCAGTACAGGAAAACCTTGTTCTCTCCTTCCTTACACCCTTAGAACTAAACCCAGAGCCTCATGCAGGCTAGTTAAGTGTTCTTCCATAGCACTAAACCCGGGCCCCAAACCCTGTCTCTTAATAAAACAAAACAAATAAATAAACAAACAAACAAAAAAACACCCCAAAATAAAACAAAAAAAAGTGGATCTGGGTACAACTTAGTGGCAGAGCATACTTAAAATGTTTTATATCTTTAAAATACATCAATTAGTAATACAACTGATTGTTATAAGCACTTACCACATCCTCCTAAAAATAACTTGTGTCATAGAAAGAAGACAAATGATTAACACTAAAATATAGAATGGTAATAAGGAAGATTGTGTCAATCGTAAAAAAAAATCCTGAGATGGTGCCTGGAGAGATTCTTGACAAAGGAGCCAGTTCAACGTAAAATTCCTATAAGAGACAAAACGTATGATATTAAAATCACATGTGCTTTAAACTACTGAACATAAAGGTATCTTAAAAATCTCAGTTAAACGTGAAGATAAAACTCGGGTAGGCTACCAGGAAGCACGTGCCTTCATCTTAACTGCTCAGAAATAGAATACTGCTGTTTCTCTTGCCAGAGTTAGGGTTGGTAATCAAGTTCCTCCAAAAAGGCTTGTGGCTGGAAAGCTTAATTCCCAATAGCAAAAGATGGAGGCTAGAGAACTAATTAGGTCATAAGCTAGATGGAGTCCTAATCTGAGAAGATGGGGCCTATCTGAAGAAAGGTCACTGGATGGATGCCTTTGAAGTATATATCCTGTTCCTTCCCCTTTCCCCTCTCCCTCTGCTTCCCAACCTCTTTCACCATATGCTAAGATCCATGGAGCAGAAACAGTGGAACCAAATGATCTATAAAACTGAGGCCAGTAAGGCACCTTGGTGAGCTGGGCATGGTGGCTGCACGCCTTTAATCCCAGTACTCAGGAAGGCAGAGGGAGGCAGATCTCTGTGAGTTCAAGGCCAGCCTGGTCTACAAAGTGAATCCAGGACAGCCAAGGCTATACAGAGAAACCCTGTCTTGAAAAAAAAAAGGGGGGGAAGGAGCTGGAGAGATGGCTCAGAGGTTAAGAACACTGACTGTTCTTCCAAAGGTTCTGAATTCAATTTCCAGCAACTATATGGTGGCTCATAACCATCTATAATGAGATCTGGTACCCTCTTCTGACAGGCACACATACAGGCAAAATACTATATAAATTAAAAAAAAAAAAAAGTGCCAACTTGGTGGGTAAAGGCACTAGTTGTCAAGACTGAAAACCTCAGTTCAATGCCATAGTGGAAGATAACAAACTTTAAAAATTTGACTTCTGGCCTCAATATACATACTATGGCACACACATACACTTAAATTTTTTTTTCTAAAGAAGTCAGAGCAGGAGATGTGTCTCAGTGGTTCAGAATACTGGCTGCCTTTCTACAGGACCTGGGTTCAAGTCCTATTGTGACTCACAATCAGCTCTAACTCCAGTTCCAGGGTTTCCAACTCCCTTTTCTGGTCTCTAGGCAGCAGGCAGGCAAATAGTACACAGACATAATGTGCAGAACAAATACCATACACAACAAACAAAAATAATTTTAATAAATTCTTGAAGAAGTCTATGAAGTTGCCAACATGGGCATTTTGTAGAATGGCTAAGACACTGAAACTCTGACTATCTGTAAAGTCCAATGCAATATAGTTTTCAAGTTGCTGAGGTTAAACCCTCAAGCACGTGAGACAGGCACTTCTACCACTGAGCCACATCCCCAGTAAAGAGATGGTGCGATGTTCAGAAGTGCTCACAAGATAATTAAGAGATGGCTCAGCAGTTGATGGCACGGGAGACCCAGTGCCGCCTTGTGGCCTTCAAGGGCACTTGCACCCACGTATGTGGTGCACATCATACCTGCAGGCAAACACTCACATACATAAAATAACAAAATCTTCAAAGTGTCTATTTCAAAATGACTATGTTTAAAAAACAAGCTGAAGCTCAACAATGTGATAAATAGGAGTATCTCAGTATTAAAGACAGTGCGACCAAAATACCTAATACAGGGTCCGGGACTCTTTAACTGTTGTTGTTATTATTCTGAGGCAAGGCTTCATGTGTCTCAAGGCATCATAAACACCAATTCCCTATGTAGCTGGAGATGACCTGAATTTCTGATACTGTTTACACCTCACCAAGAACCAGTTACAAGCATGTGCTACTATGCTCAGTTTATATGATACGAGGACTGAACCCAGGGCTGCATACACCTGCAATCCCAGACTACAATTGCTTCTTTTATCTCCTAAGTTCTTGAACTAGTATCCCGTGCAACTTTTAACAGTTCTTTGGTGGCTCTTTCTGCTGTTGTTGGTTTGCTTGTTTTTCGAGACAGGATTTCTCCGCATAACCCTGGCTGTCCTGAAACTTGCTCTGTAAACCAGGCTGGCCTCCAACTCAGAGATTCGTCTGTCTCTACCTCTCCAGTGCTGTGATTAAAGATGTGCATCATCAATGCCCTGCTTCTTTCTTTCATTTTTCTCTCTCTCTTTCATTCTTTTTGGTTTTTGAGACAGGATTTCTCTGTGTAGCCTTGGCTAGGCTGGCCTCAAACTCACAGAGCTCCACTTCCCACTGTTCCCAAGTGCTGGGATGAAAGGTGTGTGTCACCATGCCTGGCTTCCCCATTTCTTTTTTTTAAACAAACAACATTCTTTATCTTAAAAAAAAAAAATTAAGACTTCCCTATTACTATTTTAAGTGTGTTTTGTCTGCATGTATGTATGTTTAGCACTTTTGTGGCTGGCGCTGGAGGAAGCCAGGTGGGGATGTTGGATCCACTGAAACATATGCACTACCTTGCAGGTACTACGAGCCAAAGAAGCCTAGATCTTCAGCAAGAGCAGTAAGTGCTCCTAACAGCTAAGCCATCCATCTTTGGTGGTTCTTAGAAATCTGTCTCTGGAGAAATATTTCCTGAAATTCTGGTAAACTCCAAATCCCAACATAGAGCTAGCACATCTAAGCACCCATGTCATTGACTGTGTAAAATCAATCAGGGCTAGGAAGGTAGCTCAGTTGAGCCTGTGTGAGGCCCTATAGTAACAGGGAAAACAAAACTAAACAGGCAATGATTTTGAGAGAAAAGACTGTTTTAACCTTCAATCACCTAGTATATTACCCTGTAAAGCAAACTAAGAGTTGGCATGTTGACTACTGGGTACTATATAAATATCAACTAATAAACACAGGCTCAAAGCAGTTCTCAACCTTAGAAGACAGTAGGATGAGCTCCGGGTTCAGGGTAAAGTCAACAGAAAAACAAACAAAAGCAAACAAACCAACCTCCCTTCCGCAGATCTGCAGCAGTGTTTACTGTTTGTGTACCTGGCCTGTAGAGTCTCCTAAAGGGCCCTTTACCATAGGGAATGAGTGCACACATCAAACACTTCATTTGCTAGTTGTGCTATGTGCTATAGAGAAATTCAGTCTACACTCCTATAAATCACAGGAGTGAGGAAAAGGTTCCAAACCTTCTCAGAGCTTGAGACATGTGCAAGCAATTACCAGCTGTCAGTACATAATGGCATTTCTCTCCTGTTGATTCATAAAACAAAACAAAACCAAAACCAACAACAACTAGAAACACATTATTTTTTAATGCACAACATCAGAAACTGGGCTGCTTGTGGTCTAATTGTTATGCTATTATACTATAATATGTATGAGACTGCTTTATGAAACAAATACCTTCCCGCCTGTCCTCTGCCCTTTCTTTTCCTCATTTGGCAGGACTGGAGATCAAATGCAGGGCCTCTCACATAGGGCGAATGCTTGATTACTGAGCTACATTCCTAGCCTGCTTCTGTCCTTTGTAACGGTGATCACAGTGCCGGTACAGTGTTTACTGGCTGTTTTACCTGGAGATCAAACCTAGGGCTCTGTACACCCTAGGTCAGCATTTTACCCAGTGGCCATACCTGCAGCCCTCATTTTAAGTCTTCACTTATTCCAACTTTAGACTGAGTCTTTAATCTTCACCAAAGGAAAAAGCCTTAAAAATACTTTGAAAGAGCTGGAGAGATGGTTAAAAGTACTTGAGGCTCTTGCAATGGCTCTAAGGTCAGCTCTCAGCTCCCACATCAGTTGGCTCACGGCCACCTGTAACTACATTCAAAGGAATCTGGTTTCTTCATTCACCTGCACATCATGCCTGCACACACACACACATACATATAAATAAAAATAAAAAGATAGCCGTGTGGTGTGGTGGTGGCACACACCTTAATCTCAGCGCTCAGGAGGGAGGCAGAGGCAGAGGCAGACAGATCTCTTGTGAGCTTGAGGCCAGCCTGGTCTACAGAGCAAGTTCTAGGACAGCCAAGGATACACAAAAAAACCCTGTCTCAAAAAAACCAACAATAAATAAATAAATAGGAAATCTTTAAAACAACACTATGAAGCTGGAGACATGACTCACAGGAAAAAGCATACCCTACAAAAGCTTGATAACCTGAGTCAGAGCCCTAGAACCCACGGTGGAAGAAAAGAACTAACTCCCAAAATTTGCCCTCTGATTTCTACACATGTGCTGTGGCACACACATGCTTATTCACACAGACACAACACATCCACATGCAACAATAAATAAATTCTTAAATACATTAAAATGCTATAATGCTGTTAACAGCGTTAAGTATATCTACTTTTTAGGGGACTAAAATTTTATTTATTTATTTATGCTGCTGTGCAAGATATCCAAATTGCAGTCCCAAGCATGCTCACCATGTGTTTTTTCCGGCAGCACTGGCCCAGATTTAGAACTGGGGCCCTGTGCTTACCAGGCAAGCACTCTACACCTGAGCTGTGCCCTACTCCCCCATTCCCAGCCCGCCATTCCAAAGAGCAATGTCACTTATTTGATAGGGCTGGGGCTATCATAGTTCTGTGGCGGGCCCCTGCCTATAATTCACAAGGCCCTGGAACAATTCTCAATACCACAAAACCAAAACCAAAAAGTAATCTTCTATATAATATCCAAAACTATTTCCTAAAAGGCATGTAACCAGTGCACACTCCCTCCATAAAGCATTCTTGCTTTGTATTTTCTGCATGTTACAGATTAGGTGAACTTGTAAATGTGAAACTTACTTAGTCGCATTTAGTCCAAATTTTACTTCAAGAAATTTCATCACATGCTCATTTTCTTTGTGTGGGACAAACATCTAGAAGAGAGAGAATCAGGCACCATGGCCAAGTTGTGAGGTATCATTCTCACAGAAGAGAAAACATTACCTAAACAAAGAAATACTCCCTTACTTATGCTTTTAAAGCATACTTATTTCCAGTTACTAATGATAGAAAACACAGCCAGATTAACAGAAAAGTGGATTAAGTAACAGTGTGCAATATGAGTGCATTCACTGTATGCTTAGATATAAAAATGCAACGGTATTTTGAGAGTATGAAAATTTCAACCTAGGATAGCTGATTTTAATAACCCCTGCCCTTAAAGACATATTTGTTGGTTTATTTGGTTTCTGACAGTCTCACGTAGGAGAGGCTAGGCACGAACTCACTGTGTAGCTGAGGGTAATTTTCTATACACTCTGTTCCCTTGCTTGCTCATCGCTCCCACTAAAGCTGGCACAGCGTATTTCTCTATTCAAACTGATCCAAAGCTCAGAGTTACTTACCTTCACTATAAAATTCAAGGTCACTGGCACAGTACATAACAAATAAAATTCAAACACTTTCATTATTTTAGCCACAAAAGATCCTTTTTTCCAATCCAGCTACAAAGGAAAAACCAAAATCACATGAACAAAAAATGAGGTATACAATTAACGATTTAAAATAATGACTATTTGTAAGAAGGCAATGTTGATTACCTGAAGGCACTTAACAAGCATAAATGTTCCCACTAAACTTAATAAAGGAGACACCAATAAAGCTGGATTCTCAAACTGTAGCAAATAGCCAAGGAAGAGAGAAAATATGTAGATCTTAAACACTTCATAAACCTGTTGAAACAAAATAAAATAAATAAGAATAAAATTAATTTTAAAATAGTAATTATAAGCAAATGTCCCACTATAACTTAAGACAGTGTTAGCAAATGTTCAACCTGTATTTTTACCGTTATGGTGTATAATTAACTTACCTTTCTCTTCTTAGCATTCTATAGAAGCAAAGCCAAGAGCTAGAAAACCGTAAGTGGAAGCTAAAGAGCCTTCTTGGTGACACACCTTAACCTTACCCTTAGCTTCTGTTTGTTGTCAGGTTGTTGCGGCAGCTCTGTGGAGCTGCGGTACAGCACCTTCCCTAATCCCAGCTCCAAGGGACCCCAGGCCTCTTCTGGCCTCCAAGGGCACTGCGTGCATGTGGCACACACATGCAGGTGAAACAGCCACACAACGAAAATGTTTAAGTCATTTAAAAAATGCGAAACAAAGGAAGACTAAAGAAGCTGGAGAAAAGTCTAAGTGATTAAGAGTAGCTACTGCTCTTGCAAAGAACTAAGTTCAATTCCCAGAACCAGTATCGACAGCTCGCAAGCTCCTGTAACTCCAGCTCCGGGAGATACAATAGCCTCTTCTAGATTACACATGTACTGACTTCCTCACATGTGCACAGACACACAGGTACATATACATAATTAAAAATTAAAAACAACTCTTCAAAGAGAGATACCCTTGGAGAATGCTAACAGCCTGGGAGAGAGTGCAGAGTCTTGTGATGCTGATGATGTTCAGTTCTTGACTTGGCTAACTCCATGTAAGTGTGTACAAAAAAGAGTAACTCTCAGCTTCACTGGCCATTCTCGCTTCTGTCTACACATCTCTTTTCAAGACAAAGCTCTGACAATAGGAAAGGCTTCAGGGAAAGTATAAAGCTGGATGAAGGAGATGCTCACTCTTTTCTTGCTCCTTGTTGGCTTGCACTTCAAACCTTACCCAAAAGACTATCAGCTCTTGACCCCAACAAAGCTGTTCCTTCCTACTGAAGCTCAGAAGATAGGAATAACTTTTTCAACACTTGACAATGCAGCTCCGTCCCTCCTGTTTCCAGCAGTTGCTATTTCTGTAACGCTTGCAGGCCCCTCTTATCATCATCCTTTCAGCTAATCAATTATTAAGATGTCAACTTTATTCTTTTTTTTTCCCATTTTCTCTAGCTGTAATTTTTAGGGTAGGGCATCTTGTTATTTGTTGAATCCAATTTTTATAGGCACAGCTGCCAACAATGTGACTGCCTTTAATCAAGATGGCCCACAACTTTATTCTTGATTAATTATTTTGGAGAGGGGTAAGTTTTGAGGTTTCTGGTATGAGAAAGCAATCAGGGGCCTTTGCATGTCAAGCAAAGTGTTCTACCACTGAACTACATACACAGCCTTGGTTATTAAATCTTTCTGTTAGGTTCTCCCTGTTCAAACAATCTTGATGTTCATCAGAGTTCTGAGCAGCTGAGGATAGGGATGGAGAAACAGAGAAGAGGTTTTGAGAGACAACACTGTGAACCTTGGTCCTTGCGTCTGCACCCATTTAAAGTGCTGCACTACCTTATCACCTTGCGCCACTGAGAAGATGTCCAGCAGCAGCAGAGAGACTGCTTGAAGAAACAGGATGTAGTGGCTGTGCTCCCACATCATCATGAAGGTGTACGTCGAGGCACTCATCAGCAAGTAGCAAAACCTCTAGAGAGAAAGAAAGCAGCTAAGATCAGCAATTTCACTACTGCACAAACCCAATGGGCTGCAGCACTTGAAGCTACTTTTAAAATCACAAGACCAGCCACGTACGGTGAAGCACGTCTTAATCCCAGGACTTGGGAAGTAGACACAGGTGGCTAGTGGAGTTCAAGGCTAGCCTGGTCTACAAAGCAAGTTCTAGGACAGCCAGGGCTATGTAGAGAGTCTCTGTTAAAAAAACAAAAACAAAACAAAAAAAACCCACAAACCCAGCAGGATCTTAACAAAACACAGAGAGAAACTAGCACCTGTCTTTCCATAGTATATTGCTAAGGGAGGGTGGGACAAAACAGGGGTTCAAGCACAATTTTTTTTCATGTCAAGAGAGGAAGCAAAAACTAAAAGAAATTGGCGTTTATTAGAGTGGCTGGTAAACTTTTGCTAATATGGAAATTTCTTTTGTACTAATATAGTATTTTTATTTTTCATCCATGCTAAGTTTATTTTCCTAAAAACTATCAAGAGTCTGCCTTGACTAGCCAATGCTTTGTTCTTAATCAAGTTTGGCCTATTTCCCTCCAATGCTATATATATTAGCTAGGCAAAACTGGATGCTACTTCTCTTTACTTAATACTGAAAGAGCTGCATCTGGGGGTGCACTTCCCTAGTTTCAGTCCTTGGAACTAGAGCCAGAGGCTCCAAGGCCAGCCTGAGCTGTATCTTTCAACATCCTGTTCCTTCTCCACTTAGGGATGAACACCCTGAGCACAGCAAACCTACTTGCTGAATTTTCATATCTTGAATGTTGCATTTTCATGCAAAACAACATGAACATATTTCAGATCTGTAATGGATATCTCCCATAGTTTGGTGTTTTCTTCTGGTGCTAGGGCTCAAACACAAGGCCTCAGACTTGCTGGGAAAGAATTCTACCATGGAGCTGCATCTACAGCACAGGACTAATGTTTTTCATTGCAATGTTTCTTGTGATGCTAGATTATTTATTCCAAAGTTTTTTTGTTTTGTTTATTTGTTGTTGTTTTAAGACAGGATTACTCTATTGTGTAGCTCTGGCTGCCCTGGAACTTACAATGTTGACCAGACTGGCCTCAAAATTCACAAAGCTCCTCTGGCATCTACCTCATGAGCACTGGGATTAAAGACAAGCATCACCATACTTGGCTTATTACCTTTCAGTTTCCTATTGTATTAAGTAAAATACATGGACATTAAAATAGAGAAAGGAATCCAATTAACTCTTCCCATTGGTGTTTGTTTGGTTATGGTGCTAGGGTAGAAGCTCTAGCCCATGCACATGCCAGCTACCACAGAATCACACCCCCAGCCCTAGTTCCTGCCCTGCATTCCAGACAGCCAAGTTCCTTAGGAAATTTTGTTTGGTCTCTCTGGTCTCCTCCTAGCCAGGAATTTTTTATCTAGGCCAGGCAGACCCCCAAAGGACTGTTACATTTCAGTCAACTTTAATATAATGAACTGCTTCTGTAGACATATATTTTATTAAAGTTAGTCTGTGACACAGTCTATGGCCTTCATTCAACAGCCGATTGGGGCAATAACAGTAACAATAATTGAGAATCTAAGTAACCTGCGACAGACATTTCCTTCAACTTTAACTGACCTACTACATCTCAGTCAGGGAGGACATGTGATTGAGCAAAAGAACATGCCATATTGCCATCAAAGTTTATACACTGTCATCCTCGGCCACCGCTGCATCTTCAGTAACATTTCTTTAAGTTCTGATGACTAAAGGACATAAATGTTCCTGAAGTAAGAGAAATGGCAAAAACAACACTCGGATATATTAACTTCCAAAATGAGATATTCTTCATGTAATTGTCAAGTAACCATACTAAAAGCAATGTAATATCAGTTTTCCTAAAAATATTTGATTGTTATCAGATTACAGAAAAACATGACTTAACAACTACATAGTAACATGCTCCACTGAATAGAACTTAACTCCTAATATGACTTCTTTTAAAACTATGCATCATGGCCCAGCATGATGGTGTACAAACGTAATCCTATATGAGGCAGTTGGATTAAGTGTTCAAGGCCTAGCCTCAGCTACAGAATGAGTGTGAAGCCAGCCTGAACTATAAGAGATTTTTGTATCAAAACATGTAGCACATTTCATTTCCAAAGCATCAGAGTTAGCTGTGTCATATATAAAACAGACTTGTGCCTTACCTCTGCATAGGTATTTAAGTTTCTTTTTAAATAGCCTGTAAGTGCAGCAACTTGGCATGCAAAGTACGGCAGAGCCCAGTTTTCTCTTAAAGGAATGGAGTATTCGATCTTTGTTGTATCTACCCTAAAATAAACACAGAGGAACACTGACAGTGAGGCATACGCTTGTGTAACAGTACACTTCTCTTAGTTTATTTTTAAACTACTATTATTTATTCTATGTATATGGTGCTTTGCCTGCATGTGTGTCTGTGTACCATGTGTGCCTGGTGCTCTCAGATGCCAGCAGAGGGCTTAAGATTCCTGAAACTGGAGCTATAGACAGTTGTGAGCTGCTATGTGGATGCTGGAAATTGAACCCAGGCCCTGTGGAAGAACAGCCAGTGCTTTTTACTGCTGAGCCATGCTGGCAGTTCATAGTAGTAATCCTGGCACTTGGAAGGCAAAGGCAGGAGGATCACTGTACAAGCCTGGAGCTAGCCTGGTCTACACATCAAGTTCCATGCTAGCCAAAGAAACAGCAAGACCCTGTCTTAAGAATACTGAAAATAGGAAAATGAATACTGAGAGAAATCAGAAAAATTAGTTCCATGCTTGTGAAATTGTAATCAGCCTCTAGTAGCCTATTATATAAGAGTATAAAATAGCCAGACATGGTGGCACACCTTAATCCCAGCATTCAGGGAGGCAGGGGAATCTCTGTGGGTTTGTGGCCAGCCTAGTCTACAAAACAAGTCTAGGACAGCCACGGCTACATAGAGAAACCCTGTCTCCAAAAACCAAATTAAAAAAAAAAAAGTATAAAATAGTCAAAATTCAGGAACAATGAGTGATGAGTGAGAGGCTCAATGGGGAAAGGCGCTTCCAACAAACAATCCCCAAGACCCACATGGCAGAAGGGGAAAACCAGCTTTTCTGCTTTCAGCTACGGTGCAACTTTCTTCGGTTGTGTCGAATGGTGGTTCATCCCATTCAAGCACTTCCACCATACTGCCCACGTTTGACCTCAAGGAGTTCAAAGTTGTGTACTTGAGGTACACCGGATATGAGGCCAGTAGCATATCCGCACTGGCCCCCAAGATCGGTCCTCTGGGTCTGTCTCCAAAAAAAGTTGGTGACGACATTGCCGGTGATTGGAAAGGTCTGAGGATTACATCCTGAACAGACAGGCCAAGACTGAGGTGGTGCCCTCTGCCTCTGCCCTGATCATCAAAGTCCCAAAGGAGCTGCCGGGGGACAGAAAGGCGCAGAGGATCATTAAACACTGTGGAAATATCACAGTTAATGAGACTGTCAACACTGCCAGCCAGATGCAACACCGTTCTTGAGCCAGAGAGCTTTCCATTAAGGAGATCCTGGGTACTGCACAGTCTGTGAGCTGCAATGTGGATGGCCGCCACCCTCATGACATCACAGATGACATCAACAGTGGTGCAGTGGAATACCCAGCTAGTTAGGAAGCAATGAGAAACAAAAAAGGGGAAAACCAGATCTGGAAAGGTCACCTCTAACCTACATACACATACACTAACCAATACAATGTAAACAAAAAGTAGTAAAAGTTCATTGAACTGAACACTTAAAATCTCTATATTCTGACTTTATTTTTTCAAAACGGTAAGAAAAATAATATATTTTAGTGAGTTTGTGTTCCTACAGCAGGTTACTATAGAATTTGCAATTTATAAACAACAAAATGTATTGCTCGCAGTTCTAGAAGCTGAGAACCTAAGATCAAGGAAGGTGCCAGGGATCCAGCATCTAGTGAGGACCCATTTCTCACAGACAGAACCTTCCAGCCTTTCCTCACGAGTGGGGGGAACAAGATAGCTTGATTCGACCCCCAAAATTTTCTTCTGTAGTGCTGGGGATTGAAGCCAGGGCTTGTGTGTACTTGACAAGCGCTCTACCACTCAGCTATAGCCCAGTGCCCATCAACTATTTTATAAGAACAGTAATTCCAGTCATAAAGATTACTCCTCACTTATGACCCACCTCTCAACAATAACACATTGGTAATTAAGTTTCAATATACGAGCTTCTAGAAAGCACATTAAAAACATAACAGTACAAATGGCAATTCTAACAATTCTGGCTTGTCAAAGATTTCTTGATTATGACATAAAAGTATGAAAAGAAAAAGAAAAACAGTAAGTAAAACCCTTTTGGGAAAACTTACTGCTAAGTTCGCAGTTCACCATGACTGGAAAGCCCTGAGCTTAGCATAAAATGGAGAATGCTCTTTGCTGTTGAGGCTTTCTCTTCTCTGCCTGGAGATCCTGGATCCCCATACCTTCTACCTGAGAAACGTCCGGTTGTCCATAGGGAAATTATAGGTTCACCTCCCTTTCTTCCATAAGAACCCACTCAGCAAGCACCTGAGATTCCCGGAATGCCTCTCTCCATGCAAATGAGGCATCTCAGTAACTTAGCCCTTCCCCCATGATCTTTGCCAATTCTGAATATCCCTATCCCCAAAAGTTCTATCCCCCAAAGTTCTATATAACCCTTGTTCACCCCAAATAAAACTGATCTGTGTCCCTGAAGCTGATCCCAGAAGGTCATTTCTGTTCATGCTCACAGGCCACTGAATCCCTAGTTCAATGCTTCTGCTCCCTAGTTCCTGAGGACCAGAAGCCAATGACCCTAGGAACCAGGGAGAGCTGCAAAACCCAACTTACCAGACTTGATCAAAATTTAAAGCTTTCCACTTTCATTATTTATAAAAGTACACGGCCAGGCATGGTGGCTCATACATTTAATGCCAGCACTCAGGAAGTGGATCTGGCAGTTGGATTCTATGAGTTAGAGGACAGCCTGGTCCACAGAGAAAGTTCTCGACACCCAGGGCTACATAGTGAGAGCCTGTCTCAAAAAACAGGAGAGGGGGTTGAGAGGGAGAGATGCAGGAAGAAGAGGAAGAAAAGGAAGAGGAGGAGAAATACAAAGCACACTGAAAAAAAAAACAAAAAAAAAAACCTGAAATAGATAACCCTGAGGATGACAAAACATGAGAGACAAACATCTGCATCGCCTCCACACTGGCCCAAGGAAGAACTTCTGTTTCCCACGGATGTCACCACTTATCATGTAAGGACAGGAAAGCCTTCTCAGAAATGCATGGTTAATTGTTTTACTGTGCCAACATCACAGCCTATACTATAGAGCTACTACCGTGTACTCTCTCCATCACCCGTTACAGTGTTACGCCAGCTCAACCATCAGAAGGTGGACAATGTTGTAGAAAACAGGAACTGAGTATGGTGGCACAGAGCACAAGAGGCCAAGACAGGAATACCACAGTCTGTGGCCTACCTAGGTTTCAAACTGACCCCCACCAAAACCCAAAAAACCCCAACAAAGTAGGACTGTAGCTGAAACTTACAGTACTTCCAGAGCATACCCTGGGTCCAACCCTCAGCACTATAAAATAGAAGGTATGCACAGAGACGTGACAGAAACATTTCAATCAAAAAAAATGTAGCTAGGCACAGAGGCACATGCCTATAATCCTAGCACTCGGGAGGCTCAGGCAGGAGGATCTCTGTGAGTCTGAGGCCAGCCTGGTCTATAAAGCAAGTCCAGGACAGCCAGGGCTACACAGAGAAACTCTGTCTCAAACAAACAAAACAAAACAAAACAAAAAAGAAAGAAAAAAGAAAAATTGGGAAGAATGTGAAGAGACTTTACCAACTAAGAACATGCACATCAATGGTCATTCAGTGCATGCAAACTAAAACCATGTTCTCTGCTTCCTGGTTGCCATGACAGAACCACACACCTACCACCTGTTAAAATTCTTCCTTGCCGCAGACCCAAAGCAATAGATACAGCACATCGGCCTAAAATCTCCAAAACCACACTCAAATAAGGATTCCAAGGAAAAAGCAGCTGCTTGCAAATCAGCAAAAGAAGCCTTATGAGAAATCAGTGTGGTCACTCTCCGATGCAGGCACTTTGCGTCCAAGAGCCATACACACCCTGAGAAGACAGCCCTAGAAACAGAATGCATCACTACCTGACGGGAACGAAACTGTTTCCCAAAAATCCGCTAAGCAGAAGCAAACAGCCTACAATGCAACCACGTGCTCCCCTCGAGCAAAATGTCAGTGGAAACTTCTCCCCAGGGAGCCACTTCACAGAACCAAAACTGAAAATCAATGGCAAACGTACCAGATCCTGATCAGGACTGCTTATTTATGTATACCTCTCACCACTCTCCTTCAGGGAAACCCCGGGAAAGATGGGTGTGAGATCCTGGTGCTCGGTCTCACCTGTCTTTCTACAACCATGCTGAAAACTAAATTCCCTTCCCACCTTTCATGGAGAAAAAGGAGTAATAAACTACAATGAGATATTACTGAACATTAGTATCTACCATGCAACAAGGCTCTTAGTACACACGTGTGTACACACACACACACACACACACACACACACACACTGACTTAAATCAGAGGACAACTGTATGGCTTAGTGGTATAGTACTTGCCTAGCAGGCACAAGGCCTGGGTTCAACACAAAAACTGAAAGGAAACAAAGCTAGGGAAAACTTCTTTGCTTAAAATAGCTTACGCTATGACTTCCAGGTAAGATCAGAAGCTGCAAACTGTCAAGTGTGAGTTGGTTAAAAAGAAAGCCAGAAAAATCTGTGAAGTAGAATACCTGAAGGGAGAAGAGAAAAGGCAGGCAACACAGAAAACTAAACTGACTGCTTTAGCAGTGCAGCTCCCATGCGAGTTGAGCCAGCACCTGCTTCCAGAAGCAATTTTTTCTCTTTGCTGAGTTGGTACTCAGGATTGAGCCTCCAAGGAGGCTGGGAAATGGCTCAGAGGTAAAGCACTGGCTACTCTTGCAGGCGACCCAGGTTCAATTCCCAACACCCACGTATCAGCTCACAATTGTCCAAAGGACCTGATGCCCTCTTCTGGCCTCTGCGGGTATCAGGAATACATGCGGTGCACAGGTATCCATGTAGGCAACATCCACATGCATAAAATACAAAGAAATAAATCTTTATTTTAAAAACCCTGATCGATAAAATAAGACACCGCTCTCCCTAAATAACCCAGAAGAGATACCACAGTGCAACGCCCAGATGTAAGAACATGAAGAAAAATCAGCAAGGGATATAGCTAAGTTGGTAGAGTGCTCACCCAGCATGCAAAAAGACCCGTTCCATCTCCAGCGTCACATGAGTGTGTGTCTGTGACCCCAGCACTGGGGAGGACAGTGCACTTGAGGCCACGGTGGGCTACATAGTAAGTCTGGGACCAGCCTGGTCAACATACCAAGAGTCTGTCTCAGAAACAAAAACAACCAGGGAACAGGCTCAGTAGTAGAGTCTCTGCCTAGCTGTAAAAAGCTGTATGCTGTTCCTCAGCAGGATGAAAGAACCCTGGCTGTCCTAGAACCTGTTACGTAGAGTGGGCTGGCTTCAAACTCACAGAGATCCACTTGCATGCATCTGCCTCCCGACTGCTAGGATTAAAGGTGTGTGCCACTATAATGGGGTAGGTTGAGGTTTTTTGAGTCAAGTGTTTGTTGTTGTTGTTTTTTTTTGTTTGTTTTTTGTACTGGGGACAGAATTTCTTTGTGTAGCCTTGGCTGTCCTGGACTCGCCTTGTAGACCAGGCTGGCCTTAAACTCACTGTCTGCCTCTGCCTCCTTGAGTGCTGGGATTACAAGCGTGCCCCACCACGCCTGGCTTGAGTCAGGGTTTTAAACAGACCAGGAGTACCTAAAGCTCAGGCAGGTGCCTGCCACCGTGTACCAGTGGCGGTCATAAACAACTTGTAGGACTCTTCTCTCTTGGACCATCATATGGGTCCTGGTAATGAGTCAGGTTATCAGGCTTAGCAGTCTTCTCACTAGCTTACTACATGTTCAAAGAGTTCATTTCCTCTGCCTCAACCCAGTGTGGTCCAGTGCATCCTACTCATCTCTTCTGACATCGCCACTTATACCAGCTGGAGAAAACTTCTGCTTTGTTTCACCCTCGTGTGTATGTGTGGTGCGTGTGTGCCAGTGTTGTCATGGGTTGGGGAGCACATGTGTAAGCGAAGGCTGACTTCAGTACTCTTCCTCAATTGTGCTCCATCTCATTCACTGGGGTAGAGTCTTTCGATCAACCAAAAAGTTAGCAATGTGGTAAGTCTGGCTAACCAACTGGCTCCCAGAAGCCGTCTAAGAGCTTAATTCCAGGCGGCTCCACATCCACCCAGCACTGCCATGGATTCCAGGAATCTGAACTCTAGTTCTCATGCTTGTGTAGCTAGTGCTTCAACCACTGAGCCCTCTTCCCAGGCCTGCTCTTCAAGTGATCATGTGGCCAGCTTAGGCCCTGAGGGGAATCCTGACTAAAGCATACCTCGCAGCCTAACAATTGACAGGTTTGCAGCTTATGGCTGAGCATTTTAAGAATGGGAATGTTTTTGACACTCTCTGACTACCACAGCTACAAAAAAAATTGTAAATATCAATTTAAACACCTTTCATACCTGTTAATCAGGAACCATGCAACAGTAAGCATTCCTGCTAGCCATGTGCCACTCATAAGCCAACTTGTAACAAATAAAGCTGTAACATATATTCCTTGTAATCCAAAAACAATGCCAATGTAGAAATACACTGGTTCAATAATTTCCTAAAGGCAAAAAGAGAGGGAATGATAAAGAGGATGATGTTAAACAACCTGAGGATACAAGACTATGTAAGAAAATAGACATTAAAGTAAAAAGAGGCGGCTGGAGAGCTGGCTCAGGGGTTAAGAGCACTGGCTGTTCTTCCAAAGGTCCTGAGTTCAATTCCCAGCAGCCACATGTGGTTCACCACCACCTGTAGTGAGATCTGGTGCCCTCTTCTGGTGTGCAGGCATATATGCAGGCAGAATACTGTGTAATAAATAAATCTTAAAATAAATAAATTTAAATAAAGTGAAAAGAGAGGGCTGGAGAGATGGCTCAGTAGCTAAGAGCATATTTTCTTCTTACAGAGGACTTCAATTCAGTTCTCAGAGCCCACATGGTGGCTCACAACCATCTGTAACTTCTAGAGCAGTGGTTCTCAATCTTCCTAATGCTGTGACATTTAAATAGTTCCTCATGCTGTGGTGAACCTCAACCAGGAAATTATTTCACTGCTACTTCAGAACTGTAGTTTTGCTACAGTTTTGAATCATAATGTAAACATCTGATGTGCAGGATATCTGATATGAAACCCACACAGGGATCGAGACCCACAGGTTGAGCACCACTGTTCTGGAGGATCCAATGCCCTCTGACCTCTGAGGGCACCAGGCACACATGTGGTACACATACAGATATACAAGCAAAACACTCACACCCATGAATCAATCTGCAGAAGAACTACATACACTGCTGCCGGTCGCTTGGTAGAGAGCACTGGCAATGAGCTCTGGGTACAGGGATAGCTGCTGCACGGCGTTGATGGTCTTCAGGGAGATGGTCTTGTTATTGTGGGTCAGCTCGTACACACCTACACACATAAATATTTCTCTCCAGGTTACTGCTCTGCTTTGACAGTGAGTCAACATGTCACTCATTAGTCACCACAATTAATATGAAAAGAAAGACATTCAAATGCAACACCAGATGCCTCATTTTCCCAACTTTTTTATTATGTACAAAAAGAGAAATCACTACATTCTGAGACAAATTCCCACATTCTAAAGCTCTTAATCATTAAGAACAGTTTCATTTTAGAAGAGTATTATTACAATTACATACCTCTTTCAAATGAAGGCGCCTTTAACATGTCTTTATAATAGGAGTAATAAATAGCACTGTCACCCTGAAATGTGATTTCTCGTTCAAGTTCCTACAATGAAATAAGTATTTGAATGTCAGTTGTAAATGTCAGCTGCACTTTCTTTTCCCTCATCTTCTAATGTTTTGGTTCTGTTTGTTTTCTTCATATTTTAAATTGACATGACATGGATTTACCATTTTAGTCAAGGAGATACTTACATTTTCCTTAACTACCATATTAACAAGCACACACACAAGATAAATACATATATGCATACATACAAGTAAAAGTTTTATCTATCATGTCTATAATCCTAGGACTTAAAGGGTCAATCAGGAGGACTGAGAGTTCACGGCCCACCTGGGCTGCATGATGAGACCCTGCCTTTAGATAAACGTGAAACCTACAAACAGCTCTGTAGTTGTGTCTTGAAAGGGCTAGATTAAACAGTTCTATGAGTTTCTTTATTGTAAACATTTCGGTTTCCATATATGTCTCCCACCGTTAGTCTCCAAGAGAAAATGTTTTTCAGGTCTATTTTACCAATGAACCACCCTCCCATCCAAAAATTGCTATGGTCTAGATGCCAGCATCCCTAGATAGAGATCAATCTTGTATGTGGAACTCAATTGCTACTGTGATGACATTTCAAAAAGGGCATCTGGAATGTGGGTGTGTCATGAGGACACAACCTTCTGAACAGGGTTAGTACCCTTATGAAACAGGCCCCAGAGTTCCCCTGTCTCTTCTGCCACAGTAAGATGGTCACCTATGGATCAAGAAAGAAGTCCTGGTCTAGACCTAGTGGCACATGCCTTTAACCTCAGCACTTTGGAGGCAAAGGCAGACAGATCTGTGAGCTCTACCCATGCACTGTTAAATAGTGACATTCTGTCTCAGAAAGTAAGAGAGCAGGGCCAAGCAAAGAGAGAGAGAAAAGAGAGATGGGAGAGAGAGAGAGGAAGAGAGAGACCTCACTAAATACTAACTCTGCTAATCTGCTGGTGGCCTTTGAGCCTAATTTATATGTTGTTTCAGCAGCCCAAATATACTAAGACAGACCTAAATGAATTTCTCTTAAAAGTATTTTTTGGGATGGAACATTTTCCCATCTAGGTGTGGTAGTTCATGTTTCTAACTCCAGCACCCAAAAGGATGAGGCAGGATCACTGAGTCTGAGACCAGACTGGACCATATATAGTGATTATATAGTAATTAGGCTAGCTTAATTAACAGAGTGAGACTTTGTCTCAAAAGCAAAACAACAGACTTGTTTCTTTGTAAGATTTCAAAGATGACTCTAACCATCATCCTTAAAATTAACTGTGCATATGAAACACACAGACCTTACTAACTCTCTGGGTGTGGGGGACACACCCTTCATGCCAGCACTCAGAAGGCAGAGGTGCACAGGTCTCTCAGTTTTAAGCCAACCTGATGTACAGAGCAAGTTCCTGGACAGCCAGGGATATAGAGAAACTCTGCCTCAAAAACCCAAATAATAAATAAACATATAAATAAGTAAATAAGAGCTTACTAAAATATAGACAAATTTTAAAGTGGGTTAGAAAAGTCTGCAGTTTTGAGAAAGCGCTGTCAATGCCCTTCATCTGTTTATACTAAGTTCTTCATGAATACCTACATTTTCAAGCCTCTAGTGGTCTCCATTCTGCCTATACAATACAATCACCTGATCTGAAACACTGCAGACTGGCAGCCTAAAGAACATGAGAGGGAGGTCACTTTCTGACAGCTTCCTACACCTGGCAGGGACAACTATCATGACAGAGGTGTTTTTTCCTGTTTGTTTACTTTGTTTGTTTGTTTGTTTGTTTGTTTGAGACAGGGCCTAGCTGTACAGCCCTGACTCTTCTAGAACTTAATGTGCAAACCTGGCTGCCCTCAAAATTGCAGAGATCAACCTGCCTCAGTCTCCTGAGTGCTGAGATTAAAGATGTGCCCTGCCTAAGACACAGACTTTTAAGGGAAAGGCAGACCACAGCGATAGCTAAACCAACATGCAGATGCAGTCAGTACCCAGTCACTTACAAGTGTTCATATTCATTGTTCCCCACAAATCAGTCAGCTTAACTACTTGCTCAAAAAGAAGCAGTGGTAAAACTCAACAAACAAAACCCACCAATGTAAGCTCAAACCTTTTAAAACTCCATATAGCTAAGTAAACTTTGAGAGCAAATTTATTCAAAGGTCAAAGGATGAAATTTCAAATATAACTATAGTGATTAAGGATTCAGTGAAATAAATATACATAATTTAAAGCCAAAGATTAAAAATGAGTCATCATTTTAATATTATTATTAGAGCCAGTTAGATGATTTAGTGGCTCAAGATACTTGTTACACCACACAGACATAGACAAAAAATTAATAAATATAATTTGAAACTATAATAAAATATAAAATTTAAATCCTGTTGTATTTGTTAATCATTTTAAACCTTCTCCCAAAATTGTAATTATAAAATCTAATTCTAAAATTAGATTATACAACTGTAATTATATAGTCTAAAAATAAAAATATTTTAATGCTGTTTCTGAAGTATGAGCTACCAAAACTACAAAGAGGCTGACCAATACCACAGCACTTTACTGAAAGTCACTAGAGAGATTCGGTTTGACTGACCACAGCCATCTTCCAACGGAAGAGTCTTGGCTGCTCCTGAGGACCTCTGATCTCTTTTCCCCATTTCTCAGCATACTATAAACAGGCAAAATTTCTAGAGTGATGCACGGAACTTTCAGACCTACATCGTATCTCAAGAACCCTAAGGGCGTGCCTGATGTCCTTGACATCAGCTTATGATGAACCAGGTGCACTCAGTTTGGAAGACGTTAGCACTGTTCTGACCATTTTATCACCATTTCCTTTTGATCCCAATCTCAAGGACTCACTTGTTTTGCAACTGCCCACCGCTCACTTGTACAAATGAGTCCCATCTGCAACTTCTCTGGATGCCAGTGCTAGAATTAGTAGCATATTCCACCATGCCCAGCTTACTACATATTTTAAGGGTGATACTGTAACTGTCTCAAAGAGCATTTTGAGCATTCTACACAGCATTTTGCTAATACTAATAAATAAAATATTTGCTATAATTATCATATATACACATGATCTCCTAAGAAACACAATGCTCAAGTTAGTAATTAGTTTGAAAACACTTTTCATAATCTCAAAATTCTTCTTACCTGCCTGTTGGAAAACCAGAATTTCCGTTCATGGTAAGCTGATAAGTAGAAAACATGCATCATACCACTAATAACTGCTGCAAGACAGCCAATGAAAATCTTTGCAAAACGTTGAAATGATACATCTGAAAAAGAATACTGAAGATAATCAAAAAGTAATACATTGTCTTGAAATGAAGTGACTAAAATGGCACCCTAGATCAATGGTTTCTCTCCAGAAACATAACCCCAATCTAATCACAACAAAATGCTAACCTGCAATAAAGCCCATCCTACAGGCCCCTCGCTGGATGCTTCCCGGCTGAGAACTCACTGACGGAATGAATGCTTGCCTGGCATATGTGAAGCCCTGGGTTAATCCCCACCACAAGCAAAGGAAAGAAGAGGTGGAAAGACAGACAGATGGATGTCAGGGTCATCAGAAACAAACCTAGGAAACTGTCAGAGCATAGAGTCCAAAAACAACATGGCAACAAAAATAAAAAGACATTAGGTTAAAAACTAAGAACATATGAATAAAGCATAGGCCTTATTTAAGGGCAACACATCCATGTTCATTACTTGGAACAAACGTAGCATACTAATGTGAAATGCTAACAAGGGAAAGATATTCTCAAGTCTAGCGACAGTAAGATTAGTGGATTAGTGGAAATACACCCCAGCACCAATCATGATGACCTGAGTTCAATGCTCAGACCAACATGGTGGAAGAAGAGAACTAGTTCCCAAAGCTACTCTCGGATCTCCATGTGTGCTCACATACACAAACACACACACAAAGTAAGTAAACAAAAAATTAAGTCAGGTCTATATTTTACATGATGAACACATTGTAGAGATTTGTTTCACAACAAGTTAAATATGCATAATATTAAAGAACAGTACACTGAAACTTGGTTAAGACATGAAAAAAAAAGCCAGGTGTAGGGACACAGGCCTTTAATCCTAGCACTTAGGAAGCAGAGAAACTCTGTGAATTCAAGGCCAGCCTGTTCTACAAAGTGAGTTCCAGGACAGCCAGGACTACACAAAGAAACCCTGCCTCAAAAAAACAAAAAAGAAAATAAAAAGTGAAAGAAAAAAAGAAAAAAAAAACACATAAAAAAAAAAAAGCTGCTTTCAAGTCTGTGGATGACACCCCCGGAATAATAGTTATGTTGCCTTTGCTTTTTCTGATTGAACCAATAAAGTCTGAATCCCCCCCCCCAAAAAAAAGCCAACTATAGAACTACAGAAACAAATCCTGTCTCCGACAAAGAGATGAGAAAAATGCCCATTGACTTTAAAAGTAATCAAAAGGAATGCACTACACTCATTCTGAATTACTCATATATATATTATACACACACACACACACACACTCTCTCTCTCTCTCTTTCTTTCAAGAATAAGCAACATATATCCTATAAACTATGGCTTGCTGATGAAGCAGTGTAGAGCTCAGCTGGCTCTGCACACAGGAGGATGCAGCCCCACCACAGCTGGGAAGCACAGAACCCGATGCTCTGCTACTGAAAGCAGATGACTTTGGGGCAATCAACGTTTCCATTTATTAGATCAGTTAAACAAAAATCTCAGGGCTGTGGGTTAGCAGTGTTAGCAAGGACATCGCCCAGGCTCAATCCCTATCACCAAAAGACAAACAAAACTCAGTTTGCAAATGTTATTATCATATAAAATATATATATTTACATAAAAAAAATTACATTCTATTCAATAAACTAACTATTAGTGCTAGTATGATATAACTGTTTTATCATTTTGGCTTTTTATAGTAGTGGTGGTGTTATTGAGACACAGTCTCACTATGTAGCTTTGGCTGGCCTGGTACTCAGAGATCCACCTGCCTCTGCTTCCCAAGTGCTGAAATTAAAGGTGTGAGCCACAACACTGACCCTTAATAAAACTGTCTTAAAATTTGACTTTGGTTTGGATTTTGACAGGGTCACATGTAGCCTATGCTGAACAAAAGGTCACTACACAGCAGAGGCTGTACCTGAATTCCTGAGTCTCTTGCCTCCACCTTCCAAGCGCTGACATCACAGGTATACACCTCGATGCCTGGTTTTTTTCAAGTTACTGCTTCTAATATCATGATATAATTACTGTATCACATATATGAGCACACACATAGACAAATACATACACACATATACATACAGAATATAGACACACATATTTCCACATATACCTCCTGTCCCCAAAGCGCTGAGTGATCAGTAATGCTAAGAGTGCAGAACATAGCGGTTATTACTGCTGTGCTAAGTAAGCACACTTCCATAAATATATGAAGTAACTGAAGCAATGACAGCTTGGTATCTAACCCTTAAAACAAACAGTAATCTGGGCATGGCAGTGCACACCTTTGAACCCAGTACTCAGAAGGCAGAGGCAGGAGATCTCTGACTTTGAGGCCAGCCTGGTCTACACAGTGAGCTCCCAAATGCTTAATTAGCTATAGCTGCAGCTGCAAAGCTGAAGACCAGTAACTTGGAAGGCTGGGGTGAAGGAGCAGCTCAGGAGTTGGAAGCCATGAGTTTGCCCATGAGATACATGTCCACAAACAGGACATTCACAGCAGGAATACTTGTAACTATATACTGAAAACAACTCAACGTTTAACCAAAGAAACAATTACATATAGTCAAACAACGAAATACTACTAAGCAGGGGATGGGAAAGATGGCTCTGTGCTTAAGAGTGCTGCTTTTCCTCAGTCCCCAACACCCATTTCTGGTGGCTCACAACTGTCTGGAACTCAAGCTCCAGGGGATTTGACACGATTGGCCTCTGCAGACACCTGCAATCACATGCACATTCCTACATGCAGACACACACACCTACAAGTACTTAATAAAAACAGGAGCTGGCTCAGTGATTAAGAGCACTGGCTGCCCTTCCGGAGGACCCAGATTTGACTCCCAGCACCCACATGGCAGCTGACAATCATCTGTAACTCCGTTTTCAGGGAGGCTGACACACATTTCTGGCCTTAGCAGCCACAAGGCATATATGTGGTTCACAGACACACATGCAGACAAAACACTCATACACATAAAATCACATATACGTAAACTTAAAAAAATAACTGCATCTACTGACAGCAACAGTATTATCAAATATTTGCCACTGTGTAGGTTGTTTGTTTTTAACAAGGTTCACTCTGTATTGCTTGTCAGCCTTGAGCTCTGAGTCCTCCTTCCTCAGCCTCCCGGGTGCTGGAATTACAGGTGTGCACCACCAGGCTAACATCGTATGTATGTATGTACGTACGTACGTACACATATCCATATGTATATGTGTGTATATATGTGTATATACATATATATGTGTGTGTGTGTATCAGTGTGTGTATATGTCCTTAACTTTCTACAGGAAGGAAGCAATCTGAGAAAGCTGTTTGGCCCCTATGTGTGACACAGCTCTAATGCTCTCTTCAGGTAAAGAAGATAATAGGGAAAGAGGAGTCTTTGAGAGACAAAGTTAAGGACCATAAAGAAAAATGAACTTTGAGAAACTCCCAAAGAACACAATAGGACACTCAAAAGATTTCCTACCACAGGGTAAGGAGACAGCATGTGCTTAGCAGGATTCTGAATTGCTATAGAACTGCAATGTTTATCTCCAGCTCTTTCAAACACAAGCATTTCCAGTACCACACTACCTAATAATGTCTACTGAGAGGCAGCATATTAAAACACTTCCAAGGCAGGCCTGAGTCAGCTCCACAGGACAGGATTTCTTACAAGATAGGCTCTTAGCTGGCATCTGGGAACTTGGATTTCAAGGGAGTTTCTACCATTCTTTGACAAGTGTGGTTCAGTGTGCCTACCTTATTTGTACAATGTGGTTTATGCTTTTTCCAGGAGTCTAAACCTTGGTCATGTGATAAGCACAGAGTACCTACAAGGACTAAAAAACAAGGTACCTAAAAACCCAAGTGCTGTTTCTAATGAGCTCCACTCACTGACAAAACTACAAAAGAGATAAAGCCCTGTATGACTCCACTGGGAGAGAAATTTTGGAAGTGTGCATCCTATAACGTACACATTTTTCTCAAAAGACCTCTGCCCTGTACTGTTGTGTTATTCACTATAGCAAATCATGGCTTTAAGGACAACTATATCCTAAGATCCTGAGTCCTTGAAGCAAACCACTGTTCGTAGGAACTGTGACAGCGCAGATAATTTGTATTTTCAGTTCATAGGTCTTAAGATCAGAATGAGTCCTAGCTGGCCCTGATGCTTGAGTTTAAAACTCAAGTTATCTGATGCTATGACAAAATAAGATTAGATGTCTTCTTTAGTGCAAGGGAGGGTATATTTTGTCTGAGAAAGAGGGGCAAATACTTATGAGGAAAAGGATGGCTCACTAATGGTGTGAGCCACATGTCCTGGGCTTGGTCCCCAATGTGACAAAATAAAGAAATGAATAGAAACAGAAGAGTATGCATTTCTACACATGACCATGACATGTCTGAGAGTTTCCTGCAGTCACGTGTGCTTCTGTAAGCTACTGTCTGGACTGACTAGCACTTGTCTGGACCAAGAACAGAAGTGACAGTGGATCGGTCTAGTAGAGCCTCCAGGAGAAACTATGACGCTACATGCCTTCCTGCTCTTTTCCTCTGTCCCAAGAAAAACATGTCCCAAACAGGGGCTGTTCCTTCCTGACACATGAAGCCACACCAGCTAACCTGGAACTGAAACATGTAACATATTAAGAACTAAGCACTTATCATATCATGGCCACAACATGAGCCATAAATAAGATGTAAATATTTACTGAAAGGTGATACAATTTAGGGGCTGTTCTATAGCAAAAATTAATTGTTAAGCATAAACTGAACTTCAAAATACCTTTATTTAAGACGGGGCATGTTCCACAGTAGGGAGCTTATCTAGCAAGTATTCGAAAGCCCTAGGTTTAGTTCTCAACATCTCAAAGCACACACACAAGAAGAAATCTCTTCAGAAAGTTCACATATTAAAATGATGGAAACGTACTTTCCCAGCAGGGTTACCTGAACGGTAGCACACTGGATCAAGTGACTTACATTTTGAAGCTCTTTGAGGGGCTGGGGTTCTACGGGCCTTCTCTGCTTTGGCTTCCTGACTTCCTGATGTCTTCGACTTTTTCCTTTGGCGGGGTTCTACAGCTGACCCTAAAAATATTGACAACATTATTGCAATGTCTCCATCAATCTTCAGGATCTCGAGTGGGTCAGCTTTTGTTTGTTATGTGGCAAGCAAAGGTCACCTACATGGCCAGATCCTCAAGCCCTGTCTCTAATGGGCCTCCCTGGTTGATAAAGCCACAAACGGCACAACTTTGATACTGAAGGACTCAAGTGTATCTTCTATGACAAAAAGTAACTTGGGATCATATGGCTAAAGCCGGTCACATTGAGACCCACTGTGCCACCTTCCTCAAAACTGTCTTCAGTATACGAACAGAAGCAAAAAATGTATAGACCCTAACACCACCTCTGCCTCTCAGAGTCCAACTGCTAAAAGAATACAAATTCTTCTCTTGAAATGATGCTGTTTTAAAATGTGCCACAGTAAATTAAATTTTTTCCAAAAGAATTTGAGGGATTATTCACCTTCTTATTTTAGCTGAGATTATCAAATCCATCATTTGTAGGTTAATAATTTTTGATCAAAATACAATGCATGACTCATAAAATTATGCTTTTTTCTTTTTAAAGGTAGGTTCTTGAGTAACCTCAAACTTCTCATGCCCCTGACTCAGCCTTCTAAATGCTGAGATTACAGGCACACACCATCATTTTTTTTCTTTTTCTTTTTTTAAAAACAATTTCTTTATTTATTATATATATATATATATATATATATATATATATATATACATATATATGTACAGTACAGTCTGTATGCACACCTGCAGGCCAGAAGAGGGCACCAACTCTCATTACAGATGGTTGTGTGCCACCATCTGGTTGCTGGGAATTGAACTCAGGACCTCTGGAAGATCCGCCAGTGCTCCTAACCTCTGAGCCATCTCTTCTGCCCCACACCACCATTTTTCTTTCCAGAATTTGGAACTAAACAAAGGGTCCTGAGCATAGTAGGCAATGCTGGACTGCTGAGCTGTTGGCCAGCCTCTCCTCAATACAATCCTGGAAGCGCTTCTACAGTGGTCGTTCAATGTGCACGCTGACAAACACAGGTGCTAGCTTTCTGTCTTATCATACAGATGGGAAGCACTTGGAAAAATGCCCTAATACCAAAATGCTTACCTTTTCTATTTCTAATTTTAAAAAAAATGTAATGCAAATGTTATATCTAAACCACTAAGTCAATTCTAAATGAAAAAATAAGAGACTCCAAATTAACAAGAATTTGAGATAGACAACATAACTAAAATTACCTTGTGAGATGAGTAACTGCCATGAAAAAAGAGTGGCCCTGTCCAGCCAATAGTATGACTCAGGCTTTTATTTCTCTTTTTTCATAGTTATGTCTTTAAGCCATAAAATGTGAGATCAAAGAAAGAAACTGGTAGCAAAAAGAATAGGTTCCTCCAACCAGACAGACAGCTCTTTAGCTTTACTATGACACTTGAATAAAACAAATATTCTGAAACTGTTTCCAAGCAAATTCATACTTACTAAGGTGTCTTTAAACAACAGTGTAGAAAGAAAAAGGTGAAGTATACATTAAGTATAGTTTCATCCAGTCCCTCTCTCACCGACTTCTTTCGTCCCGTGATTCCTAACCATACTTTACATGCACACAGTGTACGCCTCAACTATCCAAACCACAGCCAATCAAAACGCAAAGCTGTGGAGCCGGGCCCAGTGGGTACATCTAGAGAACAATTCACATACCTAAGGCTCAGAGAACATTGTGGAGGACTGGCAGAAAGATTCTAAGAGCCAGAGAATAGAGGACTTTGCTGTGAGATTGTGTCTACTAGGAATGTCATAAATTACACCCATAAAGTCTCACCAACATGTCTGCCTACTCATGAACTGAACAAGAGCAATAACGGATATGCCAAAGTGGACAGGGAAGCCTATGGTAGTGGCCCACACCTTTAATCCCAGCACTCCAGAGGGAAGCAGAGGAAGATGAATCTCTATAGTGGAAGTTTTGGTTTCTTTAAAAACTCAGTTATGTTATGTAAATATGTTTTTGTTTTAATCCCAAGTGTGGGATTTTAGTTTGGGCTTTAGTTCGTCCACAGCTGATAACTGTCTCATGCAGGCTGTGCTCTTTGCCGGCTGTTAGCAACCTGCCTCATGTGGCACGAAGAGGGGTGTGGGCTAGGGCTCTGAGGATATAAATATGAGAGCCCAGAAAGAAAAAGTGTGACCTGAAGCAGTGGTATGTGACAAGTGGCAGTTTAGAGAGACCAGAAACACTTTGTGACACAGCAGCTTGGGGGAGAGAGAGAGATGGAGGTGACTACTTGTTGCTTTTGATGAGGAATTTGTATAGCCCTAAAAGAACCCATTAACCCTAAATAGCCAGGAGAAGTAAAAGGGTCTGTGGCCCCTTTCTCACCTGCCTAGGGTTGGGGGCGTTGGAAGGGAGAAGCTTTAAGGAACCCTAAATAAAGTAGAAATTAAAAATGAACACAACATATCTCTGAGTTTGAGGCTAGCCTGGTCTACAGAGTGAGCTCCAAGACAGCCAAAAAAAAAAAATTTTTTTTTTTTTAACAGAAGAAAAAGGCAAATTAAATGATGAATACATAGCCATAAGAATAATCTGCTACTTCAATCTCTAGCCCGGCCATCATCACATGAAATGACAGCTACAAACAGGCTTCTAGATACCCATCTAGACTAGACAAAGAGGATCCAAGAAAAATGCTAATGCTGCTGTGCTCAAAGCCCATCATCCTTTCTTTGCTTTATGTCTGTTTCTGCAAGTATAAATGTAAGTAACACTTGTACTTCATCAGGAGGGACACCTGGAAGAACATTTACTTCCAGAGACAGCTGAACAACAAAGAGGCTCCAAGTACCTGTGAAGAGGAAGCCAAAAGCTACAAATTGCACCTGGATTCAAATACAAATACAGAGACTGGCCTAATTTTAACAGAATAAAACAAGATTTGTAAACAGAAAGTGCTCAGGGAAATACCAACATAGACGTGTTTGCTGTAAATATTATCACAAGCATCATTACAACAAATATTTATTCATTCATTGCTGACTATTATATCCCAGTACCCAAAAGAGTAGAGGCCCAACCACGAATTAAACATTTGTTGAAAGAAAGCGTATTTTAATAAAACTGCCACTGACTAATTGTCCTAAATAAGGCACATTTGTTTTTGGATTATCTACAATTCTTGTAATCAAAAATTTCATCAGTTTATAGCCAAATACTTTTACAAAACGATAGTCTTTTAGCAAGTTCCACATCATACTATTAAGCATAATAATTATATCCTAATTGGCATTTTTGCACATTTACAATATTAAGTTTTAGTAATGCTGCATTACTTTTTTTTTTTTTTCATGTTTTAAGTATAAATATGCACACAGGGACAAACTGGTTTATCAACTACCCACACAGATCTGTAGCTAATCACAAAAATAAAATTTACAAAAAATTTTTTTCAAATGATAACACACTACAAACACTGGTAATGCTGAAGAAACAAGTGGAATGACATTCTTCCTGACCAACTACCTGTTCTGGGGGCCTGTTTCTAGGTAATTTCTTAAATGTGGATGAATCTTAACACAAAGAGCTGCAGGAAGAGGAGGAATGATGAAATCGTGACCTCAGGGACAGGACATCAAGTCCCAGTCAGCAGGAACTTCTAATAATCTTCTGAAAAATGGCTTTCCACTCAATTCTTCAAACTCCCTTCGTGTACCCTTTGTTCAACAGCTTGAGTCTAAATCCGATGAAATACGGATCATATTCACAACTCCACTTTGTAAGCTTAAAACTTTTCCAGCAAAACGCAGCATGTAACTGCTCAGCCAAGAGTGATGTCTAAGAGCTCAATCATGCACAGCCATACCATGAGTTACTGTGCCACAAATACTTTTTTTACACTAAGTATCATTGGTTACTAAGTTGCTTATTGCTTCCTGTTTTTCTCCTCTCTAGATAAATTGCTGGCTAAATAATTTCCTTGACACTGACCCTGAGGGACATGCAAAGTCCTCTCCATCAGTTTTGTTTTATTTTGGTTTTTGGTTTTTGTTTGGTTTCTCTGTGTAGCCTTGGTGTCCTGGACTAACGACTCACTCTGTAGACCAGGCTGGCCTCCAACTCACAGAGATTCGGCTGTGTGTGCCTCACAGAGTGCTGGGATTACAGGCTTGCACCACCAAGGCCGTCTCAATCCATCAGTTTTAACCCTAGAAGTCCTTTTGGCCTCCTCGTCCTCTAAAACCATTTACACTCCCCTACCCTTGGCCATTCGTTACCCCTTACGTCAGGTTCTGCGTGTCCATCCCATCCCGGATCCCTGCCTCAGTTCCCCGCGCGGGGTGCGCCCAAGGCTTTCACGTTCCCCCAGAACCCACCCAAGCCCGTCCCGCTTTGCAGTTACGGAGCAACTCCGGATCCTCGGCCCCGTCACTCCCCAACAGCTTCCTCTCCGAGAGACTCCCAACTTTAAGCTCCACCTTGGTGTCCCACTCCCGGAGACAAAAACTTGGGGCCATCCTCTCCGCTCGCGCCCGGTTTCCCTGCAAACTCGGGGGCGCGCGCCCCCGCCCACCCCGCGCCCTGCGGCCCGCAGCCAGGCCGGGCCCCTCTCCCGAGCCCGCCGCGGCGGTTGGCGCGCTGCACGCCGGAGCCGTCACCTTCTTCCTTCGCCATCGTCTCCGCGGAGGCCCGGGCGGCCCTCCCGCTCCCTCAGCGGCCCGGAGTCCCCCAACCTCTCCGTGCGGCCAAACCCCGCGGCAGCTCCGGCTAGCTCCCGGCTGCCGCGCCCCCACTTCCTGACCCGCCCCCCTCTGGTGTCGCCGCCAACTGGGTCCCCCCCGCCCCCCGGGCGCTCCGGGAACCAGAGTGCGGGGAGCGGAGGCCGGCCGGAGCGTTTCGCCAGCGCGCCTGGGCCAAGCCCACGCCGGCCCAGTGTTGGCCGTGCTCCGGCGAGGAGGGCGTGTTCGCCGCCGCCGGCCCTCCTCTGTGATCCGCACAGGGAAGCCTGAGCTACAGCAAGCTTTTCGTGACGCTGCGGTTGGACTCGGGAAGTCACGCACTGTTGCCCAGATCCAGTCCCCAAGTCCGTCCCCATTTTACAGACAGAAAACTGAGGCTCAAGCGCGGAGGAACCGGAACCCTGGACGCGATCTACAGCCAGTGCCTACGTCTTCCCACGAGGATTTCAAAGCCAGGCAAAATGTTCTAGGCAGGTTCTTTGGATTGGTAGGTTTTTGGTTAGTTGGTTATTTATTGGTTGGTTTCTTTCTTTTTCCTCCCTCTCTCCCCGCAATCTGTGTCGCTCTGTCTCTCACTGGATCTGTATGGCGCTGACTGGCCTCAGCTTGCAGTCCCCTTGCCTCAGGTTTCGGACTGCTGCCATTGCAAGAGTGATCCACTGTTTGGTTTAGTAGACGCTTGACTGCACGCTTGACTGCTGCTACAAAAAAAAAAGCTTGTACCCCAGCTACATAAGCAAGTTAAATTATTATCACATAAAAAACACACACACAAGAAAGCAGTGAGTCAGTCATCAAAACTGGCTTAAAATGTTTGCGCATCTCAGTGTTCTGGAAGAAAGCACAATAGTACTTTGCTCTGTTAGGAAGGAATACGTGTATATTATTCCGTAACAGTAGAATTCAGCTTGTTGTACTGTGCATATCTCATACTGCGAACAATGTGCTGAAAAACACGGCTGACCCAATTAAATTTTCACACGCCTGTAATCCCAGCACTCAGGGAGGCAGAGGCAGGCTGATTCTGTGATTGTGAATCCAGCCTGGTCTACCAAGTACATCCAAAATAGCCAAAGCTATACACACACAGAAACCCTGTCTCAAAAAACCAAGAGAGAGAAAGAGAGAACTTACTTCAAGTGATATAAAACTTGTTTCTTTTTCTTTTTATGTTATTGATCTTTATAAGACCTGTACATAATTTGTGGAAGCTTGTGTGAAATATTCCTGAAAATAAGCTCCTTGAAAGATATACAATAAAGAAGAAGAGGAACATTTTGCCATCTAGCCTTAAAACCTCCAAACATAATAAAAACATACTACCTTTTTTAAAAAGACAGTTGGAATGTGTTTGTTTCTGAGTGCTTGTGTGAGTGTGCCTATGTGCACACTCACATTCACGAGCTGAAGCTGTAGGAACTGGTCCTTTTCTTTTGACATCATAAATAAAGATGATTCCTGAGATGTCTGTCTGGAAATCATGTCCCTTTCTGTATGCCAAGCACAATATGCTGCCAAGATACTAGAAAAATATCAAACTCCCCAATACCATATCTTCTTAAAAATCCAAGAGTTATGTACAGAATTTATTTTAAGGGCCAGAAAGATGGACCAGCAAGTAAGAGCATTTGCTGTTAAGTCTATTGACCTGAGTTTAATCCCCAGGACATACAAGGTGAACTAAGAAAACTGACTCCTACTCTCCTGATTCCCAGACATGTGCTGTGGTGCATATACTCACACACACATGCACAGAGAGGAAAAAAAGAAGTATAATACTGAATAAATTTATTTGGGGACTGGAGAGATGGCTGAGCACTTAAGACCATTGGCTGTTCTTCCAGAAGACCTGGGATCAATACCCCCAGCATCCACATGGTTGCTTACAACCAATTATATATAACTTCAGTTCCAGAAGATCCAACACACTCCTCTGGCCTCCGTGGGCACCAGAAATACATATGGTACACAGACATACATGAAAGCAAAAACACTCATACACATAGAATAAAATAATAATTAAAAAATCTACTTCAAACATATCCTTTTAGCCAAGGATTCACTTGATTAATAGTAACATGATTAGTATGAAATTACTGAACCTGTTCAGCTTTTCTTCTGTTAAAGATATGGAATATCAAAGCCAGGCAATAGAGGCTCACGCCTGTGATCCCACCATTCGGGCAGGCAGAGGCAGGTGGATCCCTGTGAGTTCAAGAAGGCCAGCCTAGTCTACAAAGTGAGTCCAGGACAGCCAAGAATATGCAGAGAAACCCTGTCTTGAAAAACAAAAAAAGATGGACTATTTTATATTTGTTATATAATAAAACCTTAAGTGTCCATTGAATAGAAGTATCTGTATATCATTCTTTTAAAAGAATTACTTTATGTATGAGTTTTTGCAAAAAAAAAAAAAAAATATATATATATATATATATATATATATATATATATATATATATATATATAAACTGGAGTTACTGATGGTTATAAGCCACCATGTAGGTGCTGGGAATCAAATGTGGGTCCTCTGCAAAAGCATCAAATAGTCTTAACAGCTGAGCCATCTCTCCAGCACATGTTTATTATTCTTAAACAGTTTCTTGTGAAGCCTCAAATCTATCAAATACGATAGTTTGTAACATTTATTTATTTTTTTAGTGTTGTAGATTAATCCCAGGACCTGGCACATGGCAAACAAGTCATGCACAACTAGCTGTCCTCAATTTAAACTCTAAAAATATGTTTGAGACAGAAGTTTGAAAACTGACTTAAAGGCTTTTGATATTAGGCTGTAAGCAGTAAGGCACAGACTGCCTGTTTTATGCCCACCTTGCAACCTTGTCTTTGTTTCAAGAGGTCATTAGGACTAACTTTTATGATGTTCTACTCTTGTAACCCTAGCTATTTTGCCCACCAATTTCCCCATTTGAAAACCCCCTGGCCCTGAGATATAAAAGCCTTGTCTTCTTCACATCCAGTGCTGACACCTCGAACCCTGTCTTAGTGGGAGGCAGCCCATGTACAGGAATAAAAAGGCTTGTTTGATTAATTGCTTGCTTTAATTAATTTGGCCATAATGGTTTAGGTCAATTGGACCCATCCATCTTTGGGATAAACATTTGGAGGCCCCTCAAGATCAAGACCCCAATCCAAATTCAGAAACTCAGAATCTGGATCCTTCTCTCAGGCCCTCCAGGACTGAAGAGCTGCTTCAGAGTATATATACATTTTGGAGCTAGTCCAAGTCCCAAAAGCAAGCCTTCAGTTCATCTGACTTCATGAGTGAACAGCCAAAACACAAAGAGGAAAAGAGAAAGCATCTATTCTGTTCTTTTTTATGGAGCCCTCCTTTGGTAAATCATCAAAGCTTTTAATTTATTCTAGGACATCTGGTTTCTGATTCTGTCTGGTTCTGTGGGAGCCTGATCGGAGGATGGGCAGGGGGGTCCTGACAATCCTTCATCCCGGGCAAAGGGAGACAGCCATAGGTTATTTCTGGATAATTGGAAGTTCAGCCAGAGCCACCAGTTCTTTTTCTGGCCTGCCTTGATCCCTGAGGATGCTCTGGCGACATGGGTGGAGGGGGGTGGTGGAGCATGCTGAGAAAATCAGAGAGGCCTAGCACCTGACCACCCACAGGCAGGGTTTCAACACCTAGGCTACACACAAGAAGACAACACTGCGGGCAAGCCCCAGGTTTGAAGAGACCTAGCACAAGACGTCTGGCATACAAGGAGCCAAGATGGAACTCAGAAAGGACTAGCCTAACAAAAGCAGGCATTTACGAAGCCTAGGGTGGGTTTCCCAGTGTCTGGATTGTGCTTTTTCAGGTGCCTCAGGGAGGCAAAAAAAGGCCTGTTTGTTAACTTCTTTGGTCAAACTCATGAACCTCTGAATGAATCCAATTGTTATTATCTCCGTTGCTATTTCACTCTATATTTTGTCTTCTGTTTTTGCTTGCTTTTATGCGTTCTGCCTGGGGCGAGTTCCACGTATTGGTTTCATTTTGCTTTCTCCATCTCATGTATTTCTGTGCCAGTTACAGGTGAACTTGGGAGTTGGGCCACGCTCTAGCTGCTACCTCTCCCATGCTGCCAGGCCGGGGCAATTCAGGCACCCTCTGCTAGCATGGTGCTCTGTGTGCACCCTTTATGTACTCTTCCATCACAGGCCCAAGTCCAAGGCTACCACATGCCATGGCTGCATTGATAGCTGAAGCTCAGAATTCCTCACCCCTGCGCTTTCTGGTCTCTGGATTAGTTTAGCAGTGATTCAAATGTCATTTGGGTAATATTTTAAATATTCTTTATTTATTTAATTTCATGTGCATCAATGTGAAGGTGTCAGATCCTTGGAACTGGAGTTACAGAGAGTTGTGAGCTGCCATGTGGGTGCTGGGAATTAAACCCAGGTCCTTTGGAAGAGCAGCTAGTACTCTTTCTTAACCACTGAGCCATCTCTCCAGCCCCTTATTCTTTTATGCTATTCTACTTTCTTGAAACACTGGCTCTGAAGCTGAAAAGTTTCTGTCCTGTGTCAAGCAAGCCAACAGACTTTGTGGCAGAAGAAGGAAAAAAAAAAAAAAAAAAAGCAGATCAATTAAGAAAATTAGACTGTATAAGACTCCTAAATGGGCTTTCTGTACCTCAGGATTTATAAGTTTTTTTGAATAGGCTTAAAAAGCTACAGGACTGGAGTGATGGCTCAGTGGTTAAGAGCACTGGCTAGTCTGCTAGGGGACCAGGGTTCAATTCCCAGCACACAGGGGTGAGTATAACAGTCTATAACTGCAGTCCATGGGGATCCAGTGCCCTTCTGGCTGGTGCAGGCACTGCATGCATTTGATGCACATACATCCATGCATGCAAAACACAAACATTAAAAAAAAAATTACGGGCTGGAGAGATGACTCAGAGGTTAAGAGCACTGGCTGCTCTCCCAAAGGTCCTGAGTTCAATTCCCAGCAACCACATGGTGGCTCACAACCACCTATAATGAGATCCGGTGCCCCCTTCTGGCCTGCAGGCACACACTATTTATATTATAATTTATATTACTTATAAACAATAAATAAATCTTTGATCTCAGCTTTCAGGGAGGCAGAGGAGGGCGTGTCTCTGTGAGTTTGAAGCCAGCCTGATCTACAAAAGGGAGCCCAAGATAGCCAGGGATACACAGAGAAACATTCATTCATTCATTCATTCATTCATTCATTTATTTATTTATTTATTTATTTAATGTATTTATTGTGTATACAGTGTTCTACCAGCATGTATACCTTCACACCAGAAGAGGGCACCAGATCTCACTATAGATGGTTGTGAGGCACCACATGGTTGCTGGCAATTGAACTCGAGATCTCTGGAAGAACAGCCAGTGCTCTTAACCTCTGAGCCATCTCTCCAAGCGAAAGGGAAATCTTGTCTTGAAAAATAAACAAACAAAAAAAATCCCAAACAACAACATAATCTATACAATCTGTAACAAAGTTGACTTAAAACTTTTATCACAAGGTTAATAATTAGAAGGCTACATATGTAATCTTAAAGACTTAATCCATCAGCCTGAATGTATGATCTCAGCACTCACAGAGGCAGAGACAGGCAGATCTCTGTGAGTTCAAGGCCAGCCAGTGAGACCAGTACAGCCAAGGCTACACAGAGAAACCCTGTCTCAAAAAAACAAAACAAAAAGACCTAATCCATCAATGTCTGTATTTCTGGGAAAATAGTCAAATGTGCTATCCTTGCTTTTAACTCCTGAAGTTCTGCTTCAGACTGTTTTTGTTAACTGAAATATGTCAACCCAAAACATGTTTTTTATGCTTAAATGCTCACCCAGAGAAAGGCTCAAAGCTACACTGGAATCCCAACCATCCAACATAGTCACTTGGCCAACTAAATTAGGGCCACAACTACTAAACACCAGAAACTGGGATATTCCTATCTTATGATACATCAAGACTTAGTCAAACAGTCCCACAGATTCTATAAAATGTGGCTCCTCACATAGGTCTATTCAGGATAGTAGAGATTGATTTAAGAATGTATGTCTAGCCTCCTTGTCTTTGCTAACTTTGTTAAGCTTTAACTATCTTGATAAATGAGTCATACAAGAAACTATAATATTCTGCAATGGGACACAATGAAAGGACTAGGAAAATAAAGTTGTCATTCTCCCTGTGGACTGTTTTTTATGATTTAAAGTTTTATTTTAATACTAAGGAAGCTTTAATTCAAGAATTGTAATTTTTTAGGCTAAACTTAACATGGATAAAATTGTAGAATTATAACCTAATAAAAGTGTTTTTCAAGACAGGGTTTCTCTGTGTAGCTCTGGTTGTCCTGGAACAAACTTGAACTATATACCAGGCTGAATTTGAACTCAGAGATCCACCTACCTCTGCCTCCCTACTGGGATTAAAGGCATGCACCACCACCAGCTTTAGTCAGCTTTTCTTAAATCCTGTTACAATCCTAGATACGTATTTACTGGCTGGGAACTGGTTCCTGAAAGGCCTGTAGCACTGTGTGTCCAGTAGATGTCAGAAGCAATCCAAGTATTAGGGAAAGCAAATACAGATGTGTAGCTAGCTGAGTAGGAAAAGCAACTCCTTGAATATTATTTCAATATAACTATCAGTACTCTACCTATGTATCGTTAGCCAGTATTCAAATGAAATTCTACTACTTAGAAGCATTGTTCATTATTATTTTGGTATTGGAGATCAAACCCAGGGCAATAGGTAAGTACTCTATAACAAATAGAACCATAGATTGGTACGCCTGGCTAGACATCCTGAGCCTGAAGTCACATACACAGGGCCACTTGAGTCCAGGACTGAGGCTCATTCTCTGTGGTTCCTGTGTGAGGGAAAAGTACGCCTATAAACCTGATAGAGTTTTTTTTTAAATACATTCTAGCTCTTTCCCATTTTCTGAACCTATCACCCTTACTCAATTACGTATCATCCAAATACTTAACAGATTTAAAAAAATTGTATTATGTACAGTGTTCTGCCGGCATGTATGACTGCACGCCACAAGAGGGCACCATATCTTATTATAGATGCTTCTGAGCCATCAAGTGGTTGCTGGGAATTAAAACTCAGGACCTTTGGAAGAACAGCCAGTGCTCTTAACCTCTAATCCCCAAAGTTGTTAGTCCAGGTGTGGGGGATTGAACCAGGGGCCTCATCCATCATCTTAAAAAGTTCTATTTTGTGGTTATGTGGTGTGTGTGTGTGTGGGGGGGGTTATGCATGCACCTGGAAGACAACAGGTTGGCTCTCTCTACTGTGTGCCGGGCGTGCCAGGCTGGAACTCAGGTCCTTAGCCTTGGTAGCATGTACCCTTACCCATTAATCCCTGCTGGCTGTCCAACTGTTTATATGATTAAAAAGAACAGCTGCATCAGGTATGACCCCAATGGAAACAGTCTAGAACACTTCGGTTTAGCAGGAGAACACCCTTAGAGGCAGCAAAGTGAAAAGCTGATATCTCTTGGAGACAGCAAAGTGAGAAGCTTCACCTTAAGAGAACTCTGGCATCTCCCACTCTTCGTGATGGAGAAGGACCCCAAGCTCAAGTGGCCGACATCTCTCTGCTGGAAAATGATGCTGGTAAGGCCTGGGAAACATTTTCCAGGTGAACCGAACCATTCAGTGGAGGCACAGCAGGTGAACAGAATACTGGACATGGAAGAAAACACAGGCACACTGTTGCCTCTAAGAGTTGGCTTTTTAAACCAAGACACTTGAGCTCTAGAACAAGAATACACATGTCCGATAGGTGATGCTGGTGATACATGTTTTTTTGGTATGTTACAAGTCAGCAATATTTAATCTGGTCCTGGGAATGAATAGAATACAAATGAGAACATTAAACTTAGCGAACAAACAAGGAGAGTGTACAATTGGAAAGCATTAAAGTTGCAGACCTTACTAGTTTTGTATGGCATAGCTGGGTTTTCATACTCACCCCCCCCCAATATAGGGTTTCTCTGTATAGACCAGGCTGGCCATGAACTCAGAGATCTGCCGCCTTCTGCCTTATGGAGTGCTAAGATTAAAGGCTTGTGCCACCACTGCCTGGCCACACTTACCTTTTTCTTTTCTGTTTTTGTGACAGGATCTCACTTTGTATCTCAGTCTGACCTCCAACTTGGAACCCTCCTGCCTTTTTCTAAGTATGGGGATAGTCATGTCCACATGTCGGTGTCAAGTAGAGAGGAGAGATCAACTAACCATGCATGCGTGCTCACACACACAAGCACACACATCTGTACAGGCCCTCCCCCACCCTGGCAACAAGAAAAAAAAGATGTAAGGATCAAGCATGTCACAGCTGTTAGAACTTTCAAAACTCGAGGGCCAATTTAGTGACAACTTCTGTGACTCTATGGCAAACTGCAACATACAAACCAGGCAACTTCCCCACCTCCTGCCACCATCACCACATACCTTCTCAAAAGCAAGAAGACCAAACATTGAGATTAAGCAGGCAAGTTTTATTATCAATGTAACAATTCTACAAAAAAAAAAAAAAAAAAAAAAAAAAAGCAGTTGTACTGTAGAAAGCATCACTGCCCATCTTAGTCCTGTGGAGCTTCGGGCAGAAGCAGCTTATGGCATCAAGTATGAACTTTTTTCTTTTTTATCTCAAGTGCCAGATCTCATCAGTTTTCACACAAAATGTTTTGTTTTGTTTTTTTAAATTCTTTCTTCCCACTGCAGTTAAAGGGCTTATGTTGGTCAAGTAAGAGGGTAAGGTTTGACTCCCCAGTCAAGGCATTAATGCAAAGTAACTAAAAATAGCAGCCACAAAATCCGTATGGCATTGCATCCAAGCAAAGGACGAGTAGCAAAGAAACTTGTGCATCCAATCAAGCCACTTTCCCCTTGAGTTACACAGGCAGCAGTACCAGCTAGGGCCTGATACTGCATTTCTGGAGCCTGAGCGCAGCTGAGCACAGTGCACTGAGCACCAAGCACTGGTCAGCTCTAACTGCAGTGGTGTTGACCTCAGCCCAGCATGCCAACTACAGTCCAACGCTTTTAAAGGTTGTAATTACTTGACAGTGGAGGCAGTAGGGAAAAGGGCTAGCTTAATATATACAAGCATTTACTTTGGTTAGTATATTGCTTTCCAGAATACACTGTTCAAATAGTCTTATTTCTGTGACATTAAAAACTATGGAATTTCTCTTATTAAAGACCAAACCATCAACAACGAAGAAAGCACAATATAAAATAATACATACGAAGTCGAACATTCAGTTACAGCTCAAACTAGAAATTACTAACTGTATGTAGCTGCTTCATTTTTGGTTTCAAATTTTGGCCCCTACTTCATTCTTATTTACAACCGGTACCTGTTGGGGAAACCATCCAAGCCCTTTAACTAGGCATGTGTGTGGAAGGGAAATCCCGGTGAGTATGTGAAGGTGAGACGGGGGTGCTGGGACTGGAACTCAGGGCTCTCTATCACTGAGCTACAGGCCCAGTCTGCCTGAGGTGTTTAAAAAGTCTTTGTTTTTACCTATAAGGCACCATGATGGCCTATTGAAGAAAACCAACATTTGGGAAAATAGTAGTTTTATTCTACTCCTTTCCGTAGTTTGGAATTTAAGTATTCTAAGAACTTACACTTAAATTACTTAGCAAGAGGGTTTATTTTACAGAAAACAGGGAGACAGTGTGAGAATACACAATGAAGCTTCCAGAGCAATTAATGGTGGATGGTGGATGCCAGGGGAATATTTTTACTCTGAGACTTGAACTTAGGAAACAACTGATGCCACTTTAGTCAGAAGTGAGACATTTGACTTCAAATTCACATTTTAAAATCCTATTTGCACTCAGCAAGGAGCCATGTATGTGCATGCTGCTTGCCATTATGATTTGGCCTTCCCTGGCTCAACTTTTTCACTCCACCAAAAGATAAGGCCCAGGCCTACTGTCCAATCGTGTTGGCTGAAAATACTGCAGCCTAAGTGTAGACAAACATCCCCTGAAATTGCCAGGAGTCTTCTTGTCTGCTAGCTTCAGGATCACCATGCGTCTTTCAAACACTGAAGGGGGAAAAAAAGGACAGTATTATAACCTCTAAATTTAAGCTTTGAGGAGACTGACATCTTTCAGACAGTCCCAGTTTCTGTTTCATAGGCAATGCTGTGAGAGTTGAATAGACTCAATGTGTTCAACATGTAACACTGTACCTGCCAAACGCAACTGGGTTCCAATTTTACCCACTCTTCAGTATAGCTCCAGTATGGTAATATTCTAGCACTAGACATTCAATTCAGTACTACAGGCTTTACACAGGGCTGGAATGCTAAGCACAGAGGCACACACCTTTAATCCCAGCAATAGGGAGGTGGGAGGTGAATTTCTGTGACTGAGAGAGAGACCTTGCCTCAAACAAAACTAAACAAACAAACTAAACAAAAACACAGGTATGGGGAAAAGGCTTAGGAACACTTGCTACTCTTCCAGAGGACTGGGGTTTGGCTCTCAGCACTCACAACTTTAGCTCCAAGATTCTGATATCTTCTGTTGGCCTCTATGGACAGCCATATAGTCATGGCGCGTGCACACACATACACACACAAAATAAAATCTTTAAAAATAAATCTTGAAAAAAATTTTAATAGCAAGACAAAAAAAAAATCCTGTAATCCTAGTATAAATTTCAAATGCTTTCTATCAAAAACATTAAAGTCAATAAGCAGCATCAAGGCATGACCAATGGCAAACAGGGACTCGATGTCCCTGACTGTTCAGCATTTCAGGTCAACTGGTCCATTCTCACACACCCTGTAGGTCTCAACCCCTTTGGCAAACCTGTATCTCCAAAAAATATATTAATTTTCATTACAGTAGCAAAATTATGGTTATGAAGTAGCAGCAAAAATTATTTTATGGTTGGGGGTCACCACACACAAAAAAGGAACGTCACAGCATTAGGAAGGTTGAGAACCACTGTTTTAGCTTTTAGGTGTAGGATGTAGCATCATAATGCTGCCTCCATTTGATTGACTGATTATTCTGGTACTAGAGACCAAACCCAGAACTTCTCACACACTAGGTAAGTGCTACTGAGCACAACCCCAGTCCCTATGGCCACCCTGAAGATGGGGAAAGTGAAACAGATGGTGGTTAAGCTGGCACAGGAAGCAATCCATACTCATGGATCCAGATGGGTAAGTCCAAACAGCTGATGAACATTCAGAAAGGAAAAGTATCAGCCCCGAGCACGTATAGGCTCTTTTTTCATCATTATATTTTTTTTTTTTTTTAAGACAAGGTTTCCCTGTGTAGCCCTGGCTGTCCTGAAACTCACTTTGTAGACCAGGTTGCCCTTGAACTCAGAGATCAGCCTGTATATGCCTTCTGAGTACTGGGATTAAAAGGCGCACAGCACCATGCCCGGCTTCCCCTCTTCTTTACAAACATTGTATTTTTATTATTTTTAATTACGTGTATTCATGTGTGTCTGTAGGAAGATGTGCATGTGAACGCAGGGACTGAGGAGGCCAGACAATCTCCCGGAGCTGAAGTTACAGGTGGCTGTGATATAGCTGCTGTGAACCAAACTCAGCTTGTCAGCAAGTGCCACCTCTCCAGCTTATCTTGTCACTGTTCTCCAAACAAGCCAACAGTGGCAGAAGCAGCAACCAGGCCAGGTGGGATGGTGCACATCTGTAATCTCAGCACTCAGGAAGCTGAGGCAGGAGGACTGCCCCAAGTTCAAGCCCCAAGAACTGCCCCAAGCCCCAGACTACTAGCTAGTCTGGGCTAGTAGCAGTCTAGCCAGGAAACACAGCAACTGTGTGTCAACATTCATTTTGCATTCTATTATAAATAGTCTAGAAATAACTCAAAGTACACGGGAGGATAAATGTGGGCTATAAGCAAATGCTGCATAGCTGTCTATGAAGGTCTGACCATTTGCAAATTTTGGTACATGAGGTCTCAGTCAGATCCCAAGGGCTGGTTGGAGCAGACAGACCAAGGCTTAAATCTTTACACACACAGCTTCCCCCTGTGTCTTATTTACTTGGCATACAGAATAAAAAAACCAAAGTACTCAAAAATTAAAATAAAAACTGTTGGCATTGTGCACGCTTTCACAGGTAAATGAAAAACAGATAAAAGACAGAAATGAAAATGGCCCAAATCTCATTTCATGTGGCCAGTTTGAAAAATTGTCAAGGCTAAATAACAAACCCTACAATTGGCACAAATTAAAAACCAAGTATTCAAACAAAACAACAACAAAACAAAACCTCCCAACCCTTCCCCCCCCCATACCAGCTTGTTAGCATTCATATTTAAAATGTGGTTTAGAAAAAGACAAGCTGGTACTCGGCTTAAAACACTATGCATATATGGAAAAGCTTCTCTTTGGACACACAAACGCAGATAAGGAAATCTATCAATTATGCACCATGGTCACAAAACTTCCTACAAATTTTTCTTGAGCCAACACCACACACTAGTTTTCCTTAAAGAACTTCGGCTCTCCCAGTGCTAGTACCATGGGGGGACAATTTACCACCAGCTGCAAGAACAATTTAGGTAGCCAATGAATGTCTGGCATAATCCTGAAAGGTGAAGAGAACCTCGAACCATACCAATAAGACCCAATTCCTGGTTTATTTCTGACCTGAAAGTTGTTGGTGGGCATTTCATTGTGTACATGGCTGAAACAAGGCCCCGGACCTTCCAAGTCAGTCAAACCTGGGCCTGTCAGTAGTCAGTCACTCAATTCCACCTTCTGATTCCCAGCCCATATGATACTCAAAATCATCTTAGGGCACCTACAAGTATATGCCCATCGTAAGCTGGTGTATAGAAGAGCCAGTATTGTTATTAAAAGGATGTTAAATGTTTAGCTTTCTTACACCTGATTCTTAATCTCAAAGATGTGAGTGGCATTTCAGTATTTAGAGGAAGCTGCAGTGTCTTTAACAGCAGGAAAAAAAGAACCTCAGAAGGGTACAGAAGAAAAAGTTTTCTTTTCTTTTTTTTTTTTTTTGTAAAGCAACAGTAAAGCAAATAATATGATCTGAAGATTAATTTTTTTAAAGATTTTTTTATTTATTATTTATACAGCATTCTGCCTGCATGCCAGAAGAGGGCACCTGCTCTCACTACAGATGGTTGTGAGCCACCATGTGGTTGCTGGGGATTGAACTCAGGACCTTTAGGAAGAACCGCCAGTGCCCTTAACTCTGAGCCATCTCTCCAGCCCTAAAGATAATGTTTAAAGTTGTAAATGCAAACATTCACAAATCTATCTTTCCTTGTTGGTAAGATGTATGTTAAAACAATGTTTTATTTTGTTAGACACTATCATTAAGGTATTATGCACAGGTAACTTTTCCTTTTCTTTTTGAAGACAGGGAAGGCCTCATGCTGCAGACCAGCCTGAGGCTGCCTAGGAACTCACTAAGTAGCCAGCTGAGCTTTGAGCTTTGTACTCTTCCAAGATCTCAGATTATAGATGTGAATCACCACGACCACTTGTTATTTGGGGGGTTTTGCATAGCTGTTGAGATAAGGTTCTTCTTGTGTGGTCTTGGTTGGTCCAGAACTCATGGAAATCCTCCTGCCTCTGGCTCAAAGTACTAGAATTATGAATGTGTACCAACACACAAAAAATTTTAAATACAATTGGATTTCACCAGGTACGAAACATTAGCCTGGGTTATATAACAAGACCCTGTCTCAATAAGACAAAACAAAACAAAACAAAACAAAAAACAAACAAAAAAACCCAGAAGCCTAAGGTTCTGGTGAGTTGCTTGTTTAAATACTCTGCAGCATAAGGCCGACTGGAACTTACGTAGTACATTCTGGCCTTAAATTCTCTGCAGTGCCTGTTTCAGTCTCTCCCATGTTGGGAGTACAGACAGTTATCACAAAGAATGCCCTCTTCTGGCCTCTGAGGGGCATTAGCTATTGAGAATGGTGCAGACATACATGCAGGCAAAATACCCACTCAAACACAGACACACACAGAGATTCTTCTTGTTTAGAGACGGCAGCACAACGACAAAAGGCAAAAGGAAACAGAGCTCAAGGCGCTTAAGATCCAAGGTAGATGAGAGACCAAGAAGGCAAGAGCATAGATCAGTTACATTCAAAGACTCTAAAGAAAAAATCTTAAATGGATGGAAGCATACTGAAGGGACAACCTGAGCAGAATGAACCCCTAAACCCCAGAGGTAAAACATCCTGAGCAGCACAAAGGGTAATCCTAGACTATCCCAAAGTAGCAAATAAATATGCAAGAACCGATACTGGAATAGAAATATGGCTGGGCAACATCGGAAGCAATTCCCAGTCACACACCAGGAAAACATTTTCCTGAAATGTGGGTCGGAGAGGGATTTTCTTCCAAACAGCACTAGGAATAAACAGTAATGGTCTCCCAGTGAAGAAAGCTAGAATGGGAAACTTCAACCAAGAGGTTAATGTGATTTACCCAGGAATGCCACATGGCATTGCAAGCCCTAGATGCCATATAATGACCAGGGGACTGCACACATGTGATCTCTCCTCAAACCTGAGGTCTTACAATGTTGTCCAGGCTGGTCTCAAAGTGACGTTCCTGCTGGGAAGCGGGAGGAGCATAACTATACCCGGCTGAGCGGGATACTCAGAAAGAATGTAAATTCTGCTAGAATGGTGACTTTTTCATTTCTACAGAATTTGTTTTGTGTATAGTACACATGAGAAGTCAAGAGGCAACCTTTGGAATCAATTCTCAATTTCCATGTGAAAATTCTACATGGAAGTGGAATTTGTGGATTAAATTTAGGTTAATTATCAGACTAAGTAGCAAGTGAGCATCTTAAACTTAAAAACAAAAGAGAGTAGAAAGAAGAAAAAGGAAAAAAAATGGAAGGAGGAAGAGGAAGAACAAAAACGAGGAGGAAGAAGAACAAAAGGAACAACAGAGAAGGAAACAAGTACGCTGGAAGACACTCCACAGAAGTGTAGACTCCCCTTCATCCACGGTACGCTGCTACTGTGCTCTTGGATTACCTGCTTCATGGCCCTCCACGCTCCTTCAAGGTATTCTGACATGTTTCACAGCAAGGAAAGGGGAAGCCCCCTCATCTGCCTCCTAAAGGAACTTCAGATTCTTGGCTTCTCTATTTGTGCCCCTCTGATTGAGCTTACATGATAGGTCCTTACCTTCTTCTCTGAGGCCGATCTAACTGCTGGGGCCCTTAAATACAAACCCATTCTTTGGGTAGAGTCCTGGCCTGGTCATTTGTGTGTACAAGTCCATCCTCGGTTGCATACTAAAATGCAAGTTAAAACAAACAGGATCAAAAGATGGACAGCCTGTCACTACGGATGTTATTTTCACTAAGTATATCAATAAAAGTATGACATTTAGGTCCTAGGAAATGACAGTTGTTACAAACCCCACACACTAATTTCTTCTCAATACTTCATATCTTACTTATCAAAATCTCTTCTAGGAGGAACGTTGCATTGAATTTATGGATTAAAACTGAAACAAAACCAGCAGACCACAATTAAAAAGTATCAAATCTGACCTCTCTCTAAGGTTTATTTTATATATATCAATGTTTTGTCTGCATGTACACCTGCAGACCAGAAGATCAGGTCATCAGATCCTACAGATGGTTGTGAGCCACCATGTGGGTGCTGGGAATTGAACTCAAGACCCCTGGAAGAATAGTCAGTGGTCTTAACTGTTGAGCCATCTCTCCAACCCAGAATCTGATCTCTTGAAAATAAACTTCAGGTATGACAGGATATTATCTATTTGAGCATCAACTACATTACTTTGTCAGGCATTACACATTAAATCTCTAAACCCAATGAATTTTAAATGGTTTCAGATCTGAAATTAATTCTCTCAGCTGGGTACTAAATAAAAATTTTTGTACGAGTCATTGAAAGACACAGAGTCACAATGTTGAGGAGAAAACCCCAGTATTTATTTAAAACTCAAAGCCATTGAAAGTAACAGCTAGTGAAAAGAGCAAATGAAAAGTATTAAAGGGGTGAGGACTCCTAAGAGCTGCAGGATAGGCAATCCACCACCCAAAATACCAGTGCCCTCATTTTACCGGCCAAAACAATCCTTTTACTGCCAAATACTTTCAAAGTGATTACCCTTCAGAAATTATGATCTCTACCACAGCACATTCTCTTCTCTCTCCCTCTCTTCATTCCTGACAGGGTTTGCTCCATATTATAGACTAGATTCCACCCACGTGGACAAGGGTGACCCTGAACTTCTGATCCTCCTGCCTCTACTTCCAAGTGCTGGAATTACGGACGTGTGCCAGCATGCTGGTTTTACCAACTGTTGATGCTTCATGCATGCTAGGCAAGCATGAGCTTGTGGAGCTGCCCCTGCCTCTTATGACACTAATTTTTATATTTGTTTAAAAGATAAACTTGGGCACCACTAGAAAAAAAAAAAATCAACCAATTACTTCCTGAATATTTAAGTTATCAATGTAATCATAATCATATAAAATTAATCAAAAAGAACCAGAAATAAAATTACAAGTCATTAAGATTAACAGGAGTAGTTGGGCGGTGGTAGCACACACTTTTAACCCCAGCACTCAGGACACAGAGGTAAGAGGATCTTTGTGAGTTCGAGGCCATCCTGGTCTACAGCGCAAGTTCCAGGCCAGCCAAGGCTACACAGAGAAACTCAGTCTTGAAAAAGAAAATAAGAAAGAAACAAACTGGTACTGGAGAGAGGGTGTCTGGGCATGGAGACTTGTTTTTAGTCTCAGTACTCAGAAGGCAAAGGGAGGTGGATCTCTGTGAATTCCAGGCCATCCTGGTCTACAAAGTAAGTTCCAAGCCAAGGATATAGACTTAAATTTTGACAGAAGCAGGAGAAGAGTTAAACAGATTGTGCTCAAGGGACCAATTTTTAAGAGTCATCTTAAAATTTTACCACCTGTGAAAAAGCCCAACCTAAGGACTCTAGACCCCATAATTACCAGCTGTTACCTGAATAGTAGAAGAGCAAACAACAAATAAGGCAGCATAAACTTTTGACAGTAGAAAAATCTAGGTTTAATCTAAGAATGAGAAGTGGGTTGGGTATAGGGGTTGAATGCAGGCCTCACAGCTTGAATTACTGAAGGCAAATACTGGAACTACAGGTCTGGATGGCTGAGGCCACAATGTAATTGTGATTCACTGGTGCCGTTTATAAGGTCTAACTCCCTGCCAGGTGGACAGCACACGCCTGCAAGCTCAGCACTTGGAAGGAGAGCCAGGAGGACTGTGGCAAGCTGAAGGCTTATCTACACAGTGCTCCAGACATTGGCCAAACACATAAGAGTGTGTCTCAAAATAATTTCATAAATAAGAAAAATAAATTCCAAAATGAAAGCCAAATATCTAGAGAAGAAATTATGTACCACCATTGTGCTTCCGATGATAACAGGGAGAACTCTAACCTGGAACAACTCTAGGAACCACAAGAGAATATTTGCTCTAAATTTTACGATTTTTATCTCATTTTTGAAGCAGGTCAAAATTTTAAAATTTTCTATCTTGCCCACTTTTTACTACATTTAACTATTTCGTATGTGTATGTGCCTTCCCACAGGCATACTTAAGCACATATGTGGAGATCAGAGGGCAACTTTCAGGACTTGGTTCTCTCTTTCCAACAACCACGTGGACTCAGGTAGCCGAGGTTGACTGCAGGTACCATTACACTCTGAGCCAAGTTGTCAGTCCTGTGCTGGAATTTTCATTATAAATCTGGAAGTGATCTTGATTATGTGTTTGAGGGAAAGTAAGTACCCACAATTACCAAACATGGTACCTTTCTCCACACAATTAATTTCACTTACTCTCATTATTTTATTTTATTTTTTGGTTTTTCGAGACAGGGTTTCTCTTTGGAGCCCTGTCTGTCCTGGACTTGCTTTGTAGACCAGGCTGGCCCCAAAATCACAGCAATCTGCCTACCTTTGCCTGGCTTGTTTAATCTCATTATTAATGTACATCTAAGACTGCTAAATTTTATTCAGTACAAAGTAAAAGAAACTGGTCAAACCAAGCTAAACCTTTAAGCCCGGCTAACTGTCAATCTTGAAAATTCCTCAGAATCTCTACAACGGAAATACAAAAGTCAAAGTATTTTCTCTAAAAGATTTGAATAACCTTTTCAATCCAATTCCAGTAAAAACCATGTAATTTAGACAGAGTAAAGGAGGTCTGTAAGGTAGCCTTTTAAGACTTTTCCAGTCCTCCTGTGGCTGAGCAATCATCTGGAAAAGAGAACGGAAGTTACTGACCCATCAAGAACACTGAGTCTTCATAAGAGCATGGTAAGCCAGGAAGAAATAAAAAGTGAACTTACTCCTCACTGATAACAAATATTTTTTGTTGAAATTCCTTAAGACAATAATGGCTAGGGTGGTGGCCAGGAGACTATGGAATGAGACATGGTTCTAGGTGAGATCACACCACCCCTGAATTGTGGACAGTGCATTCTGATAATGGAAGGGCCTTTGCAGACACTGCTTTCCTTTGCTTTCAAATGCCAAGCAGCACATGCACAGGGATTTACTATTCTGAAGACTCAAGCTAATTTCAGCTCTAGGAGGAACGAGGATAGCTTTTGCTCATAGACCAGTAGGACTACAAGCTACTTGCTTTTAGACTTTGCAGAAAGAAGAAACTTGACTTTAAGTTACGAAGAAACAGGTTTTGCTCAGATGAACTGAAAAGAAACAGATTATGACCGTTAAGAAACCTGTTAGCAAAAAAAAAAGCTTATTAAAGTCAGAAGACAGTGATGGACACAGGCAGAAAGAAAAAGAAAAAAAAAAAAAAGGATGAGAACAAAGGTAACTGCAGCAAAATCAGGCTACTTCATGGAGCCAACATCACACTCCAGTCCATGTCCACCAAAAAATGCTGTTGCTTGGGGTGCCTGTCTGCTTTATTTCCTTTTTCCAAGGTTAGACAGAGGCTTTTCATTTTTCCTAGGTGCAATTAGAAGACACTTTCTGATTTTTAAATACTCAACCTGAAACTCCATGCGTCAATGTTTCTATTTCTTTAATTACTCTTATTTGCAGTCCTGGAGATTAGAGGCCATCTGCCACTAAGCCATATCTTTACCACTCCTTTATTAAAAATTTTAAATCACCTTTACTTATTTTGTGTGTATGTGTGCTGGCACGTGCATGTGCTGGGGGTGGGGGTGGGGGTGCATAGGCTGTGTCCTGTGTGGAGTCAGAGGACAAATGTGAGTGTCCCAGGGATCAAATTCAGGTCACAGAATTTGGGTTTCAAGACAGGCTTTCTCTGCGGAGCCCTAGGCCATCCTGAAATGTGCTCTGTAGAGCAGACTGGCCTTGAACTCAGAGATCTCTACCTACCTCTATCTCCCTAGTGCTGGAAGTAAAAGTGTGCACCGTGCACCACCACCACCTGGCAGTAAGAGCCTTCTAAAAAAAAAAAAAAAAGGTGGGCATGGTGGCAGTGCATGTCAATAATCCCAGCACTTCGGCCGCAGCGGCACTGTGCTCTATACAGTGAGTTCCAGGATAGCCAAAGCTACATAGTAAGAGCCAGTCTCAAAAAAACCAGGACAAAAACATTCATTTTATGTGTATGAAATTTTGCCTGGATGCATGTATATTATGTGCACATGTGCATGCCTGATTTCCTCTGAGGCCAGAAGAGGGCACCCCATCTTCGGAGCTGGAGTTACTGATGGCTGTGAGCCAGCTATGTGGGTTCTGGGAACCCCACCAGTGCCCTCTACAAGAGCAGGAAGCATGATTATTAGCAGGCAGGCCTAGTTGTCTACTGACAGTGTCCCACTTTGTGGCCCTGCCTGGCCTGGAACTACGTAGACTAGGCTGATCTTGAACTCACAGAGGTTTGCCTGATTTTTCCTGTAATTAAAGGCATGCACCACTATGCCCATCTTATTTTTAAGTCAAGGGATCAAACAGGTGACCCCATGGAAGGCACCTTCTTAGTCAAGCCTGTTCTTCATGCAAGCACCTGTAAAGCTGCCTGCTCTGTTGAACGCCCCCAAAGCACACAGGCTTTAAAACCTCACAAGACACGGGGAGAGGGTTATGCAGCAAGAACTGCGAGAGCAAAGACAAGCCCTAATCTTGTCAAGAGGATGAACCTGGAGTTAGATCCTCAACACTGAGATCTGATCTATGTACTCCACCAAGCAAATCCATTAGCACAGGCACACAAGAGAATCAGTTTCTTTCCTAGCTGCATTCTTTATGCAAACCAACTTAAATAATAAGGGCACTGAGGATTTTTCTTCTTCAAGCTACTGACCTGGTAACCTTGGAAGAAGTTAAGAATTTCCTTAACTCCAGTATTGTAGGCCAAGCCCTGCATTCTGACCACCGTGCCGGGCTGGGGCGGGACACTGCTAAGATTAGCAGCTGTAGGGAAGTAGCCAAGACTATTAGGCGAACCTGGTGGGCTAAAGGAAGAGAAAGCACAGTGAACCAACAGGAACACAAAATGTTGAAAATTTACTCTAACATATATCACTCAAGAAACTGACTTTTTGAAGGTGGTGTTTCTTATGCTTCACTGAGCTACCTTTCCTGAGACAGGGATGAATGCCACAGAGGTTCTGTCTCACATTTTCACAGCAGCCAAGTGGAGGCGTAGGGGGGTTAATGCGGAGTTAGATGCAGGATCTTCCTGAATCTCTTAGGTTCTCAAAGGGATAGAAAGAAAGAACTAAGCCTTCTCAGTCATTCAGCCACTTCCAAAGCCCAGACCACTGATGGTTAGTGAGCCAGTTTTTAGGAATAGTAAGGCAGGAAGAGAGGTGTGTCTATAAAGGACTGGCAGGAACCAAAGACTTAAAGTCCAAGTGAATGCTCCCGAGAAGCCACCGCTCTCCCCACGTGCACAGAGGAGTAACGAAGCACAAGAGCCACACAGCAGAGCAGGACACGGGGCGATTCCTGCCGACAGGACTCTAAAAACGGAAGCGGGAAAGAGTTAGGAGGTAAACAGAAGCTGAACTGATCACCATTAACAGGAGGGGGAGACTGAAAACTGAAGCCTCCAGGTGTCATCTGCAGCAATTTCCTCCAGAGGCCCAGGACCCATGAGGACCTGACTTGTGTGGTACCTCTAGTGACCTCAACAGTAGTCTCATTAATCAGCTCTTCAGTCAGCTTTATAAGATTCCCCACCCAATCAGTTCTCCATAACTGACAGCCAGATAATTACAATTTAAAATGTGTACTGAATGTTTTGTAAATTTAAGAAGCAAATACTGATTCCAACTTTAGATTATGAACTTCTAGTCATCTTCTCAGAGGTTACTGTATCATTTCAGAGCATTCACACAACTTCAGATGTGCCTCTAGCCCAGACTATGTTAGAACAGTAACCTTTCATTGATTAAATGGGGATGTTCACCACCTTCAGTTTCACAGCAATGTTCTTCAGAGTACGATTTAACATGTCCAATCATTCACAAAATTCTACATTAGTTTACTTTGTCATTGTACCATTTATTAAACAACAGAAGCATGAAAACAGCACCAACCCTTCCAGTCTCTAAGTCAGCAGTTTTTAATTGTGACAACTTTGAAACACCTGGGGGGAATCTTTCATTTCTCTGATAAGAGCCTGTTTGCTAGCCCCTCAAATCAAAGTGTTAAGAAAGCCAAATGGTCCATTACTGTGCGAACAGATTTTAAAGCAATGCAAGCGACAGATTCAAATGAAAATCGCTGCATAAAAGACTTGGTAGAGAGATGGCTCCACCATTAAGAGCACTGCTGCTCTTCCAGAGCTACCTGAGTTTAATTCTCAGCACCCACATGGCAATTCACAACTGTAACTATATTCCCATGAATTATGATGCCCTCTTCTGGTGTACAGATGTACATGCAGATAAAATACCCATACACATAAATAAATACATCTTAAAAAGAGAGAGCAAGAGATTTGTGCAACCAACACTAGAAACAGGGTATGTGCCTAATTGAATTTAGCACTCTGGACACCCTTCAAGCCAACACCACCGAATTTTAGCAGAAGTGAGAGAGACTTTAAAGTTAAATAATTTCCTACCCAACACATACCAGCTGGAACTTTGTCAAACCAGAGAACCACATTGATTTCACAGTTTTTGTTTGTTTGTTTTGTTTTTTAAGATAGGGTTTCTCTGTGTAGCTATGCCTGTCCTGGAACTCAATCTGTAGACTAGGCTGGTCTCAAACTCAGATCTACCTTCCTCTGCCTCCCAAATGCTGGGATTAAAGGCCTATGGCACCGCCACCCAGCTAAGTTGGAATGCTCTTAAAGAACACAATCTTCAACTGCTTTTCTACACATGACAACAAATAAGAAAATTAAATACAATTCTATTAACAGTAACATCAAAAGGAACTTTTCTAAAAAAAAAAAAAAAAGAGTTGTACACTATTTATTTATAAAGTTTATAATTCAAGTGGGTGTGTAATTCTAGCACTTATGAGTTGAATGAAGGCAGGAGTACAAACTTACCCGCAGCTACACAGTGAGTTCTAGGCCACCCTGGACTACGAGAGATGGTGCCTCAAAGAACCAAAACAAGCCCAGGCTTCAATAAAAGATTGAACTTGGTTAAGAGTCTCCTTTCGCTGAGTCGGGGAGATGCTGATTAAAGCACTTGCTATATGTGTAAGCCTGCTGACCTGTCCAATTTCTGGAACACACATGAAAACCTGAATGCAGTGGTGCACATCGGTAATCTGAGCACTGAATGGTGAGATAAGGAGTGGAGCACAATGCCCAGCATTAGAGAAGACATCTTGTTTCAACAAAGCAGAAGGTGAGACTACCTCCCAAAGGCTTTCTTTCACTAACCTCCAGACATGTAATGTGACATGGGCATGTCTGTACTCACACAAAAATTTTTAAAAAGTCTCCTTCACCAACTTGATTCCCAAAGGCACCATGCAAATTGCAATTGGCTAAAAAGTTCACCCAGGAAAATCCATATTATCTCCGTAAGATCAAGCGTAGTAAATAGCTGAGGATGACCCCAAACAAGCAATCCTCAACCTTCTGAGTGTTGAGACTACAGGCTTTACAGTTGCAATGTAGCTCAGGGGTAGAGACTTTGCTGAACTTGCATGAGAATGTCTGTGTGATAGCCGGTACCGCGACTAAAAACCAAAGCAAGAAAGGTGGCTCAAGAGCTGAGGTGCCTGCCCTCCAAGCCTGAGAACCTGAGGTAAATAACCACAACCCTGTAGAGATCTGGATGAGGGAATGTGAGCAGGCATCTCAGTGGTGCTGGGATAGGAAGTGCACACAGGTGGGTCCTGGAAGCCTGAAGGGGAGCTAAGTTTGCCTCACAGAAAGCACCCGAGACTGCCCCACCATCCACACATATACTTTTTTTTTTTTTATTTGAGACAGGGTTTCTCTGTGTAACCCTGGCTGTCTCGGAATTAAGAATTATGTAGACCAAGCTGGCCTAGAACGCACAAGAGATCAGCCTGCTTCTGCTGGGATTAAAAGGCATGCACCACCATCACCTGGGCACACACCAATTTATATACCTTAAAGCAGATCTCAAAACTGAGCAAGAGAACTCAGTTCCCAGAGCACATATAAAGGAGCAGAAAGCTGTGCTCTGGCCAACACACACATCCCTATACTCACCAGACATACTAACAGGTTAAAAATTAAATAAAGGGCGCTAACTCACATCGAGTTACTTATCTAAATATGAAAGCTGAAAATATAAAAGGATAAGAAAACAGTATCATCAAGTTTTGTACCTAAACTTATGTTGAGCACAAAAAAGGGAGTGTGTATCTATTATCTCAACAGGGATGTTCTTTCATAGACAATCCATGTAGTTATATTATCTCAGTGATATAGACAGTGTGAGGCACGCAAGCAGAAAGTTCTCAAATGACGTTTTAACTACTAACATAAGGACAGACTGCCAGGAAGTTTTGAGGTTTCAGATTTTTCAGGCATCAATGTTAACACCTCACAGCACTATGAAAGAATGAAATGGGCTAAGACCAAAGCAGACTGTCAGGGTAACCCTGAACTCAAGGTGCTTCCTTCCACATGAAAGAAGCTGTCAAAGAGACAACACTGCAACAGGGTGACAAATCCTGGAGGGGACTGAATCAAGGATGGGCGCAAGGGGAAATGAAGGATAAAAGTAAGCCCTTCACCACAGGGTACAATGGCATGATAGCATGGCTCCTTCTGTGCAAAGAGCACCAAGAGCTCAAGCCACAAGATCCTTCCTCATCAGAGAAGCTTCTTCGTACAGCGGACAGAGCTTAATGTAGAAGCTCACAAATGGGCAAGATACTGACAGAGTGGCGTGTGCAGCCACAAACAGGACGGCTATCCACATCGCTCCCAAGGCTCAGAGACCATCACAGAAAGAGCTTAAGAGCCAGAGCCTGGGGAGGCTTCTGGCCCAAGAGGGCAACTGCGCTCCTGAGCTCACAGCCACTGTGGTTTCTGTACAAGATCAAGCCTGTTAGCATTTTGGCATGGAACAGGGGTTCTTGAGACCCCCCCCCCCCAGCTGAGGTTCAGACGGTGGATGACTAGTTTTCTAAGGGCATGGCTCTCAATCGGTCACTTTCCCCCAGCATGTGGCCCACACTCAGGAGTACATGGGCAGCCCAAGTCGCAATCAGTGAGTTATTAAAGGTAAAAACAAAATAAGAAGTTGGCAGCAGGTGGAGGTGGGAGTGGATCTGAGAAGAGGTGGGAGAGAGTGGGGGTGAGTACAATCAAGATGCATTGTAGGAGACTAAAAAAAAAAAGAACCAGCCTGGCAGTGATGGCGCACATTTGATCCCAGCACTTGGGAGGCAGAGGCAGGTACATCTCTGAGTTCGAGGCCAGCCTGGTCTATAGAGGGAGTCCTAGGACAGCCAGGGCTACACAGAGAAATCCTGCCTCTGGGGAAGAAGGGGAAAAAAAGAAAAAGTACACTGTTTATCAGCAGGCTTCATGTAGTCTGCTTTTGATCAATTATTACAGAATGATGTTAACAATAACTCTACAAGATAATTTTCTAAAATTAAGTACAGTCATGGTTTGGCAATAGTCATGATTTGAGGGCTTTTCTTTTCTCTCTCAAAAACATTTATTTAATACATATGTATGGGCTGGAGAGATGGCTCAGAGGTTGAGAGCACTTCCAGAGGTCCTGAGTTCAATTCCCAGCACCCACATGATGACTCACAACCATCTATAATGAGATCTAGTGCTCTCTTCTGGCATGCAGGCAGAACACTGTATACATAATAAATAAATCTTTAAAAATAAAAGGAAGGGGCTCACAACCATCTCTAATAAAGATCTGTTGGCCACTTTAGATGTGCAGGTGTACCCGCAGACAGAACATTATATACATAATAACTAAAAAGAGTGTGTATTTGTCTTTGTGAGCGTCTGCACATGTGCAACCAGACACACCACAATACATGTGTAAGTCAACTTGGGGGAGTCAGTTCTCTCTCTCCATCCACCATGAGTCCCAGAGAACAACTCGGGTTGTCAGGTGCAACAGCAAGCATCCTTATCCACTGAGCCATTCCTCGGAATATCACTGTTTTTGGAAAACAGTGTTACAAATGCCAGGCTAACCATAATTCATTATGTCACTGGAGATGGCCTTCAACTTGTGATCTTCCTGCCTTCCTCCCTCGGGTGCTGGGATTCTAGGCATGCACAACCATGCTTGAGTTATGTGTGCCGGTGAATGCACCCAGGGCTTTTACACACTAGACGAGCAACTGAGCTACACCCCTAGCCCAACTTGTAGTTCTCTAAAGATCGAAGCAGTATCTACCTTGATGGAAAAACATGGCAAAACGACAGACCGACACACCCTGTCCAGCTGCAGCAGCACAACACAGTCACACGTGAGACCCTGTGAGACGCCCTGCAGGGGAACCTCACTCCACTGCTTCCACAGTCCCCCTGCATCCTCCGCACCTCTACGGCGACTGGGAGTGCACGTGCGGGAACCAAGGGAGAAACACTGATTTCAGCCTTGCTGGGATGAAGCCTGGAGCCAATTTTCATGGCACAATCCCCTATTTAAACCTGAAATCCCCATCTGAAAGCAGCAATCCCAAGGCACTGAACTTTTCGCCCTCTTCCTAAATTCAGCATTAGCTGTCTGGACCTACAACTCTGATTAGCCCTCCATATCGCTTTATGTTTTAGACTTTAACCTGCCTTTGTTTTTCCAGACAGGATTTCTCTGTATAGACCAAGCTGTCCTGGAACTCACAGAGATCCACCTGCCACTGCTTCCCAACTGCTGGTATTAAAGGCATGCACCATCCTGCCCAGGCCACAGTTTGGACTTTTTAACTGTATGAATATTAATTCACATGTACACTGTCAAAATGGAACATGCTTCTATCACCCAGAGAAAACAACTATGCATAAATAACTCTTTCAAGAATCTGTTTCACCTAAATAGCAAATTTTCGTAACAATGAAAAAGTTTGATAACTAAACATCAAGTTTACTTATTATGCCAAAATTATAAAAACGAAACAACAACAACAAAAAAAGAGCTCAAAATACCGTAATATGGGGGGGGGGGGGGAGCAAAGCCAAGCGTTAGACTATCTGACTTAAAACAAGGGTGCTTTGCAAAGCTAAGCTGTTATTTGAGAATGAAATCCTGTGCTAAAAATTAGCAAAGTGATTACTGAGAATGGAATTCTATGCTGAAAATTCGGATAGTGGTTTTGCTGCTGGACTATAAAAAACAGGGTTGGTGGTACCCACCAGTAATCCCTGCACTCAGGAGGAGAGGGAATCAAGACTTCAAAGCCATCCTAGTAAAAGAAAGATTAAGCCATAAATGTTACTTCTTCTTGTCTTTGGCATTTCAGTTCAATACTCATGGTCTCCTTTCTAAGAGATTCCTTTTTATAACAGGGCCCAGGACCGAGCTGGTAATGGAGGTGCTTGCTATGAATGCTTACTAGAGGGTGAAGAACTGTATCAGGGCTCATCATCTTTCAGTCCGGATATTTTGAAGGCATAAAGATGTTGTAAATGGAACTTTTTATTTGCCTGTTCCAGTTGTTGCCTTGGGGGCTTACTGTCTCTGTCTGGTAGGCTAGTCCTAGTCCTAGAAGCTTCCAGTCTTCTTATAATCTAACCTGGGCCTAGAATGTGTTCAGGCTCTGAGACTTACTGCCTAATAAACTCACCCTTTCTTGTTCTTACTGAGCGCTAGCTGGCTGGTTCAGCTCAGCTGTTCTGGCTCAAACTATTCTCCCCAGCTGACTTATTCAATCTGGCTTTTCTCTCGGCCTCTGAATTGTTCCGCTTGGCCTCTAACTCAGAAATGTGCACTAAACCTCTGGCTCCTTCTCATTTTCATGCTTTATCCATCTTAACCTGAGTTCTCCTTCTCTGCAACCCGTCTCTCTATTACTGTCCTGGTAAAACTGCTTCCTCCCTGTAAGTATTGCTCCGTAAGTAGCTTCCCTTACCTCTCTCTTCTGATGAGAGTTGGGTGCATCCTATCAATTCTTTTTCTGATTCGTCACCTTTACTGCCAATCAATTAGACTTTCAAACATGGGTGCTTCCTTCTACAAACTGTCTTCACATTCACTGTTTGGGATTAAAGGCATGTACCTAAAACTTGCTTTCTTTACCTGATGCTTGCTCTATACCAGGCTGGCTTTGAACTCAGATCTGCTGGCTTCTCCCTTGCTCTATACCAGGCTGGCCTTGAACTCAGATCTGCTCGCTTCTGTCTCTCCTGGATTAAAGGTATATTTGTATTCCAACAGGATTACACCAGACCTAGAGGGTCTTTGGATGTGATCTCTTGCCAAAGCAGCCATGTTCTGAACTAACATTCTTCCACATAAAGAGGAAGAAAAAAAAGTCCTCATACAAGAGCCCACCAACAACAAGCGTTTACAGTCAGGCCAGCCGACCTCAATGCTAGGCAAGTACACCGTCCCATTCGCTGCCTTATGCACACAAGGTAAACACTTCACAATGACACCTCGCCCCACCCCAGCCCGCTCTGAGCCTTGCTGAATGACAACTACCTAGACACCGCCACGGTTTTATTTCTATTCTTATTCCTCAATATCTTCAACAGCACAAATGTTTGCAAATCTCACCACAAGTGTGGTTAGTCAACACTACTCTACGACCCTAACAGTCTGGTGACCTAACATTCTGGAATAGGAAACAGCAACCAAACAGCAAGGATGGAACAAGTTAACTTTAGGCCATTCATCAAAAGCCTCACTGACAAATTTGTATAATGTCCTCAAAAATCTCAGTCTTAAGAATCATAGGATCAAAAAATAAAGCTGGCTGTGAACAATTTTGTTTTTGTAAAGTACCTTTATAAAAGTGAAGTTTTATGTGAACAAAGAAAACTGACTGCTAGATAAACAAAGGTACTGAAAACTTTTTAAAACTGAGAATCAGAATTGTTCCTTTTATCTCCAAGTTAAAATCACAGGTAGAGCTATGAAACGGACTCCAAAATCTGAAATTGCATAATTTTATGAGATCCAAGACAGACAAATTGTGTTCCATCCGTAGGACCTACACAGCGGCAAGTCTCCAAGCTGTTCTAACTTTCTCATGTGCAGCCTGACATGAGAACCAGCATGCACATATAAATAGAAACACACACACACAGATGTAATTTTAAAGAGATATAGGTTAGGCACGGTAGCACACACCTTTAATTCCAACACTTGGGAGGCAAAAGCAAGAGGATTATCACCACTGTGCCAACGGAGACAGAAAGGGATGCAAAGTGAAATCCTGTCCTTAAAAAATGGAAGGGGAAAAAAAGATGAAGGAAAAACAAGCAAATGAACAAAAAGGACCAACATTAAGATAATGCTCCCAACTCCTGAACATATATTCTTTCCATTATACAATGCGACCTCCCAGAAACTAACTGCAACCAAAATAAAGCAAAGACAAAAATGTGTGGAGCCTAGAAAAATACTGAATAAGTTCATTCTGGATTTGTTTATAGTAAGTATTTAAGGAACAAAGAATAAAAGTCTTGAAAATTTTAAAGCAATTATATTTATTATGGGCTGACATTCAAGCTAAAAATAATACAATTGCTCCTATTATGAATTATTCAGTTCTGTGATTCATCTCCATGTTGTTACCATCTGATCATAAGGAAAAAAAGAGGTACCTACTTGCACTCCAATAAAAGGTGGAAAGGGGAGAGTTGAATTCATGTGCAATCGAAAGACTATGCTAGTCACAAACAGCAAAACGAATGAATGAACGAACGAATGAACAAACCTTTTCCAGTTGTCTTAAAACAACCTATTTGGTCAGAGATACAGCCAGAAGCTGCGGTCTGCCGTGCCTGTGCCTAACCTTCAACAAGACAGACAATATCCTTTTGTGAGTTCAGGCAGTTATCAAAGGAGTCCTTTGTTTCTGTCCCTTGTTGTCACTTCCTGTTTCACCTTACCTGGGGTAGTAAGCGGTGTAGTTCATGAAGAGCTGAGTGCCCGCTGGGTAGTACGCAGCGGAGGGCTGCAGTGCCCGTGGATTCAAGAGCAGAGAAGGCTGATAAATGGCAGCTTCGGTAGGAATCACTGCTGCAGGAGCCGGGAACGTGTAGGAGGGAGGAGACAGGCCTACACAAGCAGAGAGAGACTCTTGAGACACAGTCCGTAACAGCTGACACAGATACTAGCACTCAAGCTCTAGTTCCTCTGCCACCTAGGTATTTCGTAAAGATAACTTTTTGTGTGTGTGTGCATGTGTGTGTGTGTGCGTGCGTGCCCACGCGCACTAAGTGCACGAAACAACCCTTAGGAGACGGAAGACGATGTTAGGGACCCTAATCCTTTAGTTAAAAAGAGTGAGCTGCCACGTGGGTGCTGGGCACTGAAACCAGGTCCTCTGCAAGAACAAGAAATGCTCCTCACTGGTGAGCCATCACCCTGGTGTCAACTCTACATTTAAAGGGAAAGGCCACCACAGTTCCTTACATCCAAGCAACTGCCTTTTGATTATATGACTGTTTTCTACCCTTTAGCATGAAATCGGAGATTAGGAAAAAACGCTGTAGCATGCATTATGCTAAAGCATGTGAGTGTTGCAGGAATTGCTTCCCGGGAGCAATAGGGAACAGATGAACTCCACATTATGCTCACCTACAGGCATCCAAAAGAGAGACTTTGAAGCTAATCTACACCTTCAGACCTATAAAAAAAAGTCCAACCAGGAAACAGTTCCAGAGAAACCGATATCTAAGTCTTTCCCCAAACCAGCTGATAAAAAGCTGGCTTAGCTGGACAAGGTGGTGCGTATCTCTACCGCCAGCACATTATCTTCAGGACTCCAAAACCAACTTAGTCTATGTAGCAAGTTCCAGGCCAGCCACCAGAGCTACACAGTGAGAAAGCCTGCCTCAAAAACTAAACAAAACCAAAACAAACCAAACCTCACATATACAAAAAAGTGGCTCAAATTTTCATTAATAAGTCTAGGGGCTGAGGGTAGAGCTAAGGGGCAGAGCACATGCACAGCCTAAGTGAGGCCCGGGTTCGATCTCTAGCACCATGGGAGGAGGGAGAGAAAACTTTATCTTCTAGACAGCCTGCGTTTCCCTGCTCAGAGCTCTCTTAGGCTGGAGCTGCTGGTGGCCTCTAGATTCCACAAGTAGCATGGGTACACTAGCTGGGGCACATGCACCAGATGGAGAGAGAGAACGAAGTTGACAGAATCTGGGACCACTGACTTTAAGCAGCGTCCACACAGAATCCATTAGATTCTGTAAGTTGCAGAGACCCAAAGGGTAATTTTCCCGTCTGGCTGCCTTTGTTCTCGGAAGTCTGTCCAGCACTGTGAAGAATGAGGTAAGCAGTTTCCACCACGGGGTTCTGGTCTAACACATACACCGAGTACGCACAGACATATTTACTGTTACAGCGCCATGCCCCAGCCCGGGGCTCTGTGCATGTTAGTTAAGCATGCTACACTGAACTTTCGAGACAGTTTCCTCTTATAGCCCAGGCTGGCTTCAAACCATAACACTCTTGCCTCAGTCTCCCCAGTGCTGGGATTCGGGTGTGTACACTGATACCTGACTGTGGGGCCTCTTTCATGTCACTGAAAACTCTAATGTTCAACAGTGATAAACTTTTCAATTACACTGACTGGCCTTCAAAATTCACAGAAAACGGCCCCTTCAATAGAGACTGGGCATGTGGCTGGCTCAGTGCTGGAGCACGGGACGGTTCTGGGTTCAGTCCTCAACACCGCACACTGAAAACCCCAGATCTTAAGCACGACATAAAACTATGTAGTACATGCTCATAACTTGCTTGCAAAATCAAGTCACTCATAAGTATTATTCATGCCATTAAGACAAATATAGGTGTTGAGACTATAGCTCAGCGGTTCTGCACTTGTCTAGCAAAATCAGGACCCTGAATTTAATCTGTAGCAATACAAAAAGAGAGAGAGAAAAAAATATGTATATGTATATGTTATGCTTCAAAACAAAGAAAGTAAGATAAAAATTGACAAGAGTTGAGAAGACTTGAGCATTGGTCAGGTAGATGTGTGGCTATCTCTTATTTTCCTAAAAAAGAAACCAGCTGCCTATCCACAGGCTAAAAAAATAAAGTTGACTGTGAAAATGAGGGGTTTTCTTTCCCTTGAGCCCTGACTGCCCTGGAACTAGCTCTGTAGACCAGGCGGGCCTTCAACTCCTACCCGCCTGTGCCTCCTTGCTGGCATGAATGGTGTGCACCACCACGCCTAGCTTAAGCTGACTTCCTGGTGAATTAAGGTAGCACAGTGGAGTGTACAGTAAGACTATTTCAGCATCTGTCGCCAGTTTCATCAAGCAGGTCTTTAGTGGGAGATGCCAGCCCCATCAGTATTTAAATTTCTTCAAGTCTTTGAGATTGAACAAAAGGAAGGCAGGTCTTTGAGGCTTGTGTGTGGTATGATTAGGCAGCCACCTAAAGGTGGGGGTGCAACAGGCAGAATGCAAGCACATCAACACCAAACTTCGGATTTTTAAAGAAATTATCTCTTCCGCTAAACAGACAAATGATCAAATTTTTGGTAAAAAGTCCTGTCTTCATCTTTTGGAAGTATTAAAGGAACCAATGACACAGTATAATATATTCTTTAAAAACTGTTTTTAAAGACTAGGTCTTCAGAAACGTAATTTTACATTCATAAAATACGGATTTAAAATTCCTCCTTTGCTGAGTGAGAATTGTGGCTCAAACCTATAGCCCTAGTACTCAGGAGGATGAGGACATCATTCAGGTCCAGGCTCAGGATGGACTACATACTGAACTCCAGGCCAGCCTGGGATACAATAAAACCCTGCCTCAAAACTTGAAAGAAAACATATTCTGCTTTCTTAGAGCTTGTGAAAGGAAGGGAGTGAAGGGAGTCTATAATACACTAAACCAAAAAAAAACATGGAGAAACTCCTTTGTTTCATGAGGGTTGATGGACGGTGACATCAAACGCTGATTTACTGACAGAAGATATTTGAGAATTATCCTAAAGTATTTTTTTTTACACTCAATCATAAATTTCTACAACCTTATACTTCTTAAAAATAACAATTAGATATTCACCAACAGCAAGCAGCAGGTAAATGGAATATTAGAGTTCAGGAATTCCAACTGTAAAAAAAGGATTAAGCCCCACCACTCTACAAATAGTACTTTATTAAACAACTGATCTAATTGCCCCTTTGCCTCAAAATAAAACTCAATGCCTAAAACTGCGTACTTTCATAGAATCAAGCAAATCAACCCAGTGGGCTTTCCAGTTATCTTTAAACTGGATCCCAAGTTCTTTAAACACACCCAACACACCTACAAGATATGCCTACCTAAAGGTAAAAAACTGCACTAAAATGGCTCATGTTTTAACATCAGCTTTCCAAATGCTCCTTACTCATTAACTAGAACTTGGCTTCCAGACTACGGGGCTTATTCCTCTCAAACTGGATTCCAGACAGCTTGCACCCAGTTGCCAATGAGCAAGAGCACAGCTTGGAATTAAGCACTGATCCTGTGATCCAATCAGACATTGGCTAAATTTACGCATTTATGCATAAATGTAATTCACTTAGTTGCTCATTCCAGAGATCCTGGATAGCAAAAGGAATGTTCTCCAGGTTATCGTTTTAAAGACGCATTTGATACTAAAAAAAAAAAGTTAAGAATCCAAAATGGACATCAAATCATCCTTCTTAAAAGTTTACCATGTAAAAGAACAATGAATAAATAAAAAAAATAAGTAAAAGGCAGAAAGGAGAGGATGAAGCCAGATGTACGCTTTGCCTTCAAATGCGTATTAAGTTATGTACAGAGCCAGGTGGCCTCCCAGAGTCAGTGCTTATCTGGAGCACACTAAAGCTTCAGACCCCAAGTGCTTATCACTGGAAAAGCAAGAGTATGATTTGAAAGGAGGTATTTGTAGCATCTCTAATTATGGGTGTCCACAACCAAGGTCTTAAATGATTATCAGAAACTAGTGATTTCAGATGGGAAAGCCTTATGTAACCACCTCACCTGCCTGAGAGAGAACCACGGGCAAGAAAGTGACGCGAGCAGCTTCAGCACCTACCAGCGTACAGCGTAGAATAGCGCCAAGACCCAAGAAAAACTTACATGGTAACTTACATGGCGGTGGGGATAAGCCATTTCGATTTAAAGTTCCCCCCATTAACACAAAGCTCATCTCCTCAGCTGAACACTGAAAGACTTCAACATATCTGTCCTTCATGGTTTTTTTATGATACTTCTGCGCAGCCATGAATGCTCTGTCTGCAGACTTCATCTGGATAAAGGCATCTCCTGACGGGCGTCCCTGAGTGTGCGGGGGAAGAATAGAAACAAAAGGAGACTGTCTCCTTCAACAAGGAAATCAATGGTCGCTTACACAGCAGGCAAAGTGACAATCACCCATAGGACAAGTCATGGCAGCCACAAGATCTGGGTGACAGTGTCCTCTACTCAAGTCTGACTTGGGTTTCGTTCCCTAATCACCAGAGTTGGCCCACAAAAATCCTGGATAAAACGTTCTCAGAGATCACGGTTGAAAGCGATCCTTCTAGGTTTCTACTAAGTTAGTATTAAGTTTACAGGACTCTAAAAAGTCTCGTTGTGACTCCAGCTCCAAAATATAGGATTATATATTGGATTTTTTTTCTCCTGAAAAATCCGATTAAATATCATCTGATGAGAAAAGCTAGTACCATATCCTCCTACAGGAACTAAGCAAGCCCACATTGTCCTCTGGCTCTCGGGAGGTTCCTCTCTGACCTGCCACGCCCCTTTAGCTTGCCCCTCACCCCACGAAGCCTGGATTGGAATGTGTCTTGAGGGTAAGCAACAGGAGCTTCAAGGAATGGCACTAGGGGCTAGATGCCCCCTGCCATGCTGGGAAGCTGTTCTTCTCCACAGCCTCACTCCTTCCCCATATACTGCTCAAGGGAGTATTCAGAGGCAGGCTGGTTTGCTTTGTTAGCTGAAATTGCCCTCTTGAAAAGCAAGTCTCTGTGTTTGTGCTGCAAACAACTAGAACTCCTTGGTACTGTATTTGTACATGAGCGGCATTGGAGGGAGAAAAGACAACTAGTTTATAGGACTATTTTAAGTTAGTTCTTCAAGTACCCTAGGGAATATTTATATTGTACCACCGTACAAATTATTACCATGCAAGTTACCATAACAGTCACCATACCAGGGAAATTAGCAACAAACCCAGTCCAAGATGAAAACCTAATATCTTCCAGGTAGTAAGAGCTTGGCCATCATCAAAGAAGCATTTTTTTTTCTCCAGGTCATGGAGGTCAAATGAAAGGCAAATCTGTCTACTGTTGTTAATCAAAGGGTAATGGTCCCAAGGTTATTAGAAAATGGTGACTTGAAAGAAATAATTCCCTAGTGAGGCTGGCTTGTGGTGAATTGTGTTTCAAAGGACTCTGACCCGCAGCATGAGCTATGCATTGTCAGAGTAACACGGTGTATAGCTTTCAGAGACCAAGTGTTAATCTGACACATGCTGGTAGCAAGGGCTCAGGAGGTTGGGACTACGCGTGCCTAATACCATGCACCTTCTCATAAGTGGGAAGACAGTTAAAGTAAACAGTCCTCCAAGTGTGAAGTGGAAAATTAGTAGTCAGAAAAAAATTAGTATTTCCATTAAAAGCCTGTGTTCAATCCTTAATACTCTGAATAAAAGTCTTCCTTTCTAAAATGAAATCCTTTGCTTTTAACAGAGTTCTGAACTTTTAAACTAGTGCTACATGGCCTGTGATTACTTACAAGTCTGTCTTACTTAAGACAGCACAAAATACTAGTCAACTGTCCAGCACCCAATAGGATTAATTTTGTTTACCCAAAACTCAAGTGGCACCAAGCAAGTAAATACTTCCTGGCATACAGAAAGAATTCAGTCAGTCTCGGATAGAAAACCTTTGTAGTTATCCTTTGATACAGCTGACACTAAGATCCACACACTGCCACAGACTGCAGCGCTCTGGGCCCTCATTCTACTGCAGGACAGTGGACACCTGACGCACGTCTAAAGAGAATCCCAAGTATCTGCAATGGGTCTTTGCTTATGTTTGGCCTGTGACCATTCTCACACCAAAAACAGCGGAGTTGCACAGTTCAGTAGCTACAACAGGAAAATGCTGTATACACTCATAATACATTTGGCTCCTCTCTGATGTTGCTGATAAAGGGACAGATTTCTGTGATGAAATAAGCAGAGCTGAATTTCAACTACTACACTAATACAGTGGGCTAATTTTTTGGAGTATATCCTCAAGATTTCTTACTCTTACAGCTGAATCTTTTCTTAAGGACAATGTAAGACTCAGGATAATTGTACTCTTCCTAGAATGAGTACTTGGTAACCAGAAAGAACAAGCAGACACACCTTTCCAATCAACAACCACCTTACCTGGTGATTCAATACCATGTGAACCCCATGTGTGCGGATGTCTGTGGAGAACTCCCCCAGGAACTCCAGGATGTCCTCTACTGTGGCAGCGTAGGGAAGACCTCGGAGGCGGACGCAGTCTCTTACGGTGGGGGGGGGCACAAACTGCTGAGGTAGTACTGGGATAACGGGAGGGGTCGGGAGTGGAATCAGAGGGGCAGAGGAGAACCGATTCAGCACCTGTACACAAGGCAGAACACAAGAGACTCAAGGGTCTTGCTGCTCCTCTGCTGTCCTACAAACCACCACCAAGAATTCTGCTAAAAGTGCAAACTCTAGGGTATGTGTGTAAGCTGCAGAGTGCATTTGAGCATGCAGGAGGCCCTGAGCTAAATCCTCAGGGATACAGAAGGGCTGGGCTATAATCATGGCCACACCACAAAACTATTAAAAAATATGACTCGATTTCTCTGGGGGATCCATCCTTTAGGGGACTCGTAAGTGCAAGAAGTTTAAGAGGCCCTGACTGACGGAGGATCCATGCATTTCCTCCCAGAAAGTGTGACATTCGTTTCTGTCCAATACATGAGGCATGGTGGCACACGCCTGCGATCCCAGCCCTCAGAAAGGGTCCGTTAGCTTAAGGCTGGTCTATCTGCTCTATACAGTGCGTCTTAGGCCAGCCAGGCTACATAGTGAGACACTGTCTTTAAAAAAAAAAAAAAAAAAATACAATAAAAGAAATCTAGGCACACACTAAAATACAGTATACTTATCAGGCGGTACGATCTGGGTAAATGTATTTAAAAATCTAGGGCATACTGTAAAATATGGACTTTTGTGATAATTTATTCAACTCCATTTCACAGAGTTTTCCCTTAATATTATCTTCCCGCTCCAACTCTGGACTTAAAAAAATAAAGAGAATGGCCCCAGGTTCCTCCATGCCAGTTTTAAATTACTTTCTATTCATTTCTTTCTTACGTCTGTGAAATTTCTGTCTAGGAAGCATTTAACACACGAATACACACCACAATTTAATAGAAGAAAAGCGTTAATGCAAGGGTTCCAAGAGACCTCTAAGACGGACCTGCTGAACCTCAGCCGCCGTACTCCTGAAGAGCTCGATGTATCTTTTACCCAACAGGTCCTTGTGCTTCCTCAGGGCATTCTGCGCATATTCCTCACACGCAAAGAGCACAAATGCATCTCCTGTAGGCCTCCCATCGGGATAGGTGACAAACAGGATGCCTTCCTTGCCCCCAGTGATGGGGCAGTGCTGTCCGAAGAAGGCCACCACCTCCTCAGCCGTGGCCGTGAACGGGAGCCCCCGCATGCGGACGATGACCTGGTTTTCCTTGGAGAGAAACTGAGCCACCTCATTGGATGTCCCTAGAGAAAACAAATGGAGAAGGGTTAAGAGAGCAACATTACAGATTTAAAATGACAAAATTCCTGGCAGTGTGTATGTTGCTGGGAAACAGGCCCAGGACCTTGCCCTGGCAAGTACACTAACCACTCAGCGACATCCCAGGCCCTTCTAGCGAAGTTTGGAATTTACAGTTAAGATCCACACCACTACCGGATTCGTAATGAGAATATCCTAGGACTCAGAGGCTTCTTCCTGAAAATCTGAAACTTCCCATAGCACTTTAGTATTAAGCTGTGGCACGTAGTATTAAATAATACTTTCTAAACAGAAATTACATAGACATAAGAAAGAAATAAAAATATTTTTTAAACTGGCATGGAGGTACCTGAGGCCATTCTCTTTACTTTTTTAAGTCCGGAGTTGGAGTGTGAAGATAATTTTAAGGAAAAACTGTGAAATGTGCTTACTGAAATGGAGTTAAATAAATTACCACGAAATCCTGCAGTATTCTAAACCATCCCTCTTAAGCTATGAAGCTGGTCAGACAAACCACAGAGTAGCGCCTGTTTTCCTCAAAGAGAACGAAAAAGTCTTCATGGCACACAAGGGTCCTCGGTAGGGAGAAACTCTGCGGTAGGCTTTGCCTAATGAAAATGGCCTTGAGTTCAATGTCCAACCACACAACAATAACAGAAGGCACAAGCTGTGGATCCAGGATGCCTAGATCTCGTCTTAGCTATCCTGTCCACTAGGGCATGACTTTATTCAAGTTTAACATCCATGCCTTAGTTTCCACATCTGCTAAACTAACTACTTCATAAGCTATGAGAATGAATTAGGTTAATAAAATATATTGTGGTTATAATTTCTTCATTGCCTTTAATTAAGAAATTTTTGTAAGGGCTGGAGAGATGGCTCTGCGGTTAAGAACACTGTCCGGCTCTTCCTGGAGTCCTGAGTTCAAGTCACAGCAATCACATGGTGGCTCACTACCATCTATACAGGGATCTGATGCCCTCTTCTGGCAGCAGGTGTTCGTACAGATAGAGCACTCACCTACATAAAATCAATCAATCTTAAAAAAAAAAAAATTTGTAGAGAATAATGAAAATATGTATGCACAGTTGCAATATTTACCAACATTCTGCCCAAACCACAGCACTGCCATATAACTAGCACTAAAGACTAGTTACCAGTTTCTCCTAACGAAGCTTATCATGCAAAGCACATTCAATGAAATCCAGCTAACTTGTCTTCAGTTTGCAATGTGTTTACCATCAAAGCCCAGGATGCAGGAAGACCCCAGCAACTCCAAGTCCTCAGCTATTCCCCAACCAATACACTAAATACTGCTGCAAGACTTCAGAAATTTCAAGTAAAAAGCAAAGCCTAACCTTTGAAGCCATAGGACTTTGCTAAATAAAGTGGCAGAAAAGAAACATACTAGAAAAATTGGAGTAAAAGAATACTTTTGTAGAAAACGAGTTTGAAAATTGGAAAGATGGACCAGTGCTATATTACACAAAAAACTTGGTACTTAAATAAAAGTTACCCTAGTATAATCTGGCACCTTGCCAAAAATTTATTTAAAAGGCTTCAATTCTTAGACTCAGTCCTCCTACTTTCAGTAGGCTCCATCCTGAAGAACAGTACACACTAACAGAAAATTTCACAACATAGTTAAAAATAAGCTCTAGGAATTCAGTAGGAATGTATAAATACATGGTATATAAAAACACATATAAAATAAATATAATTAATGAAATTTAACATGAGATGTTCAGAGTGTATTAAAAGAAATAAAGGGTTTTTTAACTTATTATTTATTACAATTTATTCACTTTGTATCCCAGCTGTGAGCCCCTCCTTTGTCTCTTCCCAATCCCACCCTCCCAAGAAATAGTTTTAAAACCACATAAGTAGAACAACAGAAGCTTAGAAAATAGATGTCTAAAACCCACCACTAAAAAAATAAAATAATAAGGGTTAGAGAGATGGCTCAGCGCTTAAGAACACTGGCTGCTCCTGCGGAGAACTAAGGTTTGATTACTAGCTCCTACACAGTGCCTCACAACTGCCTGCAATCCCAGTTCCAGGGATCCAATGCCCTCTTCTGACTTCCATCAGTACCAGGCACACGTGTGGCAAACAGATATACATGCAGAAAAAACATTCATACACAAAACTAAAAATAAATAAAAATATTTTTAAAAAAAGTCAGCCAGCTTCATGGCTCATGCTTATTATTAATGCAAGCACTGCAAGGCTGAGGCAAAGGAAACCTCTGGAGATCAGGGCCAGCTTGGTCTACATAACAAGTTCCAGGTCAGCCTGGGCCATGACTAAAACCATCTCAAAAATCCAACCAGGGCTGGATCAGTGACTCAGTTGTTATGAGCACTGGCTGACCTTCCAGAGGACCTGGGTTGAGGTCCCAGCACCCAATAGGTAAGCTCACACCTGTCTACAATCCCAGTTCCAGGGGATCCAATGCCTCTGGCCTTCTTAGGCACCGAGCACAGGCATGGTGCATACACATGCAGGCAAAACTCATACATATAAAATTTTAAATTTTTATTTTAAATCTTTAAAACAAATAATCAATGAAACAAAGTTATTATTTTTTGCATCTTCGATTTCAAAGTTATAACCCAATATCCTGGGGGAAAATATCAACAAAAAAGTTATATATGTGAATTAAAATGTATTATAAAACTTATTATATATACTACATTCCAAATAAAAAAAACTGGAAACCTAAAGTTTTAAATCTTTTTCCTCCTCTGTTCATATTTCTGTTAAGTACTAGATCCCTGGAAATAGACTGGGGCTGTAAGACAGCTCAGTGAGTGGCACCTGTAGTGCAAGCCAGACATTTTAAGTTCTATCCTTAGAACCCAAATAGAGGTAAAAGGAGTGAACTGAATCAATAAAATTATCTCCCAAAAAAGAAACTACCATGGTCCTGGGCCACTGGTGAGTTCAAAAATTCAGAGAAAATCTAGAAGTAGATTTGGAATAGCCTCAGGGACTGCAGGTGGCCGTTTCCAACAATTCAGCTGCATTTCTTTCCAGAACTACCCTCTCCTCTTTATGAGACTGTGTATGACCTTCCACCTTTATATGGTCTCATTCTTAATGGCTACTTAGCCATAGTAGATTGGCTCAGGCCTTAGGGCAAATGTTACAGTACATTAAATTCACCAGCAGTACTGGAAGTTTCTTCTCCCTATTTATAAACCAACCCTCATGTTTTACTAGGAAAGAACCATTTAAGGTCCCAAGAATCTACTCAGTGTGCATGGAAAACTTCTGGTTATCAATGACATCTACTACATAAAAGGAACTCACCTCCAGCAATTTTAAGAAAATCTTCACCTGTTGCTTTGTAAACCTAAAAAAATAAAGAGACATTAAAACAGTTTCTAAAATGCCTATCGTACGCGAACAGTGGCGAGGTCAAGTATGTCTGGCTGGGAGCACACACCTCAATGTACCGGGTCCCCATGTGATGCTTGTGCCTCTGGAGGGCTAGGTCTCTGTGCTCCTCACTCACGAATCTGACCAGAGCTTCCCCATTCCTCCGTCCCTGAGCGTTTAGACAAAGTGCTGCGCCACCCCTTTGAGGGAAAAGAAAGGGATGGCAGGCAGGGAACACACAGTGGGGAGAAATGTCAGAAATACAGAAAACCCTGCACTCCTTTGGAACTGAGTGAAACAAAGAAAAGGAAACCCACTTGGCAATATTGAGTCCTTTAAAGAACCTTGCAATATCTTGGTCCGAAGACTGCCAGGGTAAACCTCGAGCCCTCACAACCGTGTTGTCATCAATGAGTTCCATCTTGCTGCTGTGAAAGAAACGCAACTTCATGTTGCTAGTCAGTGCAAGGCAAACCACCTGGCTACAAACAAGGCCGCTGAAGAGCAGACTGACGTGCACTGCCAACTGCCAACTTGGAGCTGGAGACAGCTCAGAGAATTTGCTGTGCCGCTGTAGAAAGATGGCGGTCTACGTAGGTCCAAAGCAGCTAGCTCATCCAGAAAAGCATCTGTCAGCTGCAAGATCTATCTTTGCTGTAAGATCAAAACCATCTGAGATCAATTCAAGGGAAGCAAAAGTCTCTCAGTACCCTTACCAGCCTGACCTAGAATAAAGAAGGGTTTTCTTGTTTGCTTTGTCTTGGTTTTGCTCCTGTCTGTTTGAAGACAACATTTCAATAAATAACCCAGGCTAACCTTGAATTTGACAACTCCCTACCTCACCATCTGAGTACTAAGAGTCCTGCTCTGAGCCACCATACTAAGGTCAAGCGGGGGTGGGGTAGGACTTCAATTTTTTTTTTTTTTTTTTTTTCTCACGAAGGGAGCACACATTAGGCACTAAATCCAGCTTGACAGCAAGGATCAGAATAAAGCTACAATTAACCCACATTGGGAATGTAAGCATGTGGTCAGGAGACTATTAAAGTATCTCCCCTCATCAAACAGGAGTGCCAGCAAGCACAGGGTGTTTATGAAAACACTTGGGAATCTCCACGCCTTAGTGAGTCACTTGCAAATCACCCATTATACACCTTGACACCTTCTGATGTTCTGTCTGTCTCCTGTCCATATTTTCAGTAACCCTAGGACTTTTTCCTAATGAGTCACTTTCTCTACCAAAAAAAAAAAAAATCAGTGCTGAAGTCTCTCTACTGGCTAAGCTGTCAAAAGTTTCTACCCATCAGCAGGTGCCAGACAATCTCACAAAATTCATGACAGTAACAACAATCACGTCTACCTATGATCACAGAGACATCACTTCAGACACCTCCCTAGATGTCCACTGTGATAAAGGAGAAAAGGATGGCATACGTGTAACTTACCCCATGAACATCAAGAACTCCTTTAAAGATCCACTTATGTGCACCACACGCACAGGCTAGAGAGCATTTGGTACTGGAGTTACAGGCAGGCGTGCACTGCCTGAGGTGGCATAAACCCCAGGTCCCTGCATGAGCAGTAAGCACCCTTACCCAATGAACCAGCTTTCCATTCCCTCCAGAACTTCCAAATCCCATGACCTTTCCTTTAGAAAGGGTAGACAGACATGAAGACTAAAGTAAGAATCACAAATGCCCTCAGTCAATGAGCAAAGATGCCAACACTTCACTAAATTTTAACCTCGACCTGTAAGCGTGCTTTTAAGGAACAGATGACCTGACAATAAGAGATGGTAAGCAGAGGTTTAACAAAATTAGGAAAACCTAAAAAGACTTAAATGTCACAAGTAAGAACAAACCCAAGGGTCAAATGAATAGCACTCAACCACTCACCAAGTGCCACTTTCAAATTTGTAGTTTACTCTCTCCGGATCTGAAAATCTGTGATCTGAAAATAAGAGTGCACAGTCATCATTCTGGCAACTGCACAGCAAAGCTGTGCCCTGAGATCAGAAGCAAGGCTGCGGGAATCCAATTACTACAGTGACGATACTCACTATACGGCTCTGAGATCATTGCTAGGATTATGTTCCCCATATCTTCAACTTGAGAGGCTCCATATCGGGAGACGGAGTCGTTCTTCTCAAAGTTGAGACCTGTGGGGCTGAGTTAAGGAAACATTTGGACGGGTAAAGGAAAGTTACGCTAGGCAGAATATAAATTTGAAGCCAGGGAAGTTCTTAAAATATTTTAGCACGGCTGTTTCTCAGCAGCCAGGACTGCATGCTAAATCCTGATGTCGCCCTCTTTGCCCTCTTGTACTAAGTGGCCAAGTCAGCCCTATCCTGGGCGTTACCAGTAAGAAAACTTTGGTTTACTCAGGAAATAGCAAAGGCATGAAAACTGTGTGCACTTAGTGTCAAACCAAAGAAAGCAACAAATTCAATTAGAATCCATTATCATGCATAAAGGCAACGACCAGGTAACCTAAAGATAGGGCTGCCAGTCAAGACCAGGAGATCTAACATTTGCAATTCACACTTTGGAACATAACATCATTTCATGCTTTTACTCAGAACTTCCCTTCTGGATTACGTTTAGAGCCCATTGGGAGATATCTTCAATGGTAATAGATACAAATGCCAAGATCTTTGACAGCAAGTTCTAAAAATAATTCAAGCACCAGTAATGTTTGTTTTTTGTTTTGGTTTGGTTTGGTTTTTTTTTTTTTTGGGGGGGGAGGTGTCAAAATACAGTTTCCTTGTGTATGTAGCCTTAGCCATGCTAGACTGCTGGCCCCGATCTCGTGATCCACCTGCCTCTGCCTCCCTGAGTGCTGGGATTAAAGGGGTGCGCCACCGTGCCCGGCGTCATGTATGTTTTCACATGGTGAAATTACCATGTTGCCCAGACTGTGTGAACTCCAGGGCTCGAGCAATCCTCCCACTGCAGGTTCTGAGACTGCAGGTACATACCACGACCAACCCTAAAAGCTCCTTGACCACATCAACATACTTTCTGAGTAAACCACATTTTATAGTATGTGCGAATTACAACTTTTTTGTATTTTATTCATTTGTGTGTGTAGTCTTTTGCTCTAAACACTGGCATTCAGTGGGTGGGGCTGCTTTTGCCACAGCCCGTATGTGGCAATGAGGACACCTTTCAGAAGGTGATTTTCCTCAGCCACCACATGGCTCCCATGTCATCAGGCATGGCAGCAGCCTTACCTGCCGGTCCAGAACACATTTTTAACAGTACGACAGGACTCAAATACTGTAGGAAAGCACCTTTTCTCCAGCGTCTGGAATAAGGCTCTCGTCTGTGTTATATTTAGTAGAACTTAGTATGCTTTATAGCATACTGTTACCTATCTGATATTTTTAAAAGTTTAAAAACTATTAAAAAAAAAGAAAGAAAGAAAGATAAGATCCTTATGGACTACTTAGGGGAAAAGTAGAATACAAAACTATTCAGAATCTAGTCAATCAGAGTCAATACCACAAATAGTTCTTTTCCATCTCTTTAAAGCCATTCCCCACCTTGTCTCAGTAGGGACAGTTCCCAGGAAATGACGTAACCCCACTAAACTTCAGCTTATCAAAATGCCAAAGCTGTGACAACCCCCAGGCCCTGGGCTTTGTGTGAACACTGAGATTAAAACCCCAGCACACAAAGCAGATACCTAACACCATGCTCCCCGCCTTCTGACACTCCAGTGCCATTATGACCAGACATACATTTATGACTCAAAAAAAAAAAAAAAATCTGAACTGTCATTGGACAATTATCAGTCTCCCATGGTAGGTCAAGCCCACCCCTCTTGTCTCTCTGCCTTTCTGCTGTCTAGTGAAGAAATTTTCAAGGAATTAGGGTCAGTCCTAGGAGATGTTAAGGAAAGACAATGTCAGCCTACTGGGGTCAAAAGCCCCCACCTGGAGGAGCTATGGGGAGGACACATGCCCTGTGTCAGCAGGGGAGTCAGGAAGGGCTTCTGGGATCTTTAAAGAATCAAGGAATGGAAACCAGCCCTGCTGCACAGGTCTGCTAGCTCAGGCTCAGTGCCTGCCCCACAGTTTAATGAAAGGGCAGTGGCAGTGGGATTTCCGTGTGCTGTGTGACTGCAGGTCACAGACGACCGGTGCCATCTAATAGTTTGCAACAGCTCTAATGTCACCCTGTACCGCTCACTCTTACAGCCCAAGAATAATCGCTAAGTATTTTGGAGAAAATCAGCCAAGTAAGGGCCAGCACGATGCTAGGTCAAAATGGGAGGTGAAAAACTCCATGAGCCGACACACGTGTGCACCTTTGAAAACCTGGAGAAAAGTGCCCGTTTCCAGGAGAGTTGACACTGGCTCCTCAAAGGATTTATACAACCAGAACAAAGAATGGATTTTAGAGCCTAAATTTTCAGTTATCTGATCATTTGTGAACTTCTGACCACAAAGACAGACACAGCAATCAATGTTAACATCCTTTCCACCCCAAAAGAAACTGCCAAGGGATGATGAGGTTTGAAGAAAAGGGAGTATAAAAGGATATGCTGATAAAATTATTCATCATGCATCTTTCTTGTCTATGCTCAAGTTCCATAAAATACTCATGTTAATCCCTTTGACAATGCAGCCCAGAGTAACTGGCCCCCAGCACCGAAGCCTTCCCTTAGCTGATCCAGGCAATTCTGTCAGCTTGTGTCCTTCTAGGAAACTGCTCTCCTCAATTGTACTCCACACTTCCTGAGCATGGACCTCACCCTCCTTTGATCTCACTCACTCGTCCTCAAATCTAGTTCTACGGAACGTTACTGTAGTGATACAGCAGGGAAATGAAGATGAAAACGATTGTGTCCTCAGTCCCCATAGCCTACAGGGAAACACCTGTGCAGCAAGTACAATTACCCGTAGGCAGTGTGGCCAGAAAACCCAGGGTGCTCAAGACAAAACATGTCCTGCTCCTTCCCCAAGGTCTGCTGGACAACTACAGATGCTGGCGCTCTGTGCAGAGCTGCAGGCTGTCACCAGCAGGGGAGGGGGAGGGGCTCTCCTGTCTGGGAGGCCGCGAGAACCAGCACCACCCAACCCACTTTCATCATGTACAAAGGGGCCCTCTTTAGAGCCCCTTTGACAAGAGATGAATCCACAGGTTTTGTCTCATGTACAGGTTTGACATTTCTTGGAGGCTGTTGTTTATTTGAGACAAGCCTGGCTCTGTAGCGCTGGCTGGTCTGGAATCTGCCTGTAGACCACACTAGCCTTCAACTCTCCATCTCAATGCCTCTGCTGAGATTAAAGACCATATCCAACTGGGTGACTTTTTTTTTTTTTTTTTGAGACAAGGTTTCTCAGGGTAGCCCTGGCTGTCCTTGAACTCAGATCTGTCTGCTCGACTCTTGAATGCTGTGATTAAAACTGTGTGCCACTAGAGCCCAGTGGTTTGATATTTTCTAATCCTACTTCTAATGAATTTAGTTTTCCTTTTTATATCATGATTAAGCACATCAAATATATAAATAAATATACATATATATAAAAACAATTCTCTAGAAGCCAGTGTGAGTTTGAGGATAGCCTACTTTACATAGCAAGTTCCAGGACAGCCATGACTACACAGATAACATGTCTCAAAAAAACAAAAAAACAAAAAAAACAAAAAAAACAAAACAAACTCTAGACAGATCGTGTGTGTGTGTGTGTGTGTGTGTGTGTGTATACACAAGGGCATAAACAAAGCCATTTCAAACACCATTTTATGTCATCACCTGTTTCCTTCACTTCTCATATATGCCATCATCAGGTAATAGACATCAACACCAACAAAATGAAGACATTAGGATTTAGAAATGTTCAACTCAGTTTCTCAATGGTAGGTAAGGAACTGGAGTTGTTGTGTAGCCAGGCTTTGACAGAATGCAGAATACAGAAGTTCCTGCTCCAGGTTAAAAAGCTTTGCTCCATTTGCTTTACTTTGAGCAATACTTTGAAGAAAAAAAATGGCTCAGAGGTTAAGAGAATTCACTGTTCTTCCAAAGGTCCTGAGTTCAATTCCCAGCAACCACATGGTATCTTATAACCATCTATAGTAAGATCTGGTGTGCAGGCGGAATGTTGTATAGATAATAAATAAATCTTAAAAAAAATTAAATTTGTAAGTCAAGAAGAGAGATAAAAGTAAAAACAGTCTCCTTTTCTTGTGTTGAAACAGATTTGCAGCTAATGATTTTTTACTAAATTCTCATTTTTAATTAAGAATATGTCACTGGCCTTTAGCTAATGTGGTTCTTTTTTTTTTTTTTTTTTTTGGCTAATGTGGTTCTATATAATACACACCAACATATTTCCTTTTGTGCCACCAGAGACCAGCAGCTCAAAGCTGTAACAACTTTTACAAGTCACTGGACCTGCTCCATACCCCAAACTCATCATTACATATGGGTGTGCATGCACACACACCCCTCTTCAATTTTCTCAATCTGTTTCCTTACCAAAACTGAGCACAGAAAAAAAGGGAAGGCTTTCTTTCTTGTCTTTTGTGCACGCTAGGAAATGCACCACTGGTGAGTTGCATCCTTAGGTAAGTTTGTTTTGTTGTTGTTGTTCTAAAGCTTTAGCACTTTCTTCCTGATATCAAGGTCAAGCACATTTTGAATTACTTGCTTGCACATCTGGTCCTGAGAGAAGAGACAAGCCTGCACCTCCTGACTGGCTGCAGGGCCAGCCATGCAGCTTACTCACAGTGCCTTCCGGCAGCCACAACAGTGCAGACAGGCTCAGCCAGTTTTACAAGCCAGAAATGCCAGGAGGGAATAAAGAAGAATACAGCCTAGCATGGTGGGAACAAAAACCCACATTTCAGGCTATACTGAACAAAGCATCTGTCCACAGAGAGGCTGGAGCAGGCGGATGAGGCTGTTCCAGCAGCAGGGGCCTTTCCTTCATCCCCACCTTTGGCTGCAGGCTTAGCCCCATAAAGCTCATCTACCCTCACTTACTCACTACACTTGACCTCTTTCCTGATTGCCAGAAAACGGACACACCTGCAATGCATTTACTTCCCACACATAGGACGATCTCTCTCAAGCTACGTTTTTAGCTTGTATCTAGGCCAATCACACATAAAACACTAAATACATTAGCTAGGGAAAAAGTAAGTTTCA